TTGTAATTTAATATGTATTTTTCATTGAATTGTCAAAAAATAATGAACTTTTAATGTGACAGTTGTCCGCTTCTTTCTCAATAACTAGTTTAGACCAGTCTTCATTGTCCCCATAATGAACCCATGAATGTAGTGGGGGGACATTCCTCCAGCGTCCCACCGTCTCAACATGCTACCTGCCCACAGACACACACCATTGATGGGTCTGAATTATAAAATGGGGTTTTACATTCTTAGTTGGCAAGACAAAAGTAAAGGGTTTTACTAGAAAGAAAAATAAGTTATAGATAAGAAACTAGTTAGTAGTGAATGAGTTTACTTGGCTTGAAAGTAGATTGACAAGAAATGGAAAGATTGTAGAGAGAAGTAAAAAGGTCTTTGGTGAGTCCACAATTGGGGAGCGAGCCGGAGCCATGTGGCACTGATGAGTGTGTGGTGTTTCAACTGAATAATAATCTAAAACAGTTGGTTTGAAGTCAGGCCCTGTGCAGAACCAACACAATGGCATCCAAGGCAAATGTCAGGGCCTCAAGTTGGAAGGGACCTCGCAGAGCTATCTATAGACTTTTGGAGGTCCTAAAAAACGTGGCAAGCTCTTGACAGTTTCTATTTGGGATTTTAGGCAAATACACCTGAATATTTTATTTATATATTTTTTTATCCATGTTTGATTCAGCTCAGGGAGAGTAAAAATACATATCAGCCTTACTTCAGAGTGATGTCTTTTTTAAAAACTGTGAAGAGTTTACAAAGTTGCATTAAAGTGACCAAAAGACCAAGCCTATAATATGTCTTATATATAAATGTTTTGCACAAGACCTATATTGTAATTAATAACTTTTATAATCACTTTGTTGAATTGATTTCATGTTCAACAAGCCATGTATCGTTATATATACATATTTCATACTGTATAAACTATTAAATTATTATTAAAACAAAATGTACGTAAGTAATTTCCTTCTTTATTATAAAACGCATACATTACAAACATCCCAATACATTAAAATAAACAAAAGCTATGTACAGTTCATAAATACAGCGCGCAGCTTTGGGTGAAGTTCTTTGTTTTCTCCACACTACTTTCTTGTTCAAGCACATCCCAATAAGTTAAGAAAATAGGTAGATGTAAATACATGTAAAAGAGTAAAAAACATACATATAATAAATATAATAAAGCATAAAGGCTGAGGATAGTTCAGTCCATCCTGCGGGTCCACACAGAGCGCTCTGTTCTGTATCAGTTCATTTTAAAAACCCGCCTGTTATTAAGGTTTAACAGTTTTCATGCACCGGGATGGAGTATTGACTGAATATTGTTTTGGAGCAGGTATTGGGTCTAAATTATTGTTGAACCTTCACTTCTAACAAATGTTCAAGTGTTCTGTCCAAACTCTCCACTGGGTCGTAAACATGAGGACCGTGATTTGGATGTGTCTGTCAAAATGATTTATTGTGATGATTGTTTGAGGCATGAAAAGCTTTATCAGCGAATTCCCTGTCATAAATTCTATTATATAATTTTCTGTGGCACTTGTGGATCCTACTGTACTGTATGGACTGTATATTTAGAAATTTATAACATTGCCACCATTTTTCTGGAAACAATTGATTAAAGGGAAAACAGACCAATAATTCAACCGTTTGCTTCTACACAGGTAAAGAAAACCATTTTTAAGTGATGGGACCGGGGCCTGTTGAGTTCCATTTAATCTTGAATCGTCCCGTCTTGTCCAATTCTCCTGGAGCCGATCGGTCGTGCGCTCCCGCCTTGTGCTGTGTAAAGTGCTCTCAGTAGGGGTAGGCCGACACCGCGATGTAAACAATGAAGGTAGTCTGGTACTCGATGGCTCTGTCCGGGCTGTAGGACAGAGCTCGCACCTTCATGCGGTAAGTGTGTGGCTCTCGGAGGGGCCGCGTGGTGAACAGCACGCCCTTCATGCTCTCGTCGCGGAGGGCAAATGGCAGCGCAGTGTCCTCGTCCACGGCTAGGAAGGTGGTCCGCGGGTGCATCACTCCGTCTTGTGTGTAGGCCACCAGGCGGATTAGGTCCTGGTTAGCGGCAATCCCAAACGGCAGAGACAGCAGCTTATACTCCAGGGCGTAGGGGCTCAGTGCGCACTCCAGGTCGTTCGGAGGGCAGTTCTTCAGACAAAATCTACGCACAGGCAATGGAGAGACTTCACTTAGAAACATATGTGACATACAAATGAGAGCTGGACAGGGGCCTGGGGCAGGGGGACTGTCTTACCCTGTGGAAGAGGCTGGGGGACTGTCTTACCCTGTGGAAGAGGCTGGGGCAGGGGGACTGTCTTACCCTGTGGAAGAGGCTGGGGGACTGTCTTACCCTGTGGAAGAGGCTGGGGCAGGGGGACTGTCTTACCCTGTGGAAGAGGCTGGGGGACTGTCTTACCCTGTGGAAGAGGCTGGGGCAGGGGGACTGTCTTACCCTGTGGAAGAGGCTGGGGCAGGGGGACTGTCTTACCCTGTGGAAGAGGCTGGGGCAGGGGGACTATCTTACCCTGTGGAAGAGGCTGGGGGGACTGTCTTACCCTGTGGAAGAGGCTGGGGCAGGGGGACTGTCTTACCCTGTGGAAGAGGCTGGGGGGGACTGTCTTACCCTGTGGAAGAGGCTGGGGACTGGGGAGAGCTGGCAGGGGGGACTGTCTTACCCTGTGGAAGAGGCTGGGGGACTGTCTTACCCTGTGGAAGAGGCTGGGGCAGGGGGACTGTCTTACCCTGTGGAAGAGGCTGGGGCAGGGGGACTGTCTTACCCTGTGGAAGAGGCTGGGGCAGGGGGACTGTCTTACCCTGTGGAAGAGGCTGGGGCAGGGGGACTGTCTTACCCTGTGGAAGAGGCTGGGGCAGGGGGACTATCTTACCCTGTGGAAGAGGCTGGGGCAGGGGGACTGTCTTACCCTGTGGAAGAGGCTGGGGCAGGGGGACTGTCTTACCCTGTGGAAGAGGCTGGGGGACTGTCTTACCCTGTGGAAGAGGCTGGGGCAGGGGGACTGTCTTACCCTGTGGAAGAGGCTGGGGCAGGGGGACTGTCTTACCCTGTGGAAGAGGCTGGGGCAGGGGGACTATCTTACCCTGTGGAAGAGGCTGGGGCAGGGGGACTGTCTTACCCTGTGGAAGAGGCTGGGGGACTGTCTTACCCTGTGGAAGAGGCTGGGGCAGGGGGACTGTCTTACCCCGTGGAAGAGGCTGGGGCAGGGGGACTATCTTACCCTGTGGAAGAGGCTGGGGCAGGGGGACTGTCTTACCCTGTGGAAGAGGCTGGGGCAGGGGGACTGTCTTACCCTGTGGAAGAGGCTGGGGGACTGTCTTACCCTGTGGAAGAGGCTGGGGCAGGGGGACTATCTTACCCTGTGGCTGCATCCCGGAGGTAGTTGGGTGGGCAGGGCGTGTCTATGCACTGGTAGCTCCCTCTCATGTTGAAGCACATGCGGTTGGCTCCACACTGGATGTTCTGCTCCAGACACTCATCTATATCTGCAGAGAACGAAGCAATATAACAGGGGCAGTACTTTATCTACAGGTCTATGACTGGACAGATTCTAACCTTGACATGTTTTGCCGTTGGTCATGAGTCGGTAGCCAGCGGGACACAGACATCGGTGGCTCCCCGGTGTGTTCATACATTCATGCTGACAAGTGTCCCTCACCTCACACTCATTTACATCTGTGGAGTTTCACACACACTCAATGACACAAGCAGGAGAGGACAGTTTTACCAGACATTTGGTCACTTTGATGATTCCTCTCTCTCTAATATAATTACCTACACAGCGCCCCCTTGTGAGAACAAACCCTTGTTGACACATGATGGAGTTCTGAATACTCCTCTGAGAGCGGCTCCTGTAGCGCCCCGTAGCTGCTCCATAGGAGTGGTAGCTCTGAGAGGCCATGTTGTGGTAGAGCTGCCCATTGGAGCTTTGGGACGCGTGCTGGCCATGAGAGTACCTCTCGTAGCTGGGCCGCAGACGCTCCAGTCCCACACAGGACTTGGCGTCCCCCAGCAGCAGTTGGCCTGGTGGGCATGTGCACCTGAAGCTGCCCGGAGTGTTGACGCACAGGTGCGCACAGGGCGGAGAAGGCCGCTCACACTCATTTATATCTGCTCTCAGCACAGACAGGCCAGCACCAGGAAATGCAGCGCAAAGCAAGACAACATGAAGCAGCAGGAGTGTTACAGGAGGGAATTTAATGAAGAAGAAGAGGTGCAGGCCCAGACAAAGAGTGAAAGGAGAAAAAGGGCAATCATCAATGACCCCACTCTATAACAATACATTGTCACGTCCCTAAGCATTGGACAAATGTCTGATACTTCTCAATGGGAGATTCACTATTCTTTGTTACCAAATAAATGACCCTGAAAATGTCTCATTATGATTATATGATCATAAGAGAGATCATCATCTGAATAATGCCAATGGGAAGGCAAACACATGTTATATGTAAGATAGAGCCAGAACAAAGGGGACTAAAGCCTAGCGTACATCGGACTGGCAACTGATTATATCCGTCGCGTACGAGTTGCTGCCCCGCACACATCGACAATCTGACAAAAACTGGCCTCAACTACAGTGTGTTTTCTGACATAAACTGTTGCGGGCGCAATACACGCAATACACACACGTTGTCAGAGCGGCGCATGGAGCGCGCACATCGGGTCATATCTCCGAAACTGAGGACAACTAGTTGCCGAAAAGTAGAACACGGGCAACTGACTGAAACTGGAGGCCGACTGATCATCTCCAGTTGTAAGAGCGCGCACATCGACCGATTTCGGCAACTGATCATCTCCCACCATCTCCTCTCAGTTGCCAAAAGCCGCCTTGCAACTAGTTGTCCCCAGTTTCTCTGTCGATGTACGCTAGGCTTAAGGGAGTGGGGAAAGTGAAGAAAATAAACAGTGATATAAAAAAGCCAGGGGTCTCCGACCTTTTTGATTGGAGCTTCTTTTATAAAACAGAAATGGCAGAGAGCTACTCCTTTTAGCAGTTGTAATAACATTTTAGTCTATATAATATCTACAACCAATCATGTAGAACACACACAATATATACTATTATATCATACAATATCCTGGCATTAATGAAAAGATTTATAGTTAAGATAGACATGGAATGACCCAGAAGTGACTCATTCAGGATCATGTGTTATATTCTTGAATCCTTTGGGGAACTACCTGAAAGGGGGCAGTGAGCTACTGATAGCTCCAGAGCCACAGGTTGGAGCCCCTGGGTAGTTTCCAGCCTGCTGTAACGCTCAGTCAGTGACAGTTAGTCACTGACTAACACACAAAACAAAACGGTGTTGAGAAATGGCTTACCATCTTGAAAGAATGGAAGCAAGAGTTTAGGTGTGAACAGAAGGAACGCCAAGGCACTTACAACTATAATAATGTGCTTTTTAAATGTCAGTGTGTGTGTGTGTGTGTGTGTGTGTGTGTAGACTCACCGGCACAGGGCCGTCCCACTCCCTGAGACCTGTATCCTCGTGGACAGATGCAGAGGTGGCTCCCTCTGGTGTTCTCACAGATCTGGTTGTATCTGCATTGGTGAGTGCCGTCGCTGCACTCATTTATGTCTGAACAGAACAATGCCTTTGAGTAAACAGATACAAGTATTCAGTATAAAGGCATACGCACCAACACATGTGCCGTTTCCCCCTTTGGTCATCCCACGGGGACACAGGTCTATGCACGTGTAGCCGCCGCGTGTGTTCTTACACTGCTGATCTGTGCGACACACTCTCTGCCGACATTCATTTATATCTGCATTCAAACAAAGTGTGCGCATCAGTTAGAACAATATACTGAGGACAACAGCTGCTGATTGTGTTGGAAGGATGAGCAGAGAAAGTCATTTACAGAACACACATTCTCTTCTTTTACTGCATCGTTCATTCATAATGTCATATTTAAATTATTGTGTCAACTTTTGGGAAAACGGTTACAAATCCCACAACCTTTGGTTACTTTGCATAAAAAAGCCATTAGGATTGTATGGAATGTCCACTACAGGCATCATTCCCACTGTTCATTCAACTGTAAAAACCTGAGCTTCAGGACGTGATCAACTTTAAATCTGCTCAAACTGTGTTCAGGACATTTATCAAATCTCTGTTACTAAAGTTACAAAACTTTGAGTAGGGTTGAGTTTACCGATGCAGCGTCTGTTCCTGAGCTGGAACCCTGGCTCACACGCACAGCGGTAACTGCCCACGGTGTTCAGGCAGAGCTGCTGACAGGGATTGGAGTCCTCACATTCATTCATATCTGAGAAACACAAGTTTGGAACGTTACACATGACTTCACATGGATGAGACAAGAAGTGATGAGCACAGTACCAGTACAGCTGAGGCCGTCCATGGTCTTCCTGAAGCCACGCCCACACCTCATGACACAGCGATATGAGCCGATGGTGTTTTCGCACTCTTGTCCATCGTGGCAAACGTTAGTACCCAGCGAACATTCATCAATGTCTAAGAATATATAAGGCTTTTTTACACTGAAGAGCCGTGTTAATTGACCCGTTGCTCTGTCAAGATGGTCTGTTCATCGATCAGGTCTTGTGCATACGTCATTTTACAAATATTATGCTTTTTTTAATGTATATGCCCGTTTATTTATTTAGGCTTTGCATGATTTTTTACATACAGGAAAACCACCACATGTTAAATGTCTCTGTGTTCTGTTGGACACTGAATACAATCACAATCATCTGCATCGTGTAATACATACATCTTGCCGTTTCACTGTTGGCTGTCTTCTCAATAAGGTTAAAAAAAATATCTTGTGACATGTATTTTGTAGTTTTCCCATCGGTGAAGAGAAAACGAATCACATTTTGGACAAGCGGCTGTCGGGTTAATAAAATCACGCGCACCTGATAGATTGGCAGATCATCTCGACAGACCAAAGGGTTGAAATTCTGTGTCGACTATTATCAACAGTAAGAAAGAGAGGCGAGTTGTTTGAACCCATGTCAACTTTTCATCACTTGGAACATTGGAATATGCCAAAAGAAATGGGTCAACAAACTTCCGACATACAAAAATACTGACTAAATATCCCTGGACTTAGATTTACCCTGGCATGTTCTTCCGTCCGCGGAGATGGTCAAGCCTTGGGGACAGGAGCAGTAGTACGAGCCCATTGCATTGTGGCACGTGTGGGAGCAAGGGTTCCCCATCTCACACTCGTTCTCATCTTAAACATGAAAATACCACAAATGTCATATTTGAGTAACGCGGCCATGACCCCAGCTCAGCAAAAGCTTCCACAAATCACCTGTACAGTAGGGACCCGCTGACGCCAGAGAGAAGCCCGGTGGACACTGGTTACTGCGGTCACCTACATCCAGAAAAACACCAGTTTGAGTATGCAAAAAAGGCAAATAGAATTCCTTTTTCTATTTTAACAAAAAATATGTTTTTTGTCCTCCCCCACAAACGCACAAGAATCCTCCAATGAATAAAAGTTTTGCCTCCTAATTCTTCATAGTCTGCCAGGTTTGAGGCATTTGAGAACATTGAGATTAGTCTGACCCACGGGCCTTTGCGTCAGAGGGTCATGTGGCCCTCTCCCATTATCATCCAGCCAACCTAAGCTCCGTCAATGTATATAAATCTCAGTGCCTTTTGAATCCATTGACTTTGTTTGACTATACTGGAAATTTGTTTTGATTGTGGCACACAATTCTGTATATGAAGCCAATGTGTCATTCAGCCAACTTCTGAATCGTCAAATGTAAATCAAAATGAACAGCCAAAATCCAGGGCTGTTTGATTGCTTAACAATCCAGGTTGTCATTTCAACTCAATTTAATTCAATAAATTTTTTTTATAGCCCGAACAGCAGACGTCACGGAGGACTTTACAAATTGGTCGGTTTGTTCTTGTGTTCTTTCCAGTGGGGGCGGGCCCTGGCTCAAAAGTGGCCAAAATGATGTGCGCTGACATGCTGCAATACCACCCCGGACCTGTGGGGGTGGACCCAGAAGTAGAATTAGCCAATGCTAACATATAGCGTTGGCAGACCTCTCAAAAACGTCTTTACAGGATGGACCAAAAGTTGGCTCTAGGCCCAAAGCTCCGTTCCACATGTGTGTCACTGCTGAGGGGGGTGTTTTGGTCCACTCTAGTTTACTTGCTGTGAAGTTAGAACGGCGGAGATAGGCGTGACTCTGTCCATTAATATATACAGTCTATGTACCAGACCCATGTGGTTCAGCCAAACGCCTCTGGTGGAGCATGGTGGAACTACACGGGTCTGGCAGAGCCAGGCTAGTGGTGAACCAATGAGCAGTCCTTTCTGAAAGTTTTGGACACCCTTGATTTTGAAGTAATAATAAGAAGTATATAACTAAAAACAAGAAAGGTCTGCTTTTGTAGTTGTAACATGGTTAAAAACCTTGCATACTACTCCTTTAAACATCTCCAGTACCTTTATAGTCTATTGGGGTTTTCTAGTTTGGTCAGACCTTTGGCGATATGGGCCTGGACCCGGAAGACCAGCAGCTCCTCCAGGGGGTGGTAAAAGGCTCGGACGGCAGCAGCGTGTAGGGTTTCCACCAGGTACGGCATCTTTCCCCTGGACGTGTCGTAAGAGATGGAGTGGTTCCACGAGTACGGGACGCTCTCTCGGTCCAGGGTGAACATGCGAGTGGACTGAGCATACAGCTGCCCTGGCCCGGTCTGAATGTAGTCCTCACTGTAGTCCTGATGGGAACAAGAACACAACAGCTCTCTTTAGTGCCACCTGTTGGAGCGACTGTGCTGAAGGAGAAGAACAAACACAAGGGCCAGAAATATTGAATCATATTTAGGTTCATCATTTCTTTTTCTGGAGTGTGAAATAAATTCTTATGTGTGATACATATATGTCTAAAAACACAAATAAACATTATCTTAGCATGTGATTCCCCAATTCTACCACTAGAGAGAAGTGTTTTTCCCCAAAATCAAACGTTATATGGGTAAAATAAGGCCATTTAATCACACTGAAGAAAAGGCCAAAACTCATTTAGAGGAAGTACTTTTGTGTTAAAAACTAAAACAACTCTAGGTCTGTTATTGATGAGGAACAATGTTGTAACATAGTAACCACAGATATATTTTGCCAGATATAAGATTGTTTTATTTGATATAGAATTAGATTTATTGAACATTAAATGATGGTTATACAAAGTATAGTATTGTAACAATAGTAAAGTAACCACACATGTCAAAGTCGAGCTCAGGTCTTGCTCCGACAGAGAAGAGAAGAGAAGAGTGAATACCTTGATGCCCAAGTCAGTGTTTGGAGGCAGCTGGAGCATGTGTCCGTTTACAACAATGTCCAGCAGCAGAGCTCCGTCTGAGTCCAACCCTCTGGACACATGGGTCATCCTCAGGATCTCACCTGGAAGCACAGGACACTCCTGATCACTTTTGGAAATGACATTTCCATGAATAAGTTTGTGTAATCCCTCACTCGTACAGGGATTGGTCAAAGTAAAGGAAGGTTTCTCACCCATCATCTGTACTTCTTAGCAAGTTTTCCCAACGTTTTGTCCTCAAACTAGCGGACTTCTTCAGGGAATGAATTCTCGGACCGCGCGTTGGAGATTTATAACCTATGGGTGTGGTTAGCTACACCCTAATCCTGATACTAACTCATAAACAATCTAAGGTCTGATGTAGAAGGGAGCAGGTCTAACGACCCTGCTGAGGCTAACGACCCTAACTCCTTAGCATGTCACAGACCTATTGTCTGCTGGGATGCTCAAGTGGAGTGCAGGTCTCACCCCTCCTAACTCATTAGCATGTCACTGACCTTGTCCCAAGTTAGGGCGTTTTTTTAGGATGTCGTCATAGATGCGAGGCAAAACAAATCTTAACCCTCCTCCTCTGTTAAGAGAAGGTTTTTGTTTTGGGATAAGTTTACTCTGGCTACACCTAAGATTAAACCTAAGATGATTTCTGGCGTCGTCTACAGAGGCGGTGGAGGCTGTAAGAGAAAGCCTACAGAAAGACGCCACACTAGGGGAGAGAACGAAACTAACAGCTGACCACATCTGTGAAATACTTGAAATGTGTCTTAACACCACGTATTTCCAATTTAGAGGCACCTTCTTTAGACAGATTCATGGCTGTGCGATGGGCTCCCCAGTCTCTCCTATAGTGGCCAATCTGTATATGGAGAAACTGGAGGAACAAGCCCTGGGCTCTTACCAAGGGACAGCGCCAAGCCATTGGTTTCGATATGTAGACGATACATGGGTTAAGTTAAAGAAACAGGAAGTGGAACCATTTTCAGAACACATTCATTCGGTGGACCCTTTTATAAATTTCACTCGTGAGGATGCTAAGGAGAGTGAACTGGCCTTTCTAGATTGTAAGGTCATCATACTGGAGAACGGACAATTAGAGACTGAGGTCTTCAGAAAGTCCACTCACACTGACCAGTACCTGGCCTTTGACTCAAATCATCCGCTACAACACAAACTCGGGGTCATTAGAACGCTTCAACACCGAGCCCACCAGGTCCCCACGAGCTCGGAGGGAAAGAACAGAGAAACCAAACATGTTCAGAGAGCACTTTCCAGATGTGGCTACCCCAAGTGGTCTTTTACTAAAGCCCAAAGGACGAGAAAGGCCAGAGACACAGTCCAACAGACAGAAGAAAGTAGGAGGAGAGGGGTGTCCTTACCGTATGTGGCGGGAGTTTCAGAGAAACTACAAAGAATCTTTAGGCAACACAAAATCCCTGTGTATTTCAAACCTTTCAACACGTTAAGACAGAAATTAGTGCATCCCAAAGACAAAACACCCAGACACAAACAGAGCAATGTGGTGTATTCAATTAAATGTAGTGAAGAGGAGTGCACTGACCACTATATTGGAGAAACCAAACAAACTCTACAGAAACGACTTTACCAACATCGTAGAGAAAACTCTAGTGGGCCACAGTCGGCTGTTCATCTCCACCTCAAGGCCTCCAACCACACGGTGGATGACACAGAGGTTAAAATTCTGGCTCGGGAGAAGAATTGGTTTGAGAGAGGAGTGAAAGAAGCCATTTTTGTGAGGAAACAAAAATCTTCTCTTAACAGAGGAGGAGGGTTAAGATTTGTTTTGCCTCGCATCTATGACAACATCCTAAAAACAACGCCCTAACTTGGGACAAGGTCAGTGACATGCTAATGAGTTAGGAGGGGTGAGACCTGCACTCCACTTGAGCATCCCAGCAGACAATAGGTCTGTGACATGCTAATGAGTTAGGGTCGTTAGCCTCAGCAGGGTCGTTAGACCTGCTCCCTTCTACATCAAGCAGACCTTAGATTGTTTATGAGTTAGTATCAGGATTAGGGTGTGGCTAACCACACCCATAGGTTATAAATCTCCAACGCGCGGTCCGAGAATTCATTCCCTGAAGAAGTCCTTTGGATTGAGGACGAAACGTCGGGAAAACTTGCTAAGAAGTACAGATGATGGGTGAGAAACCTTCCTTTGCATTTCCATGAATGCACATTTGACATTTGAATCAACGCACAGTTGTCCGTTACCAACAAAACAATAGAAGTTTGGAACCATTCAATATGGCATCAAGCCGGTTTACGCATGCAAACCCACGAGCGAGGACGGTCAAAGTAGACAGCAGTAGGTGAGGTGTCAGCATTTCTGAGAAATAAAATGAGCCCTAAACAGTTATAAGAAAAGTACAGTACTTTTGTGTGTGTACTAAATGTTTGAAATGTTAAATAAAACCTAAAAGTACTTCTTTTTTGCTCTAAGTGTGGGAAACTGGAGCACCAGGAGGAAACCTACACAGACACAAGGAGAACATGCAAACACTACCCAGGAACACCTCTTGCATTGTATATATTGTGATTCAGGTTTTTAACCTGTAGCAAACTCGACTTGTGTCTCTCGCCTGAAGACGGCTCCGGTCAGAGAGTAGCCATTCACTGCCTCGCCGAGCTCCTGAGCCGTGGTCCAGGAGATGGGGCTGAGGATGGAGACCAGGATCCGCATGGCAGGCCCTTTCATTCAACACAAAACCATCAGTGATAGAGGAGAACGTGCATGTTGCAGCTGTACTCTGAAACTCACCTAATGTGCGAGGGATATTAGAGATAGTGGCATCGATCACTTTGCCTTGACCTTTGTGATCGGAGATGGAGGCGTTGAGTATCCCAATGCCAAATTCAATATTGTTGATGTTTCCTATGACGCTGCCCCGAGCCTTCTGTGGTCCACCTGCAAATAAGAGATTATAATGGATATATGATCGACCAGATAAAAATGAGATTATTTGGTGTATCAATAGCCGTGATTGTTGTCACCATAAGATGATTAGTTTAGGCATTTTTGTTTTAGCTTATTAATTGTTTAATTCTTTAAATTGTATGTTTTTTCTGTGGAATAATCGTTTTGCTATGTTATTTGAAAGTGACTATTTCTTCTCAATCCTACTAAAATGTTTTTAAAAAGAGAGAAACAGAATGCAATGTCCCACTTCTGCCCCTAGATGAATGTGATAATCTCTGAGTTCAGTCATTTCCAGGCTGGGGCTAGTCCACTTGGTCCCCAAAGGGCCCCGTGGCAGCAGGTTTCTTCACCTTCCTCAAGTGGGTCCAGTACTGACCTGAAGGGTGGAGGAAATGGGTGGAGTCTGGTGTGCTCCTGCTTGGTTGGAATGAAAAACCAGCAGCCATAAGGCCCTTTGAGGACTGTGTTGAGGACCACTGCTCTAAAGCATGTTTGAAAGGGGCAATATGGAAAAATTAAAGATTCAATACTTTAATTGCCATTTGCAGTAAAACAACATTGGAAAAACTGTGCACCAGATAAATATTCTTTAGGTATAAATGCAAGAGGAATGGGCTTGTCACCTGGGCAGGCCTGGGGGTTGCAGCGGGACAGCTGAGAGGAGTCTCCGGGACAGGCCCGTCCATTGTTTAAGGGAGAGGGCTCATTACAGAGGCGCTCCCTGCTCCTCTCTCCTCCTCCACAGGACACCGAGCAGTCAGACCAGGACTGCCACGCCCCCCAGTGGCCATGCACTGCAACACACAGGACAGTCTGGATAGAGGAGTGCACTTAAAGAGCGACTAAACACCTGTGACCAGCCTGACTCCGCCCACATGAACATTTGAATATTTTCTCTAAAAAGGGCGTTGCCCGAGGACCAAGGGACAAGAAGGGGGGCTTAGAGTTGGGCGTGGTCTGGGCTGTGATTGACAGCTCACTAGTCACACACAAAAAATAACCAGACAATAGTCATTGCTGCTTAAAGCCATAGTTTACACACCAGAAAGTCTCATTCCCTTGTTTACACACTAAGATAATTGTAGCTACACACCTGAACCTAAGCCACAGAATTATCTCAGCAGCAGTGGCGGTCCATTTATGTAATTTAATTTTAATCCACTAGATGTCGCCAGAATACTCCAACCTGCTGCTGGGGCGTGTGTAAGAGTTGAATGGGTTTATATCACTGGGCAGACAGACGCACGTCACACACACCAACTGACGACACACACACCAACTGACGACACACACACACCAACTGACGTCACACACACACCAACTGACGTCACACACATCAACTGACGTCACACACACCAACTGACGTCACACACATCAACTGACATCACACACACCAACTGACGTCACACACACCAACTGACATCACACACACCAACTGACATCACACACACCAACTGACGTCACACACACCAACTGACGACACACAGAATTACAGCCAATGGAGAGGCCAGGACCAAATTCAAATGTAGTACCACCAAAAAGGCAGAGAGGGCGCCACACACACGTTTTTAGGCTTAAAAGTGAGATTTAATCTAATTTGAACTAAAATGTCAAAAAAATGACCAGGATATGTAGAGAGCACTACAGTTAACACATTTATGCAGTTTATTATTAAAAAAGTGGATTTGGTGTTTAGTCGCTCTTTAAAAAGAATGGCCTTAAACTGGATACTTAGAAAGTCAAAATAATTCACAAGCAATGTTTATTTATTTATTTATTTTTAAATAGAAAAAGAGTAGAAAGCCCAGAAAACTCCTATCGATTTTGATTTACAGTCTAACTCTAAGTTAAATGTAGTTTGTTATTATTTTTATATATATACACTGTACCTGTACACAGAAGTACATATCATGTGTACGTTTCCAAAGCACTCACCGGGACAGTCCTGCGTGTTGCATTGTTGCGTCTGTGAGTCGGCCCCTGCACACGCTCGCCCTCCACTGGTGGGTCTGGGGCTGTCACATGACCTGTAGCGCCTGGCCTGGCCTCCGCTGCACGTCTTACTGCAGCCGCCCCAGGAGCTCCAGGCACCCCACTGACCGTTCACTGGGGCACAGCAAAACAAATCAGACTAGAACACTGTTGCTTCATCATTAACAGGCAGGTACAGTTGGAATTCTTCTTATAAGTCTGGAATGTAGGCCTGAGCGCTCTCTTTCCCAATGCGTTCTTTTCTCAGGTCACATATCTGTCTTTTGATGAGAGGTTTGCAAATTCCGGTCTTAGGTTCACTCCACACTGAACTGTATCAATGTGTTACATATTGGTCAATGACACGAAAAAGTCCCGAAATGTCTGAGGTCACTACCACTAAATGTTCACAGACCCACTCTTGTTTTGTCCCCAGGATCCAAGACGCCGTTTTGGACGTGACAAAAGTGGACACGATTGTTACGTCCTAAACGCCTTGTTTGTCTGCAGTTATTGAATAATATTCTTTTTGAATAGGGTAAAATCTATAATTACAGATTGATTATAGTTATATCTCCAACCACTACCCATTAAATAGTCTCCTGTGTCCTGTTCATTCTTCCGTTCACAAAGCCTCCAACACGACACGTCCTAAATGTAACAGTTATGTCCCAAAGTTCAATACCATTTTTCTTGAAATAGTTTTAGCTGCCCTTCTGAGATTAAACTATAAATATATATACTGTATATAGGCTACATGGTATTCAAAATGTTTAGGTACAAATATAATTAGTTCATACATTTATTTTATTGTTGCTTGACGTTAGATCGAGCAATGGTACAGTTTAGTTTTGAGTGAGCCCTGAACAGATCAGCCTAAGGTCTTATTTAGGCTTCCAATTCTTCTGTACAGAATGCACAGACACAACATAGCCTGACTGTGACACATGACTGCAACGTGGGCATTTTAATGTCATGTAACAGAAATGCAACTATAATAATGAATCCCTTATGTTCTAAGCTTGTCTACATCATTTTAATAACACAACAGATTTAATCAATGAAATTCAGTTAATTCCTTGTTCTCAGCACACTTTGCTTCTATGACTAACAGAATTTGTAGCCTCTGTCACATCTATATATCAGCTCGGTCAGACAGAAAAGGGAAAACAAAAGGTCTCAGCCCAAACACAGAGGTCTTTAAAACAAACACGCAAAAGGCTCTTGAGATGCAGATGTTTATTTGTAGTTTAGTCAAGTGATGGTAATTTCTCATCATTGTTGTAATTTGCTGATTTGTGTCAGAGCATGAATGTTATGTTGTCCCTGTGCTGAGTCCCTGTGCTGAGTCCCTGTGCTGAGTCCCTGTGCTGAGTCCCCTGTGCTGAGTCCCCTGTGCTGAGTCCCTGTGCTGAGTCCCTGTGCTGAGTCCCTGTGCTGAGTCCCTGTGCTGAGTCCCTGTGCTGAGTCTGTGCCCCTGTGCTGAGTCCCCTGTGCTGAGTCCCTGTGCTGAGTCCCTGTGCTGAGTCCCTGTGCTGAGTCCCTGTGCTGAGTCCCTGTGCTGAGTCCCTGTGCTGTGCTGCCCTGTGCTGAGTCCCTGTGCTGAGTCCCCTGTGCTGAGTCCCTGAGTGCTGAGTCCCTGTGCTGAGTCCCTGTGCTGAGTCCCCGATCCTGTGCTGAGTCCTGTGCTGAGTCCCTGTGCCCTGAGTCTGATCCCTGTGCTGAGTCCCTGTGCTGTGCCTGTGCTGAGTCCCTGTGCTGAGTCCCTGTGCTGAGTCCCTGTGTGAGTCCCTGTGCTGAGTCCCTGTGCTGAGTCCCTGTGCTGAGTCCCTGTGCTGAGTCCCTGTGCTGAGTCCCTGTGCTGAGTCGCCTGTGCTGAGTCCCTGTGCTGAGTCCCTGTGCTGAGTCCCTGTGCTGAGTCCTGTGCTGAGTCCCCTGTGCTGAGTCCCTGTGCTGAGTCCCTGGTCTGGTGAGTCCCTGTGCTGAGTCCCTGATCCTGTGCTGAGTCCCTGTGCTGAGTCCCTGTGCTGAGTCCCTGTGCTGAGTCCCTGTGCTGAGTCCCTGTGCTGAGTCCCTGTGCTGAGTCCCTGTGCTGAGTCCCTGTGCTGAGTCCCTGTGCTGAGTCCCTGTGCTGAGTCCCTGTGCTGAGTCCCTGTGCTGAGTCCCCCTGTGCTGAGTCCCTGCTGAGTCCGTGTGAGTCCCTGTGCTGAGTCCCTGTGTGAGTCCCTGTGCTGAGTCCCTGTGCTGAGTCCCTGTGCTGAGTCCCTGTGCTGAGTCCCTGTGCTGAGTCCCTGTGCTGAGTCCCTGTGCTGAGTCCCTGTGCTGAGTCCCTGTGCTGAGTCCCTGTGCTGAGTCCCTGTGCTGAGTCCCTGTGCTGTGTCCCTGTGCTGAGTCCCTGTGCTGAGTCCCTGTGCTGAGTCCCTGTGAGTCCCTGTGCTTCCCTGTGCTGAGTCCCTGTGCTGAGTCCCTGTGCTGAGTCCCTGTGCTGAGTCCCTGTGCTGAGCCTGTGGTCCCTGTGCTGAGTCCCTGTGCTGAGTCCTGTGCTGAGTCCCTGTGCTGAGTCCCCTGTGCTGTGTCCCTGTGCTGAGTCCCTGTGCTGAGTCCCTGTGCTGAGTCCTGTGCTGAGTCCCTGTGCTGAGTCCCTGTGCTGAGTCCCTGTGCTGAGTCCTGTGCTGTGTCCCTGTGCTGAGTCCCTGTGCTGAGTCCCTGTGCTGAGTCCCTGTGCCTGGCTGAGTCCCTGTGCTGAGTCCCTGTGCTGAGTCCCCTGTGCTGTGTCCCTGTGCTGAGTCCCTGTGCTGAGTCCCTGTGCTGAGTCCCCTGTGCCGAGTCCCTGTGCTGAGTCCCTGTGCTGTGTCCCTGTGCTGAGTCCCTGTGCTGAGTCCCTGTGCCTGTGTCCCTGTGCTGAGTCCCTGTGCCTGAGTCCCTGTGCTGAGTCCCTGTGCTGAGTCCCTGTGCTGAGTCCCTGTGCTGGTCCCTGTGCTGAGTCCCTGTGCTGAGTCCCTGTGCTGAGTCCCCTGTGCTGAGTCCCTGTGCTGAGTCCCTGTGCTGAGTCCCTGTGCTGGTCCCCTGTGCTGTGTGGTCCCTGTGCTGAGTCCCTGTGCTGAGTTCCCTGTGGCTGTGCTGAGTCCCTGTGCTGAGTCCCTGTGCTGAGTCCCTGTGCTGTGTCCTGTGCTGAGTCCCTGCTGAGTCCCTGTCCCTGTGCTGTGTCCCTGTGCTGAGTCCCTGTGCTGAGTCCCTGTGCTGTGTCCCTGTGCTGAGTCCCTGTGCTGTGTCCCTGTGCTGAGTCCCTGTGCTGAGTCCCTGTGCTGAGTCCCTGTGCTGAGTCCCTGTGCTGAGTCCCTGTGCTGAGTCCCTGTGCTGAGTCCCTGTGCTGTGTCCCACCTGGGCACGGGTTGCTGTTGCAGAAGTCCACTTGCACATCACTCCCTTCACACTGGCGCCCGCTGTGCAGAGGGGCGGGGCTTGCACAGAGGCGTGTCCTTTGTCTGGTCCCGCCTCCACACGATACGCTGCATGCGGCCCAGGTCACCCACGAGGACCACTTTCCATCCACTGACAAAAACAGCATTACAACAAATCCAACTATTATGGATTTTTTTTGCACAGCATTGTATATTATCCATGAAGTTCAGCATTAAACATAAAGGTAAATGGGGGAGAACCTTCATTTATCCTAGAGTGCGGAAGTGTAATTAAAATAAATAGCATGAGATTCTTCTTGATGCTTATACTGTGTTTACACGAGCACTCACAGTGGGGACTAGACCTAGAGATTTACTGAAGCAAGACCAAAGAACCAAATCAAAAGCAATTCAGGCTTAAAGTCAGTGCGGACTTTCACAGGTGGAAAGTAGCTTCAATCTTCAAACTAAAGCAGCGTCAACATTAGATTTGCCACTAGATGTTGGTCTCAGACTACAGCAACACAGAATAAAATTATCAAACAAAATCTGAAATGCTATTTTTTCACACTTTGACAAAAATGCTTTAATTTGAACATTTATGGGCCTTTTTTAAGACCATCCCAGACACAAACAAGCACCATTTATTTGTGGCTTTTTCTGATCAAAATGTTAATTTGCGACTTGGACAAATCCTATAATGCTGTTTAGTGTGGGGGGGGTCTCTCCCATAGAAGCTCTGCAGGTAACTGTTAAACGTGCAGTTGCAGAAGCATGTCCTGATGAGAAGGAACACATTACACTACTTTACTTTTTCACACTACAGCCTCAGTGTTGTCGATGCTCTAAATACAGAAGAAATTATCCCCGTCTGCCACAATTTAAGAGATACAGCACATGAGAACGTTTCAAAATCAACAAAAGGTTTGATGTCTAATTGTTCTGCTTATACAGAAAAGCAATTCTATTTTAAAGTTACTGTTCCTAAGTTTGAGTACTGAGGATAAATTATGAGATGTTTTTGGTCAGACCGGTTTGGAAATAATGCAGAATATACAATTTCTTTAGCCTACGTTGTATTCTAATTAGCGCTGTCCAAATCAATATTTAGCACAAATAGATATTAATGTTGTCATTTTTTTAATCGCATGATTATTTGGCTTTTTTGTTACCAATTATACATGTTATACAGCTGTTTATTGACAGCACTGAATTGTACGACGTTTTGCCTCAATGTGAGCGTGAAATATAACACTACACGTTTTCATTATAAAAACAATTGCACACTGAAACCCAGTCACTTTTCCACGTTGATGAGAGAATTAAAATGATCAAGGGGTATAAAGAATAGATGAAAGTTAGTGACTAATTTACGAGTTAAAGCTGCACTAACTGACTTTGGGATTTTGAAGCCGCGGACTCGCTGGCCTCTCTCTTCCTGCTCCCCTCCCCGCACCCACGAAGCTATCGCCCCCCACACACACCCACTGTTGGGACGGAGCTAGTGTCTCCCAATATGGATAATACATGGATATGGATTTTCACGTGGATGGCGTGACCATAGAACGATAGAACCGGGAAGCGCGGAGGAACGAGACTTTCTTTTGGATGGCTGTTTCGCTGAGTAAGCAGTACCCGGTGACGAAGACACACGAAGCTTCAGGTTAGCTCCGCCGCTTGTTGTGTTAACTCAGCCGTCTATGCTAACGGACCTGTAGATTTCTCACGAAAGTGGGGGCTAGTGGTGCGCTGTGATTGGTCACAATCTGCGACCCGAAACACATTCTCTTCCTTGTTTCATCAAAACTCGATCTAAAATATAATGTCACGCCAGCACAAACCTGCGCTACTTTTTCTTCAAAAGGACGTTTATCCCAATGCACTGCATGGACATGGATAGCATTTTCGTAATTAATACAAAAATAAAGTCAGTTAGTGTGGCATTAACTATGACATTCAGGCAATTAATTGTGATTAAAAGATGTAATTGTTGGACAGCCCTAATTCAAATGTTTTGTAAATGTACTGCATGGTCTGCATGGGCAGCTCTGCGGGTCTCACTCACCAGGGCAGGGCCTCTCCTTGCACGCCTGTGTCTGTGTGTCGCTGCCTTCACACTGGGGCCCCTCAAACGCAGGAGGGGGGTTGTTGCACAGCTTTACCCTGGACTGCATGCCTTTACCACAGGTCTCACTGCAGGGGCTCCATGGAAGCCAGGGCCCCCAGTGACCTGCCACTTCAGAGATACAGAAGGAACAAATGTGCCAAAAGGTTTTCAACAAGGGAAAAATAATATGTCTATAAACAATTTAGATGAACAAACTAAAATGCAGTTTATTGGAAAATCAACTGCATCTGATGTGTGCAATGATGTGGACTCTAAACATTGTAGATTCTGGTGGACGACTAAAGTATGACAAGCTGTTTTTTTGTTTGTCATTTTCCTCTTGTGTTTCTGTTAAATGTTGCTGTACTTGACCTGTGTGACCCTGACCCTGGGACGACAGGTGGAAATTAGCCTTTGGCTATAATCTGACATGTTTACATTAATGTTTTTAATGTGTCTGTTCATTGACATGCACTGTCCCATTAAAATAAAAAAATAAATAATAATAAAAAAAAATCAATTCCTTTTTAAACAAAAACCCCGATTTGATTTTCAACATGCAAACAGCCCTAGAACGGCCCCGATGGTAATTACCAAAGGATATGTGATGATGCACACACACACCCGTGGGTCATTCGATTTGATCGCTCAACCAATTATGTTATGTCCGGCTTCAGCTCAGAAGACACACACTCTACCACTGGGGCTCCTTTTATTAACCACTATGTTGTCATTCTACTGTATTCAGTCATATGTAGAACACAGAAGAAAGCAGACAACACAGCGGTTAAAATGAGGTAGATAAGAGAAGACAAGGATACACCAACAATCCTATAGAGACATTCTTCTATGTTTACTTTATAGTTTTATATAGTTCAATCCAAGATGCAGTTATAAAGACTTTCATTCTCCAAATAAAAAATATCATGCTATGGTTTTGTCATAACGTGATGAGACATTTAGACATTAGCTGTGTTTGTGCCAGATGTTCTGATACTATGGATGAAGCTAAAAGCAAGTAGGACCGTGTTGAAAAAGACCTACTTTCATCAAAGAATAAGAAACAACAGATCTGGTTAAAAACTACCTGGACAAGGCCTGACGCTGCACATGATAACCTCTGCAGCCCTGCCTTCACACGGCCGGCCCCCGTGCAGCGCTGGCGGGTCACTACAGCTCCGGATCCGTGTCCTGTTGCCTTGCCCACAGGTCCGGGAACACTCCTCCCAAGCAGACCACTCAGACCAGCTGCCGTCCACTACAGCTCAAACACATGCTTTGTTAGTCCTTCCGCTAGTATATAGATTCATCTTTCTACATTTTATTTCAAACAATTGGCATGTTAATGTAAAACCATGACATGCATCGCTCTGCTTCATAATAGTCTCTTCATTATATATTTAGCACATCAAATAATTCATCCATACAAGAAACCCATTCAGTCCATATCTCATGAGTTCTCACCAGAACAAGGCTTCCCGTAGCAGCTGCGTGTCGCAGAGGAGAGCCCAGTACAGTCCTGCCCTCCGTTGGCTGGCGTCGGATTATTACATTGCCTCCGCCTTTTCTGACCTCCAGCTCCACAGGACACACTGCATGGACCCCACTCGGACCACTCTGAGTACCCTCCATGCACTAGAAGACAGGTTGTTCACTGTCATCACCGTGTGTGGAAGGATTGGAACAATATCTGACTCTGGACATTGTAAAGTGCTTTGGGTCTGTAACATGTGTTATATAAATGAACATTACTTATTTACTTATTTACTCAAGCCTAGCGTACATGGACAGAGTAACTGGAGACGACTAGTTTCAAGGCGGCTTTTGGCGACTGAGAGGAGATGATGGAGATGATCAGTTGAAATCGGTCGATGTGAGCGCTCTTACAACTGGAGATAAACAGTCGATCTCCGGATTCAGTCAGTTGCCCGTGTTCTACTTTTCGGCAACTAGTCGTCCTCAGATCCAGAGATATCACCCGATGTGCTCCAACAACATGTGTGTATTGTGTGTATAGCGCCCTCTACAGTTTATGTCAGAAAACACACTGTAGTTGAGGCCAGTTGCTGTTATTCCCCAGACTGGCCTGATACACGAGTTGCCCGTTTTAACCAGATTGTAGATGTGTGCGGGGCAGTAACTCATAGGCCACAGATATAATCAGATACAATCTTGTCTAATACAGTATTTTCAAGAAGTGAGCATCGTGCCATTGCTCATAACAACACCAATTTAGGCTAATTTGGGTTAGACGCATAATTTGTTATCATATGTTGGCACGAGGGCTGTGCCACATATCAAAATAGTTTTTGAGGGAACCACAAGTTTTATAGAAGTGCACAAACATTGCACATGTTACATGGTTTTAGCCGGCAGTGGTAATATTTTCACAAACAGGTTAAATGTGGATTTCTCTGGTTAATCTATGTAAAATGAAGGTTGTGGTGACCCTGACCCTGTGCTCTCTGGACCTGAAGCAGTGGTTCATAAATTGAACAAAGAGAAGCCCAAGAATTTGTCTTTCTGTTTACCACAAATATCAAATATTTACTGGTTCGCTCACGTATGGAGAATGTTGATAGAGTTCAGTGCAGTTCTCATGGTGAACATTTACATTCATTTGTGTTGGACGTAAAAACAATTACTTTCCCCATATGACCCAGCTGGTGTCCTTACCTCGCACAGTGAGCGTGACCCTGACCAGTATAGAGCCCAGAAGGTTCCTTGCCACACACTCGTACTCCGCGGTGTCTTCCCGCTGGGCCCCGCTGATGTGTAGAGAGCCGTTGGTCAGGGAGGAGAAGCGATCATTACCCAGGAGCGGACGCCCCTCTCTGGACCACTCTATCATCGGAACGGGCTCCCCTTCAGCCTGGCAGTTCAGCACCACTGAAGCACCAGCGTCCAGGACTGTGTCTACTGGCTCAAGGACAATCGAGGGGACACCTGGAAGAAGACAGATGGGTGAAGGTAGAAACAAAGTATGTTCAGAAATCTACTACTCGAGATGTACCAATCTGTTACATTTTTTGCAACAAATGTAATTGGTTAGGGATATACCAACTTGCATCTGTTATGCGCCACAATCATACTATTCACCTCTACAGTTGCAGCGATGACAACTGTGGCATGCAGGTGAAAGTCTGATCCTGACACACCTCAAAAGCTAAGCAGGTTAGGGTCAGGTTAGGCACAATGGGTTGATCATTTCTACTAATATTACAACCAAAAAACCAGTGAACATCTTTTCACACAGGAAGCAGCACAAGTCCTTTCATTTCCACGGCACAATTAAACACACCATGTTTCCTGCTTGGGTACTTGCAGAGGGTCTGTGTACTCACAATGATCAAAATGAGGAAGTGGCCAATGAGTGATGTCACACGCACATCCTCATGAACTCGCTTCCTGTCCTGGTCCTAGCGGGTTTTTTTTTTGATTAAGGTTAAAGATAAAACAGAATATTTCTCACTGCCCAGGAGGATATACCCAATTCTTAATGAACAAACAAGTATAGACAGTCAGCTACAACTATTTATGAAATGGTGGATTCTCATTTCTTACTCTGCAGCGTTAGTGTGACGCTTCTTTCCATAATGCCAGCATCATTTGTGGCCACACACATGTAATTACCGGCATCCTCAGCCTGTCAAAAAGAGAAAAAAACATGTGGGAATATTCTGAGGTATTGGATTATCAACAGTGAAATGATTGCATACCACTGTGCCGTAAATGGCCAAAGACCCGTTGTCCAGCAGCCGGATGCGATTATTGATTGGAATGTTTATACCATTTTTAACCCAGTGAATGGTGGGTAACGGGCTGCCCCTGACCTCACAGTTCAAGATGGCGTTTCCCCCCAGAGGCTCGATCCGGTTTGAGTTGAGGTCTCCATCAATGATTGGGGGCTCTACAAATAGACACACAATCTTCATACATCCTGCTTTTATGGCTGTGCTTGAAAGATGTCACTGTTTTGTCAATAGTTTGGAGAACATGAATGAACGTGGATACTTTTTCTCGATATTGTTAGTGGTTGTGTAAAGCCATATATTGCCAAATATATGGCAAATATCAGAGGTTGTGGCAGAGCTGCTCTGCCACAACCTCTGAGCCCCCATCTGTTCAGTTACTAGCCTCAGAGGCTAGTCAGATTGAAACTGTGTGTGCATGTGTGTGTGTGCCTGTGTGTGCTCAGTTACTAGCCTCAGAACCTAGTCAGATTGAAACTGTGTGTGTTCCCCGCTTGAAGTCTAAAGCACTATATGCGAGGAAATCTGACCTAGGTGTCAGACACAGTAACTTAATAAAAGTTCAGACAGACAGAAATAGTTCTAGCGGTAGGGTTGTTAAATGTGGTTTAATGAACGTCAGATCAATCTCGTCTAAATCGCTTCTCATAAACGAACTTATTATAGACAAGGGCTTGGATCTGTTTGCGCTCTCGGAGACTTGGCTCCAACAGGACGAGTACGTTAGATTGAATGAGTGCACTCCTCCGACGCATGTTAACTACCAGAAAGCCAGAGCTACAGGTCGCGGCGGTGGTGTTGCGATTATATCACACACCAACTTGGTTCTTAGTCCCAAAACCAACAACGCTTTTCACTCGTTTGAAAACTTAACACTTTCAATCACCTGTCCTGGGTGGAGAAAACAAAAAGCAGTACTATTTATAGTTTTATACCGACCTCCTGGTCCTTACAGCGAGTTCCTAACAGAATTCTCTGACTTCATTTCAAACCTAGTTTTGGAATGGGAAAACATAGTTATAGCTGGAGACTTCAATATACATGTGGACGACAGCACTGACAGCTTAAACAAAGCTTTCAGCGCCGTACTAGATGGTGTTGGTTTTACTCAGAATGTCGAGGAACCTACTCACATTCATAACCACACCTTGGACCTTGTCCTGACCTACGGCTGTGATGTCTCCAATGTTGACATCCAGCGTCAAAGCTCGTTGCTGTCTGACCATTTCTTGATCACGTTTGATCTCGCTTTGGAGGACTTTCCTGTCCCGCAAGATAAAACCATAATGAAAAGAACCTTAAATGATAAATCTATCACAAGGTTCAAAGAACTAATACAGCCTATGTTGAATACTGCTGCAGGTGAACCTGTTCACAGCAGCTGCAGTCCCTCAGTCATTGACCAAACGGTGGGCAACACTATGGAGTCTTTAAAATCTGCATTAAATGCAGCAGCTCCTTTAAAACAGAAAACCATTAGGATTAGATCATCGTCGCCCTGGTACAGTGTTCAACTCCACACTTTAAAACAGGACGTCAGAAAATTGGAGAGGCTATATCGCCACTCCCACTCGGAGCCTGTCCACAGGGAGTGGAAAGCAGGTCTCCGAAACTACAAGAAGGCCCTTCGCGGGGCTCGAACTCAATACTATTCAACTTTAATAGAAGCGAATAAAAACAACAGTAGATTTTTGTTTGGTACCGTCGCTAAACTCACAAACTGCCATAGCGCAATCGAGCCTAAAATTCCAAGCTCACTGAGCAGTGTCGACTTTCTCCACTTCTTTAATAATAAAATTACATCCATCCGTGACAAGCTGGAGGAGGTTGCTCCTGCTGTTAGTGGTGGACAGGTTGAAGCGGCATACGTGACTTCCCACTTAGACTCTTCAGTGGGCCTTAATAAATTCATGGCTGTGAGCCAAGCAGAGGTGATCTCTGTGGTCACATCCTCAAAAGCCTCAACTTGCATGTTAGACGCAGTCCCGACATGGCTCTTCAAAGACATACTTCCTTTGATAATTGAGCCTATCGTAAATATAATAAACGCATCCATACAATGTGGCTATGTCCCACAAGCTTTTAAAACCGCGGTAATCAAACCCCTTCTGAAGAAAACAAACCTGGACCCAGAAATACTTACAAACTACAGACCGATCTCAAACCTCACTTTTATATCTAAAATCCTGGAAAAACTTATAGCTGAGCAGCTCCGCTGCCACCTGCAGGAAAATGATATGTTTGAAGTCTTTCAATCAGGATTCAGAGCTCATCATAGCACTGAAACGGCACTAGTCAAAGTCACAAATGACTTACTACTAGCTGCCGATAATGGACAAGTGTCAGTGCTGGTCCTACTGGACCTTAGTGCTGCATTTGACACAATAGACCACAGCATTCTACTGCAGAGGCTAGAATGTGATATAGGTCTTAGAGGAACAGCCCTTGGCTGGTTTAAATCCTATTTATCAGATCGATATCACTTCGTCAATGTGAATCAGGACTCGTCGCCTTATTCTGGAGTGGAATTCGGTGTGCCGCAGGGTTCGGTACTCGGACCGATTCTTTTTACTCTCTACATGCTGCCACTGGGAAACATTATTAAAAAGCATGGAATTAATTTCCACTGCTATGCAGATGACACACAGCTTTATCTGTCGATGAAGCCTAATCAGACAGATCAGCTAGAAAAGCTCAGTGCCTGCATAAAGGACCTTAAAATGTGGATGACTCTTAACTTCCTACTTCTCAACCCGGAGAAGACAGAAGTGATCCTACTCGGTCCGAAGCGCCTGCGTGACTCCCTCACTAACCAGATGGTTACTCTCGATAATGTCAGTATTATACCCAGTAACACTGTGAGGAATCTTGGAGTCATTTTTGACCAAGAACTCTCCTTCAAGGCTTATATAAGCCAAGCAACTAAAACGGCGTACTTCCACTTACGGAACATCGCTAAAATTAGGAATTTCCTTCCTAAAAGTGACGCGGAAAAACTCATTCACGCGTTTGTCACCTCAAGGCTCGACTACTGTAACGCTTTACTGGCAGCGTGCCCTAAAGCCTCTTTGAAGAGCTTCCAGCTCGTTCAGAATACAGCAGCTAGGATCTTAACAGGTACCAAAAGGAGGGAGCACATAACTCCGGTGTTAAAATCACTCCACTGGCTCCCTGTGGAGTACAGAATAAAGTTTAAAATCCTTCTCTTAACATATAAAGCCATAAATGGCTTGGCTCCTTCTTATCTCCAAGACACGTTAGTGTCGTATCAACCAGGTCGAGCGTTGCGCTCACAAAACACCAGACGTCTGGTGGTCCCTAAGGTCTCAAAGGTCACTGTTGGTGGCAGAGCATTTAGCTCCAAGCTCCTTTACTGTGGAATCAGCTTCATTTATGTTAAGGAAGCAGATACGGTACCACATTCAAGGCCAGGCTTAAAGCACTTTACTTTAATTTAGCATATAATTAGGTAATATATAATATGTAGTGTATATATTATATATATATGCTGTATTATGTTATATATTATGTTATATATTATTCAATAATGTATTGTGTTATGTTGTATATTATGTTATATATTATGCTGTATGTTATTCTTTATTCAAGGCTAGGTTTAAAACAGTCCTCTTTAGTTTAGCATATGGCTAGGAAGGTAAGACTCGGAGAAGGTTAAACTCCTCAGAGTGTCAGTCAAGCTGCATAGGGAGCCCCCTGCTGGAGAAGTATGGTAACTTGAGCACTATCCTCTCCTCCTTCCTACTTTATCTGTTTAGCATTTTTAGGATTCTGACTGTAGTTTGTTCATTGCTATTCACCCGTTGTCCCATTGTCTGTTTCATGGTACGATGACGGGATCTCTGAGCCTGGCCTCTTCCATCTACACCTGCGGACTGCCCCGCCCGACCCGCCTGGGAGTGCTTCAGTCCTGCACCGGACCTGTCCACGTTCAGCGTCCACTGGTCCACGTTCTGTAGCTAGCTTAGGTCCTGGATCATTAGTCTGTCCGTCCGGAGGAGCGGATCCCTTTCTCATATGGGTCTCCCTCCCTGTGGGTTTCCCTAGTTCTCCTCCAAGGTTTCTCACGTTTTCCCACTGGGTTTTTTAAGAGTTTTTCCTTGTCGATGCAGGAGGGTCTTGTTGGACAGTTAGTGTCCAACAGAAAGGATTGGTGATGATCAGGACACTTTAGCATTCTACAACATGTATGGACATTTTCTTCTGTGTGTGCTTTATACTGTATTCTTCATGTGTTTTAACTGTTGATTCTCTGACCTGTGTTGGTGATTTCAATGGTTTTGTTAAGTCCTCTGAGATGACTTCTGTTGTGACCTAGGGCTATACAAGAATAAATTGTATTGTATTGTATTGTAAATAAACATGTTTTCCATGTTCAATTAATACATAAGTAAGCTTTCTGTGAAGAATGGGCAGCTTTAACTTCAGAGAGGATGAAGAACCTCAACCACAGCAACCACAAAAGACTGCAAGCTGTCATAGATGTTGAAGGAGCAAAACACTATTGAGAACTGGGGGATGGAGACTTTTGATCAGGGCTAGATGAGGAGTGTCTTACATCATATTTTAAACATAGAAAACATGTATCTTTGACAATAAATGGCTTCACACAACCACCAACAATGAATGAAAGAAGAAAAACTATTTGCGTTATCATTTATCGTCTCCAATATGGCCTAAACAATATGAAAATGTCTGCTTGCCAGTGTATAGTTTTGGCTTACCTTTAACATAAACAAAGCCCACAGACTTCACCACGCCCACACTGTTCTCTCCCGTGCAGGTGTAAGTGCCTGCTTCATGTTTGCTCACTCTGTCGATGACCAGCTCACTGTGGCCGCTTATGTGATTGTAGACAACTAAAACACAAGACACAAAAAAAAAAATCAGCATTAATAGTATTCATTTTGTTCTTAAACTTTGGCTCCTTGATCCTTGACAAAATGATGATACGTTGGTGGGTCAGGACCACATGAATGGGTCCATGGGAAAAGTGCCACTTCTTTAATTTTTGAACCCCTGCACCACCAAATGTCTAGGCACGTCCCTGGTTATTCACAAAGCATTTAAAATAGACTTGACCAGGAAGGAACAATGTCAAATGAAATGACTTTGTATAATATTCATCCTTTAAAGTAATGTTCTCATGTGCTCTGTGAGCCATACCTGGGATGATCTTGTTGTTGAAGGCCCATGTGATCCGAGGTGCAGGGACCCCAGTGGCACCACAGGCCAGTAGGAGGCGCTCTCCTTTGTTGAGGGACACGTCTCCGAGTAGTTGAGTAAAAACAGGATGTGTGTGGACGGCAACAGACATGGTGTGGGTGTCCTGACCCACAGTGTTGGTGGCCACACAGGTGTACGAGCCGCCGTCTGAAGCCTGCGGGACCACATCACAGAACAGACTATGACATCATTACAGATACTTTGATCAAAATATTATTCTACGATACAAATATGTACTTAACACAGACGGTAAAAAGCTATTTCTAAGTTTTGCGTTTGTTTGATAAATAAAAAATGTGGAATTTGAGCCAAATTAGAAGCATGGCAAGTAAAAAGTCATCAGAAAAGTGTGTGCGGATGTGCGTGCAAAGGAAATGTACATGAAATAATAAAAAATAAATAAATAAATAAATTAATAACATGGAGTTGAAATAAGGATAGGGCGGTCATTAAATATATTTCTTCATAATTTTGTTTTTATCTTTTATAGCAAGCATTCAAGTTTTTTTTTACTATGTTTTTCTGTTTATTAAAGGGCAGCTGTTATTGCACTTGGACTTGTTTTACAAAAATAAAGAACATGATTTATATATTGGGGCTGGGTTCAAATCCCGGTCGGAACAGGGCTTTTCTAAGTGGAGTTTGCATGTTCTCTCTGTGTCTGCGTAGGTTTCTTCCAGGTGCTCCGGTTTCCCCTACCACTAAAACACGCTCACTAGGTTTAATCCTCCAGCTCTGGTCCTGACCGAGCCGAGCATCAACATCTGGAGACGGGTTCCCGGGCGCTGTTACTACGGCGACCACTGCTCCTGACGTAAGCCTCAGGATGGGTCAAGTGCAGACACTAAAGTGGACATTTACATTTAAACATTTATGGAGGTTGTGGTGGACTAGAAATGTATTGTTTTTTATAGTTTGAAAATAAAGATGAATGCACAGAAATAAAAGTATTCAGAAAACAGTACCTACTTTTTCAGGTACAGGTCTACATGATTCTTGAGCGGAATAAGTTTTAAAAGTATTCTACCCAACACTGGAAGTGATCATTTTTCTCAATGACTGTCATTTATTTGATCCCTAAACAAGATAAAAAAGAATGTGCCTTTTCTCATGTAATTCTCATTGATTTGGCAGAAGAGCAGGAAACATTAAAGTTCTCTTCACCGTGTTGTCTTTTGGACAAAACGCAGCACAAAGGATCATGGACAATGTAGTTTGTTTTGACAATATCGAGGCACTTTTACTTCCGCAATATTGCGATAATGGGATTTTTTTTATATTATTGTTAGGTCAAGGTCAAGGTCAAGGTCAAGTTTATTTATAAAGCACATTTAAAACAACAATGCTGCCCAAAGTGCTGTACACAAAAATACATGTATATAAAATACACAATTTGAATATAATAAAATTAAAATACAGATGCGGAAAAACAAAATTCAACACCAGCAAAAAAAAAAAAAAAAAAAAAAAAAGTCCTGCTCAGTTTTAATTAAAGGACTTCGCAAACAAATGGGTCTTCAACATAGACTTAAAAATGCCTAAAGACTGGGCTGCTCTAATATTTAAGGGGAGACCATTCCATCTACAATATTGTTAGATCACTTCTAATCAGTAGCACAAGTAAGAGTTAATGTATGGCAGATAAGTGCCAAGTTGTAATTGTGTAATACTATTGAATTTCTAACCTGTGCGATGTCTATGAGCAGCTCTCCAGACGGCAGGACAGTATACTCCCCAGTGCTGTCGCTCACTGGCACCCCGTCCTTCTCCCAGCTCAGGATGGGCTGTGGGACCCCCTCAGCCACGCACACCAGCTGGGTCTGACTGCCCTCCACCACGGACACCTCTGACCTTCCTCTCACAATGGAGGGGGGAACTGCACACACAGAGTTAGACTGGTTCACTTTGGATTTGGTTTCTTGAACAACCAGAAGGAGAATTCTAGAAACATGTACGCAAATGACAGACAGAGCCAGATTGTATTTATGGCTTGATAGATAGATAGATAGATAGATACTTTAGGAGAAATACAGGTGTCCAGTAGCAGCAAAAATATGAAATAAAATTGATCATTCTAAAAAGCTAGCAATAGTAATAATCAGCCACAGCCCTTCAGGTCACAGCAGCAGAGGTGGAGTAGCCTCTTGGTTTTGGACCATTTTCTCTGCTCTAGTCCAAAGTAAAATGCTAAATGCTTCATTAGCATTTTTTAAAAGGTTAGCATTCCTCCAGTGGATTTTCACCTGATCCACTTGGTTCTGACCATAAATCCTCTCTGCTCTGGTCTGGACCAGTGTAAAACCACTAACACTGCACTGCAGTAACATCCCAAGCAGAAAAAGCAATAAAAATAAAAATTGTAGAGCACAAGAAACTCAGGACTTGCAGCCGTTTTCCAGCGCATTCAACAACAGAAGATCCTTATACACTGAAGACTTTTTGACAACAGTAGGAAAGGGAGGCATGGGAAACTTCAAACAACACAAACTTCTGACTTTAAAAAGAAGTCTTCTAAAGTCAAGGCGCAGTGCTATAGGACCAGAGGGAATCCTATTATAATGGGCTAGGGCACGGCTTTTATGCACATGGAGCAATTTAAAAATGTTCCATATTTGCAAAAAATATGCAAGGTGTTTGTTTCGCTGTCATTATGCAAAATATTGCACCTCGTGTGACCTCACCATGTAGAAAACAGTTTGGTTTTATTACTATCTAAATGACCTACACATTTGGTCGGAGTGGTCCCACTGAGCACGTCTCAACAGAAAGAGACTACATTGTGAGGCAGGTTAAATGCTTCTGACGTCCCAGCCTGTGTCCCTGAAGACTTACTCTGCACAGTGAGCTCCATGTCCACACTGGCGGTCCCTGCTGCATTAGCCGCTGTGCAGGTGTAGCGGCCTGTGTCCCCGGGCTGGAGGAAGGCCATCTGCAGAGAGCCCGAGCTGAGCACTCTCTGGCCAACGGACTCTGAGAGCAGCTGGCCGTCTTTACGCCAGGACAGGACTGGAGCAGGAGTGCCCTCTGCCAGACACGGCAGCATCACAGAGGAGTCCACAGGAGAAGCGTAGTTCTGAGAAACCGTCCTGATCACCGGGGGAACTGAAGCGGGCAAACACACACTTTTAATATGTGTCTGAATTAAATGTTTAATATAATAATAAATATAAAGGGAGGGGTAGTTAATCTTTTTGTTTCATGAAGAATACATTTGTTTAATGCAAAAGAAAAGCTAAAAGCTGCCTAGTTTTTCCTGAATCTGATTTTCCAACTTTTCACAAACCAGATAACCCAGCATTCAGATGTAAAAGTTTACCTTGGACTATGAGTTTGGTTTTTCCCAAAGCTGTGCCTGCGCTGTTCTGAGCCACACAGATGTATGTGCCTGAATCCAACACAGAGGACTTTGAGATCTGCAGACTTCCATCGGGCAGCACTGTGTAAACACCACCTATAACAGCAGGTACATACAATACACTGTCACTCTAAAGTAAAAGTACACAACAGTGAAGTACTATGAACAGTCACCGGCCGTCGGGAGGCTGATGCCCTCTTTCTGCCAGCTGATGGTCGGGGTGGGGGAGCCTGTTGCGCTGCAGGGCAGGGTCACAGGGTTGTTTAGAATCACATCCAAATCCACTCGGTGGTTCTGGATGACCGGGAGCTCTGGAGAGGTCAATGGAGAAAATCATTGGAGTCGTTAAATTAAAGTAGATTTAGGAATATATTTGTTGACTTGCAGAATAAAACATATTCAAAATGGATTTAACCTATTCATATTTATAATGACAGTAGCTCAGTTGGTAGAGCATTGGCCTTTGGGCCTGGAGGTCGTGAGTTCGAATCCCACCATGGGACCTACTCCAGCTGCTCCCACTGATGACTGCTGTCGTTGTGTCCTTGGGCAAGACACTTAACCCCACGTTGCCTGAAGCCCCCGCTGAAAGATCAAGGCTGTATCACAACTGATGGAGCAGCCATCTTCCTGTGGACTCACCCCCTGCAGAGGATCAGAGGGACTGGTGCTATGAGCATTGGGTGGCAGCTCTCATTGCCACCCCCCCGACCCAGAAATTGACTAATAAAGGGGTTGAAAATGAAATGAAATGAAAAAATATATATTTATAATGCTAATGATGCTAATTAGAGTCTGTATAAAACAAAAGTTGTACATTGTTTTTTTGGACAATGCTGTCAATAAAGTGGATTAGACGTGAATACATCTGATTTTTACCCAGACACAGTTTTCTGAGCGCAGAGACACCATTAGAAAAACAAGCTCAGAGGGAACATTGTGTGGTATGTTTCACCCTGAACAGTCAGCTGCACATGTCGCACAGTGGAGCCTGCAGCGTTTTGGGCTGTGCACTTGTAGCGTCCGGCATCACTAAGTTCGACTGACTCGATCTCAATTGGACCTAAACACAGGATAATAACACACATATTATTACACATGCACCCTTGAGGAGACTGTTTATATTCAAGTAAACATATGAATTGGTTCTCTATGAGAAACAGTCAGGAGTGTGTTTGCAGACGGACCTGTCGGCAGGAGGCTGTACCCCTGCCCTTCATGCGACAGCCTGGTCCCATCCCTGCTCCAGTGGATGGTGGGCTCTGGGACCCCAGATGCAGTACAAGGTATGATCACTGAGGACAGTCTCATCACAACCAGCTCAGTGAGCTCATCAGCGATGGATGGAGGCACTGAAGAACACACATGTATTCAGTGACAGTGTCGGTGCTGGTCTAGTGCTGTGTTCAAACTCACCATGGACGCTGAGGATGACCTGTCTGGAGTCCTCTCCGGCTTCATTAGAGACCACACACTCGTACACAGCTGTGTCCTCCACTGTGGCCGCGATGACCACCAGAGATCCAGACGACAATAACCTGTTAGCATAAGATGTCACATGCTGCTGTATGCTACACAGAAGAGGCAAGTATCTACATTTTTAGGTACTGTACTCATTTTGTCTGATGTTGGTACTTGAATACTTGAATATTTGTTTACCTTTTACTTTTTACTCCTTTGTTTTCAAACACAGATATCTGTACTTTCTACTCTTTACTTAAACATGCTTCAAAGATGAGAGTCTGTGCCAGTCTGAAGCACTTTCACAACAGTATAACAATTGTCCACAAGCCAATGTGAAAGTATAAGTAAGTAAGTAATGTTTATTTATATAGCACATGTTACAGACCAAGGTACAGACCCAAAGCACTTTCCAATGTTCAGAGTCAGATATTGTTCCAGTCCTTCCACACACGGTGATGACAGAAGCGAGTCCAGAACACACTGGACCATCAAAGCCTCTGACCCAACACCATCATTCACTCTCTCATTCACATTCAGACCTATCATACCTATATAATACTAATATATGATCGAGTGATACCTTTAAGTCCCACACTGGGGAAATGTCAAATTACAAATAATTGACAAATTGAAAAAATGGTCAATTATTATTATTTTCATGCGGCAAGTGAAAGAGAAAGTGAACATGGCGACTGCTTCGGGGAAAGGCAGGTGAAGGACTTTTGCAGATTGTGTGGTCCTCATTCCTTTTGGACAGCTCCTCATGTGGTTGAACTAAAACTGAGCATCGCAGAAAGTAATATAACCTTTAGAATGTTCATTGTAATTGGATCAGCTCCAACACAACCATAAGAAATCTGTGGATCTGCCCAGACATGGAAAATTAAATACCACAATGCAGAATAGAAAAGTGTAAGTAAAAAGAGCGGGGTTGTTTTGTGGCTGTGGTCAGGGGAGCCAGGGAGACGCAATGGGTTAAGTGTGAAAAGGAAAAGTCAAGCAAGTCATGTCCCCTTTAATCTTCTCAAAAGCAAGCATCTAAAAAAGTTCCACACCTATACATATTCTGGTTCTGGTCGGTGTTAATGAGGCGTCCGTTCTTCCTCCAGCTGACTGTGGGTTTAGGAATCCCCGCGGCCTCACAGGACAGCGTGGTCTGGACATTGACTGTCACCGTCACGTTGTTGTGGCCCTCAGTGATAGAAGGAGGAACTGGAAAACAAAAAAAGAGAATAGTACATGGAACCACTCTTGTTGCTCTTCCATCCCCACACACACCGTGGACTTGCAGGTCCACTCTCTTGCGCTGTGTCCCGGCTGGATTCGTGGCCATGCACAGGTAGCGGCCCGTGTCTGTGACCTGAGCAGAGTGAATGTGCAGCGACCCATCTTCGGCAATTGCGTATCTGTAAATGGCATTTTTACACGATTTAAAACTTAAAACAAATGACATACTTAAAGAGCGACTAAACACCTGTGCCCAGCCTTACTCCGCCCACATGAAGATTTGAAAATTTTCTCTAAAAAGGGCGTTGCCTGGAGGACTAAGGGACAAGAAGGGGGGCTTAGAGTTGGGCGTGGTCTGGGCTGTGATTGACAGCTCACTTGTCACACACAAAAAAAACAGACAGTTGTCATTGCTGCTTAAAGCAATAGTTTACAGACCAGAAAGTCTCATTCCACCCTTGTTTACACACTAAGATAATTGTAAAGCTACACACCTGAACCTAATCACACTCAATAATCTCAGAATGACTCGTGTAATTTAATTTTAATCCACTAGATGGCGCCAGAATACTCCAAACTGCAGCTGGGGCGTGTGTGAGAGTTGAATGGGTTCACATCACTGGCTCTGACAGACTGACGTCACACAAAACAACTGATGTCATAGAGAACTTCAGAGTCAATGGAGAGGCCAGAACCAAATTCAAATGCAGTACCACCAAAAAGGTTGAGATGGCGCCACACAGACGTTTTTTGGCTCAAAAGTGATATTTTATCTAATTTGAACTAAAATGTCAAAAAAAATGACCAGGATATGTAGACAGCACTACAATAAACATACTTATGCAGTTTATGAGTTCAAAAAAGTTGATTTGGTGTTTAGTCGCTCTTTAACCACAGGAGTCGTCATTCACCTGGGGCTGTTAGTGGAGAGTATTGCCCCGTGCTTTCTCCAGGTTACCCGCGGGGGTGGCACTCCCTCCACCACACACTCCAGCACCACAGGCTGCTCTATTGGTACAGACAGTGCGACTGGACTCTGTCTGATCGAAGGGGCCACTGCAGAGACAATCGAACAAATGTTGCTCCCGTTAAATGTGTTCAAATAGAAATGTTAAAGTTGAAGCCACGCACTTGGACAAACAGCAGCGCATGGAGGACATGTGTTAAAAAATAAAAATAAAAAAAGTGCAAAAAGCCACATACACAAAATACAAATACACAGCTTCACTTGCAACTTACAATTGTTAATTTTTGTTCAATTGGTTGATATATTGTATTGGGCCTATATTTGAACTTTTTGCCAATCAGCCATTACTTACTCCATGCTATCATATCAATGGTTTGCTATCATTGCATGTTATACCTCATTTTAAAGCTAATTCTCACCCACAACATTGATTTTACTCCAAACAAAACACTATCAGTAAAACATCCTCAAATCTATCAGTAAATCAGACGACAGCTTTGGTCCAGTGATGTCTTACGTAAAACTGTACTAATTTTGTTCTGAATATAACATAACATACAACAACATATTTAATGAAAGTAAATACTATACTGTAAAATAAGGTATGTATTGAACTACCATTTTTTTTAACGAAACAAAAAATTATGACTTGGAATGAGAGAAAGACAGAAAGAATCCAACAGTGTGTGGAAAAGGCATCAGTTCCTTGCTCCATTTGGTAAATCTTGCTTTATGACAGTCAGGTAGGGTTTTTTTAAATTATTTTAATTGTAGATATCAAAATTGCATGACAGTCAATCAATTAATGTCGATCTGAAATAGATTCTGGCCAAACAAAATCCTTGATGTTATAAAAATAATGTGTTTTTAATGAATTTTCGTTTCGTCTTCGCCTAAAACCTGTGTGTGATGTCATAGCGGGTAAGAAGCCATGGATCTATGCCACTACTGCTATCCTCTCTTCTCTCCGCTGATGTCTGATGCAATACTGCCCTCTACAGGTGTCCACAGCTCATCACACATATATTATATTGCCGTTTTGTGAGCGAAAATGTTGATGTACTCAGATTCGAACCCCAGTCACTACGGTGCAGGAGCTGTGACATAGCGCCTTGTCATCTTGAATATCCGAGAAAAAAAAGACTACCAAATACCAAGTTGTAAACTAACAGTCGGTTGAAACGTCCTCGCTCCGACGTCACCAAGGGAGAAGAGGCTGCGCATTTTTTTCCTTTCTGAGGACGTTGTTATGGACATTTCTCAATTTGAGGGGATCAGACAAAAAAAACAATTGATTTTTAAACCTTTAGTGGTTCTCTTCCAATATAAAATGGTATTAAAACTGTATTTCTTTATCAATCCAACCCTGCATAAGGTCTTTAAATTAAGTTCAGGCTAATTTAAAAAAATGTTGGACTTTGTGTAGCATTTAGTTTGCACTGCAGCCTATAAGGAGTTAGATAACCATACGACAGGCACGGTGGCTGAGTGGATAGCACTCTCGCCTCTCAGCAAGAAGGTCCTGGGTTCGAATCCCGGTCGGACCAGGGCCTTTCTGAGTGGAGTTTGCATGTTCTCCCCGTGTCTGCGTAGGTTTCCTCCGGGTACTCCGCTTTCCCCTACCACTAAAAATATGTCCAATAGTTCTGGCATGTGCCTCCTGTACTGGCCCAGCTCCCATCTCTGTGTGGAGTGAGAGACAAATGCCCAAAAATTAACAATTGTAAACCGCTTTGAGACTCAGATCTGCAGTAAAAACTTACTTACTTACTTACGACCAGTACTCATATAATTGGAGGCATTGATACAATATTAGAGCAAATACCATTGACAGTCAAGTTGAAGTTCCTTGTGGTTTTTCCGGCGACGTTGCTGGCGACGCAGGTGTAATGCGCTCTGTCGGTCAGCTCTGCCATGTTGATCTGGAGGTATCGGCCGCTGGACAGGACACGGACTCGAGGAGAAGCCTGTGAAAGACATTCTAACATGAGACTGTTTCAATCTCCCACGACAAGTCTGTGGGGGCCTGATCTGACCTGAAGCGGGTTCCCGTCTTTGAGCCAGGTCAAGGTGGGAGGGGGAACAGCGTCTGATTTGCACTCCAGAGTAATCTGTCTGTTCAGGAGGACAGATGTGTCCTGTGGCGTGGTCTCCCCGATGATATTAGGTGGAACTAGGAGACAAAAGGGACCGTCTTTGAGTAATCTTCCTTTTCCTGTCTCCACCAACTTGGTTTGTTGATTAAGTTATTTTTCTTAACTTGCGGTACCGAGAGAGTTATGTTAAACAGGCATTTTGGCACATATGCAAACAAAATACAAATTTAAATCTCCATCAAGGAGACGAGTGTCCAATACAAACAATTCCCAAAGAAAAACAGATAAAATGATCAGAAACCGGATATAAATCAAACAACAATATAAAAATAAACATAAAATTGATGAATAAAAATACTAAAACACCAATAAAATATATTAAGTCACTGAAAAGCAGCGGACCACACAACTCACGTGGCTCAAAACTCACGTGGCTCAAAACTCACGTGGCTCAAAACTCACGTGGCTCAAAACTCACGTGGCTCAAAAAGACAGAATAATAGTGGGTCTTAAGACAAGACTAAAATAGGTGTAAGTCCAGAGAGAAGCTCCTCCTGGATGTTAAGTCTTGTTAGGCACCACGAGCTGGAGCCTCAACTGTATAATGCAGTTGGGGCTCTTGAGTATTCACTTTTGTATTCAGTCCTGCCACAACAGATCAAGATAACGGTCAGTGGATATTTTTTTCTTCCAGCAAAAAGGCCTGCAATCCTACTCGTATTACAGATTCAGAAAGGAATATCAGCAAACAAAGGGAGTAAACCAATGGGCATCTAAACTGTGTGAAAGGCAAGAAAAATTACTTGATGAATGAAAAGTACATTTTATATGTGATACATAAATGTGTGGACGGACCGTGCACGTGGACCAGGAACTCCTTGTTGTCATCGCCAGCTGGGCTGTTGGCCAAGCAGCTGTATCGGCCTGTGTCTTCCAGCTAAAGCAACAGTGAGTACACATATTTCACACTAATATTTCACAAATTATTATTCAAACATACAATTAAAACATCCAAAAAACCTGGGCTGTAGATACACGTAGCACCTCTCCTCCACTCAGGAGGCGCAGGCTGTTAGTCTGGGGCAGGGGGCGGCCATCTTTGAGCCAGGTCAGGGATGGCGTTGGGATGCCGGAGGCGTTACAGTGAAGCTCCATCACATTATTGACCACCACGGACACTTCATCCAGGACCCCCGAGCCCTCAATGTGTGGAGGCTCTGATGGGACAGAGAAGGAGCAACACAAATGTTTCTTACAGATGAATTACAAAGTTGGTCTCTAAAGTTCACACATCCAAGCACAAAAGTCACTTTCTTTGGCTGTATTTTGGAGATTGACGAATGATAACAACGCAGCTATAGTTCACTGCATGACCAGTAGGAACCAGAAGTGAAACCTACCCAGTACTTTGAGATTGAAATGGCGGCTGGTGTGTCCCGCACTGTTGTTGGCTACACATGTGTACGTCCCTGTGTGGTTCACTGTGACTCTAGACAGTTGTAGAGTGGTGTTGAGGTTCAGCAGCAGCAGCTGGCCCTCAGACTGAAGCAGCTCTCCATCTTTGAACCAGCTCATGAGCGGAGCAGGGGTCCCATCAGCCACACACCGCAGAGACGCCATGTTTCCCCTGACCGCCGTGAGGTCCTCCACACTCCCAGCACCGTCCAGACTAGGGGGCACTGAAGACCACAACAGACACCAAGCATGAGATCTTCTAAGAATGTATGCATATTTACAATCACATCAACAAAGAGGCTGTACATATTTGCTACGGAAATGCTCCTGTAGCAAAGTTAAAAAGTGTGTTACAACTAAGAAGACGCTGCTAATGTCCTTGGGCAAGACACTTAATCCCACTTTGCCTGAAGCCCCCGCTGAAAGACCAAGGCTATGCCACAGAGCAGCCGTCCTCTGTTATCTGCCACTGTTTAACAATCTGCAGAATCAATGCCAGAGTTTTTCTATTTGTACACTCCAATGATAATGTTTTTTACTAATAATAATAGCATTAATCTCTGTAAATAATAATACACAATATAATCAAAACAGTAAATGTGTGTGTGTGAGTGTGTTTTGTCTTATGTTTGTGTCTTTCTCTAGGAATTATGTTATTATTTATTTTCTGCTTTACAACTGTCTGCCTGTATCTGTCATTTGGTGCAATTTTGAGGACCCCCTAGAAAAAGATATGTTTCATGTCTAAATAATGACTCCCTAAATAACCCCCCAAATAAAAGGAACTATACTTTTTACACTGTTGCACACTTGTATACTTGCCATGCACTTGCAGGTTGTAATGCTTGTTGTCCACTCCTGCTCTGTTGGATGCCACACATGTGTAGGTGCCACCGTCAGACACTTGAGTGCGTGTTATTCTAAAAGAAATACAAACAGACATGAGATTTACTTAACTACTATCAGTAAAGCACTACTTTGACAGACCTGAGTGATCGAGTGTACGGTTCTGTTCTCACCGTATCCTGCATTAGGGAAATGCTTTATTAAATCTTTGATGCTCTTGATCAAGACCCTCACTGGAGGATTTTACCTACGGAGCATGTTCTGGGGGATGGGGAAAACCGGAGCACCAGGAGGAAACCCATCCAGACATGGGGGGAACATGCATATTTATATTGTAACTATAGCACAGATAAGTAGAGAAATGGATAAGCATAATTATAATTTACTGTAAGCACTTTTCTAACAACAATGTTTAGGAATAGTGTTAAATGAGAATAAAAACACAGTCACAGCTTCAGGAAGAGAAGTTGATGAAAAGAGAACATTTTTCCCAAAATGTCCTCTCAGTTCTAGAGCAACACAGCAGTCACGTCGTACGATGTAGACCAGGGGTGCTCACACTTTTTCAGAATATAAAATAATCAAGTCAGAATGATCTACCTACTACAAAAATATATTGAGGATTCTTTATATCTACAATGTATGTTGATGTAAATGCAAAACCACATGATTTATGAAATAATTTGCATCCACACATAACCGAACATCTGCGTTTTCAATGACATTCATAACATTCAAACATGTGCGTCTCTGACGTCCTGCGTTGGGGAAAAAACACAGAAGTGGGCGGAGCTTTGATGCAGACGCCGGTGCTTCCCTGTGCTCCTCAGAGTCCCAGCAGATCCATGATGAAGACATGTGTACAAGCACTGACCCTCAGTCCTGGTTTGATCCTGGTTTAGCTCCTGTTTTGGTTGTTTTGGAGCGTGAGTCTGATGTGGATGTGGAGGATGTTCTCTGCTGCGAACCGCTCGCAGCAGAGAACAGTTTTTAAGGCAGTAAGATCCATGCTTCAGTGATCGCACGTTTTGTTTGTTGTTGTTTTGGAGCATACTGTGACGTGCGAAAACACAAAACTCCGGTTATCTCTGTCTACAGCAAATGCATAAACGGACAATTTTTTTAATGTAATACGATCTACCAATACTACCTTTGCGATCGACTGGTAGATTGCGATCGACGTATTGAGCACCCCTGATGTAGAGTAAAACAATCTTATATAATGGCTTTTTAAAAATGTTTTGATATCTGGAGACAAACACAAGCAGAGCACCCTGAAAACCCCATTAATCACTACCCATTATTAATATATCAATGAATTACAGACAGAAAACACCAAGGACTGCAATTATTCAAGTTCTTTACCTACAAAATAGGGACTAAAACAATTCTCTTGAATTGAGAATATTTTGAAGATTTGTCAATAAAACATAAGTATTTTTGGTCTTGTTGTCAGCAGAAACATTATTTCAATACTTAAATTATTATTATCATTATCATTATTATCTAAACTTTTTCATAATTTATACAAACTGTTAAAATGTGGACCCACCATCTGCTGGAGGATCAGAGGGACTGGTGCTGTGAGCGTTGAGCAGCTCTGATTGTGTTTACTTCAACAAAACACTTTTTAAGACAATTGTAAAGGGGATCGCTAAATTGTTTTATGCCATTTTTGGGGGGTCCCAATCTGAAAAGTTTAGGAACCCCTGGGTCAGCACTCTATACATTTTTTTAAAAACGTGTGGAAATTGTGTCTGAGGTATTAGCTTGAAATAAACACTTTTCAAATGGATTTCTCTTCAAGCATTTTCTATTTAAACATCGAGTAAAATCATATAATAACTATGTTGGTCCGAAACAGCACAGTCATGATTTGGGAGCAGGGAAAAGGATTCAGTGACTCTGTGCATGAACCTACCGGAGCATCTGTCCAGCAGAGAGCAGCCTGATGTGGGCGGAGACGGGCAGAGGAAGGCCGTTCCTGAGCCAGTTCATCTGAGGAGGCGGCGAGCCGGTGGCCGAGCACGCCATGTTCACTGAGCTGTCCAACACACTGACCACCTCCTCCGCCGCCTCTGTGCTGAGCTCAATCCTGGGAGGCACTGGGGAATAACAGCAAAAGAAATGGCTTTCACTTTTGTACAAAAAGCCACTATACAAATAAAAATCTCTAATTCGACAGGTAGACCTCGTACCATATACATTGAGGTTATAAATACGGTCCTCTTCCCCAGCAGAGTTAGTGGCCACACATGTGTATTTCCCACTAGCGGCGATGTCTGCTGCATCCACGGTCAGAATGCTTCCATCTGGACTGATGCTAAAAACATATGAGTGATTCAAAATCCTTTAGGAGCTTTAATGATGCTTGCAGAAATATTACATCTTAATATTGATCTTTACATTGAAGGCTACATCCGTGGTTTCTCCTTCCTTTTACCTGAGTGAGTAGTTTGAGAAGCTCTCCTCGATGACATGGCCGTCCTTCAGCCACTGAATGGTCGGACTTGGGTTTCCTTGTACTTGACACTCCAGCTTAATGCTTTCATTGAACAACACTCCCATCTCAGTCGGCATTTCTGATCCGTAGATGCTCGGAGGAACTTAGAGAACAGCTGCGTTAATATACTATATGAATATTTACCATTTACAGGTAGAGTGTAGAAGTGATGAGCATGCACCTTGTATGGTCAGATGGTAGTGTTTGGAGGCTCTTCCTTCCACGTTTGAAGCCACACAAGTGAAGGTGCCACTGTCAGAAACTTGTGATCGAGAAATCTGAAGCTTACTGCCTCCAGAGAAGATGTGCATCTCAAAAGACTCAGAGTTCTCTAAACAAACATGATTATCATTGATAAATCCTGTCTGTGATGTTTTTCTTAAAGATAAAGGTATCTAGACTCACCAATGGGGTGTCCATTCTTGAGCCAGGTCAGCCTGGGCGGAGGGATCCCTGTGGCGTCACAGGCAAAGGTGACCGGGTTACCGACGGTTTCAACAAAGGTCTCTTCTGATTGGCCGTCAATACTTGGAGGAACTTGGCCCCAGCAAAATAGAAAATAAACACAGTTAGATGAACAACATCTACATAATGTCATCTAAACCAATGACTCCGTACTGTATATGTTGAGGTGGAAGTTCTTGTCAACTTGTCCTGCCACATTTGTGGCCTTGCAGACATATTGTCCAGTATCAGAGACCTAAATGAGGGATGTGAACATAGATTGAAGCTGTGATTGTAATGTTTATACTTCTACTGTCATCGACCCCCGGAGTCACCTCAGAGCCTTTGATCAGCAGCCTCTGTCCCCTGGCCTGGATCTGCACGTGGGGCGACTCCGTCACCACTCGACCGTTCTTGTACCATGTCAGGGTGGGAGGAGGGACAGCGTTCGACTCACACTCCAGAGCCACATCTTTATCCATCAGCACATTCACCACCACAGGAGTGTTCCCCCTGCTGCCCTGGATACTGGGGGGGACTGCAACAAAGCCAGTTGGATTGGGAGGAGTGGGTTTGGCTCTTTTTCAAATGAATAGTATTACACAAGTGTAAAGCAGTCAAAAACTGACCATAAACTGTCAGCTGGATAACCTTTTGGGCTTCTCCTGCTGGATTTATGGCCACACATTTATATTTCCCACCATCTGAAACCTTTGCTTTGAGAATCTGTAAAGTACGCCCACCTGTAGACAAAAATAAAATGCAAAATATACTATATACATATATATATATATATATATATATACACACACACTACTGTATATATTCTATAAGTATTTAACAGGGATAAACTTATCTGATACCTGGCGTAATGATTGCATTGCTACCGGCCTGAACCGGGCCTTTTTCATTTAACCAGCTCAGTGCTGGCGGTGGGATTCCCGTTGCTTCACATGACAAAGACACAAAGTTGTTCACTACGACTGTGAGAGTCTCCGAGTTCATTCCAAGAAAAGAAGGAGGCACTACAAAGAAGACACACAATGTCAATACTTTATCAACAGAGATCTGTGTTACTTCTTAGGCTTCTATCATAAAGTCACATACAATGAACATTGAGGTTAAATGACTTTTCGGTGCTGCCGGCAACGTTTTCAGCCACACACACGTAGCGTCCAGTGTCGGCCAGTTGGGGGGTCAACACCTGGGACCAAGAGAAAATGAAAGTAATAATGTCAAATGAACTCCCCACAGCTTTGGACCCTGTTGCAGTTCACTCCGTTGTTGTATCGTGGGTACCTGAAGGATGCGTCCGCTGGACAGTACACGGTGCGTGGCGTCCGTGCTGAGGCGCTGGCTGTCCTTGTACCATGTGACGTTGGGGGCGGGGCTTCCATCCACTTGACATTTGAGTTGAGTGGTTTTGTTTGCCAATACGGTGACTTCCTCTGGAAATTCTGTGTCCGAGTCACGAATTGTTGGAGGTACTAATAAAAAACATTGTATAAAGTAAAAAATACAAGAGTAATTATTCAACAGTAACTCCTTTGCCATAAGTAAGTGTGGGTTGTTCTAAGGTGAAATAACAGAAGGAAAAATATCTCATTGTGATATATTTAGCCTATTGATATTGGTTGGAAAAAAAAAAATTGGTTGGTGCACAAGAAAGAGTAATTAAAAGGACAAAATAACATCAAATCTGGTATCGACAAAAGACGTATATATGAAAAAAGGAAGTAAATCTAAATAAAGCAGCAGTGTGAGCAATAACTTGTGATAAGTGCATAAAGCTATTGCAATGTGGAACTCCAAGTATATTTGCATTAAAATGTAGTTCCTGTAAATGTACCGACCCATCAATGACAATGTTCATGAAAATAATAACTGTCCCAAAGCATACATTAAAGGTCTGATGACTCACTTAACACTCTGACGTCGTACTGAATGGAGTCCTGTCCCGCCTCGTTCACAGCCACACATGTGTATCGCCCTGAGTCCTCCACCCGAGCTCGAGGAATCTGTAAAACTCGACCACCTGGGGGGAAAAACAACACTGGACTTGAAGCTTGAGCGAATGTATAATTGTAAATATGTTGTTTTTTCTCTTTTTGTTTCTGTGTGCATTGTATTTTTTTTTCTGTGTGCATTAAGATGTAAATACACCACTGCATGTTTAGAGGAGGGCCTAATGAAGCCCCTCCCTATATAAATCACATGGGCACTGATTCCACCATTTGCACCCTGAAGAAGGCCAAGCTAGGCTGAATCGCGTATTTTAATCCACAGCCATGAGAAAATAAAGGCTTTTAAAACTTTTGAAACTATTGACCACGAGTGCCTTGGATTTTTTGATTTTCTAAGATCTTCACCATTTGCCTTTTACCTGGAAAGTCAAAACTCAATTTTTTGTTATTAACACTGGACGTGAAGCTTGAGTACCTCCCTTGCAAGACACTTAACCTCTGGGAACACCAGCCACAGTGGGGCGGCTGCGGCTGTAAAGTGCCAAACTGCCGTTGTGTCCTTAGGCAAGACACTTCACCCCCATTGCCTAGAATGAGTCTGGTGTGTGTGAATGGTTGGTGGTGGTGGGAGGGGCCGATGGCACAGACTGGTTGCCTCGCTTCTGTCAGTGTGCCCCAGGGCAGCTGTGGCTACAGTAGTAGTTTATCACCACCGTGTTTGGAGTGAATTAATAATGACACATGTGAAGCGTCTTTGAGTGTCCAGAAAAGCGCTTTATAAAACGGATGCATTATTATTATTATTATTATTATTATTAATAAAATCCATGTAGCTTGAATTAGGACAGTGCATATTAATCAATATGTCAGCAACGGCTTCAACATAAATATGTTGGAAATAGCACATTAGTGAAACTGCATCCATCGCTGCAAGGCAGGTAGTGGAATCAAACAAACAGCTCAAAACAATTTAGACCATAAACAAACAATTATAGGTACAAACTGTTTAAAAAGAGAGTCCAAAGTAAAAGCGTAAAGTTTTGCATGTGCTTTGATGCGGTGCGAGTCCATTTAGAATTTTAATAGAAAGCTCTGATAGCTCCAAAATCTAAAAGGATAATGCAAAGGCTTCTTGTCTAAAGTGTAGAGGCTCGGGTGCATTTGCTGATGCTGCTGTCTCTTTGTTTTCACGAGCCCTATTTTGGCTTCTGTCACATCTTTGGAGCAGCTCTTTAAATAAGACAGCAATAGTAAGATTATCCAGATGTTCTGATGGCTCCACACTCACCGGGCAGCACCAGGACTCTGCTGGTGGACTGCAGCGGGCGGCCGTCCCTGTACCAGGTGAGAGTGGGCGGAGGCACTGCGTTGGTCTCACAGAACAAGGACACAGGATTATTCAGGATCACATCCCGCACATCTCCATCAGCACCAGGCAAAGGGCTCGTCTCGCCATGGTGGAAGTGTGGAGGGACTGAAAGAACACACTCGTTCAGAAAGCATTTGAACTATGAACTAAACTTCTTTATTAGCATTTGAATACACTTTAAAAGTACAGTGTTACTGATCCAGGGGAGGGTCCGCTGCTCGTCTCTGTATTAGTTATATCTCAAAGAAGGTACTTTATAACACTGTGTCTTCATTTAGATCAAGTGTTACTTTGAAAAAGTATTTAGTTGTCAAATTATACTATGTAGTTACAGTCTCCTGAAGGAACTTAGTTACTTTAGTCATAATATATTATAAACTAAAACAATGTGTTGATTATTAAATATGCTTCAGAAGTGGTAAACAATACGTTCTCTATAGACACAAATGTATTCCAATATAGTGTTCAAGTGACATGCAGATATTTGTAACTCCAGTTGAACAGTGAGCAGCGGACCTTCTCCCTGTAGTCACAGAACGTTTAGATGTATTTGTGTCCTCTCATTGATGATGATTATCCAAGTTCACCTTGTATATTTACATCAAAGTCCTTCTCGTCCTCTCCTGCTATGTTAGTGGCCACGCAGGTGTAGCGCCCAGTGTCCGACACCTGAGCATGCTTGATCTGCACAATGCGACCACTGGCTGTAATAGACACATGGTCATCTGCCAACAAGGTCTAAATAGACAGAAAACAAGCCATTGTAGTCACGTATGGAAATAACTGGAACATGTATAAAGAATGCAAACAGGGAGTACTGACAAAAATGCAAGCCACATTCATGAAATCTGATTCCATTACTTTGTGTGATATGTTCTTTGTTGTATTTGTTTTTTATTTTCAGTCTTTATCACTACTTTCACTTGAACCACTGCTTCTACCATCGCAGAAGGCAGTGGTTAAAGTGAACAACAGGTAACATGGGTGGGGCAACCAATCAGGAGCGCGCTGCTCTGCCAAAGCCACATTTGGGAGGGAGGGCATCTGATTGTTCAGTTATTGGAAGTCATATCTGGATTTAGAAAGATGATATTAAAATGAAAATAACCCAGGAACAAACAGAGTGGAAAACCGCCAATTTTTAAGCCCAAAAATGTGACACAAACGTTCACAGAGGAACAGGAGTTTCCCTGTTGGGCTTGACAGAGCTTGTGTCCCTCCATACAGTAAATACTGTCTTTGGTCTGAGTGGAGTCTGCAGGACCTTTACTGAGTGACACGGTGGACTCAATACGGTTTATATATATAATAATGAGGGACGGCTGTGGTGGATTATCACTGTACAAGGCAACAGCATTTTATGTCTGCTTTAAAAATCACTCAGTACAAATGAGGTGAAAACTTTGTTTTATATGAAGATATGTGTTTTGTGGAAACTTATGCTTACTGAAATAAATACAACATTATTAACACATTAAAAAATGTTATTTTTTGTTGTTCTTGTAGTTAATACAGAACTGGGGCCAACAGTGAGGTTACAGTGTGTTATTAGCCTGCTCTTGTGCATGAAACTCACTTAAAGCTGGGGTACCTAATGTTTGAACCAAAAAAGATAAACTGCAATCAAATCCATCTATGCCGCTCTAGATCAGTTTTTCACATGCCCCCTTCACATCTTTAAATCAGTGAAAGAGAGGGAACCTGCTCAGTCATGACTCACACTTGAGAGTATTCAGTATGAGATGTTTTCTATTCATGCAACACTCTTTCTTGTTGTATTATTATTATGATTAATATTTTAGAAACATTGGGTATCCCAGCTTTAATACTGTAATTTTTCACACTCCCCAGACAACAATAGTATAATATCATATCTTCTCTATACCTGTCCGTCCTTGAACCACTGCAGGGCTGGGGCCGGAGAGGCCTGAGCTGCACACTCCAGTGTCAATGTGCTGTTCACTTTGATTTTAACCTCCTTCGGAAACAGTCCTTCTCCTGGGAGGTCGTTCTTATTGATCTGTGGGGGAACTGGAGTCAAATATGTGTTTAAGGAGGGTTAGTGATTCTTGTTTATCATAAAAACATATCACATAAAGAAAATGGATAATAACTGAAAGTCTCACCGTGGACTTTGACTTGGTAGTGCTTGAGAGTCTCTCCGGCCTCATTGGTGGCCACACAGGTGTATCTCCCAGCATCTTCTTCTTTAGCATGGAGAATCTGCAGCGTGCGTCCACCTGTAATATAATGTCAGCAATAATGTTACATGAAATGGTCAAATATGACTTTCCACAGTCAAACAACATTCTGCCGTTCTGCCCTGACTTCAGTTTGATTGCGCCATATTCAAAATCGATCTAAATATAACAGAATGCAATTACACACTTCGTCCAGTAGATGTAAGTGTTGAGCTTAATAGTTTTAAGTTTTTGTCTTAACTCACTGACTGCCAGGCATTTTCAGATTTGAGAAGTGCGTTCTGCCAGCAATTTCAGGTGATTTGACCCAACTTTGAAGTGCCACACAATATTCATTTTTTAGACGATGTAAACACAAAAGGGCACCAAATTAAAGATTAACCTCTCTGCTTTACGCTGAAAAAAAAACAGTTTGTTTCTACCTCTTACCGTTCTTGAGCTATTCGCCATAGAACAAAGCATACTTTCACCCATAACACCTGGTCTGAGCAAGAAAACAGAGAAAACGAGCTGTATGTAAACAGGAACATATCAAGCAGAAAAGAGACTTTTAGATGCATTTTTGCTGCTTTAGTGACAACTCAAAACATCTTCACACTTGTTCCATAACAAAAATTATAAAAACATGACTCTGAAATAATACTTTTGATGGCAAATTGTTGGCAATTTATTCACAGATAGAAAATTTAACTTTCTTCTATTCCATCAACCAAAACGTCAAACAACAACAACACAAAGATCAATAAAACTATAGCTGTATAAAATAGAATGAAGCGTGTGAATTTGAGTGTGTGTGTGTGTCTGTGTGTGAATGTCAGTGTGCGAGTGAGTGTCTGTGTGAGTGAGTGTCTGTGTGTGTGAGTGTGTGTGTGTGAATGTCAGTGTGTGTGAATGTCAGTGTGCGAGTGAGTGTCTGTGTGAGTGAGTGTCTGTGTGTGTGAGTGTGTGTGTGTGAATGTCAGTGTGTGTGAATGTCAGTGTGCGAGTGAGTGTCTGTGTGAGTGAGTGTCTGTGTGTGTGTGTGTGTGTGTGTGAATGTCAGTGTGCGAGTGAGTGTCTGTGTGAGTGAGTGTCTGTGTGCGTGAGTGTCTGTGTGAGTGAGTGTCTGTGTGAGTGAGTGTCTGTGTGTGTGTGTGTGTGTGTGTGTGTGAATGTCAGTGTGCGAGTGAGTGTCTGTGTGAGTGAGTGTCTGTGTGAGTGAGTGTGTGTGTGTGTGTGTGAATGTCAGTGTGCGAGTGAGTGTCTGTGTGCGTGAGTGTCTGTGTGAGTGAGTGTCTGTGTGAGTGAGTGTCTGTGTGAGTGAGTGTCTGTGTGTGTGAATGTCAGTGTGCGAGTGAGTGTCTGTGTGAGTGAGTGTCTGTGTGAGTGAGTGTCTGTGTGTGTGAATGTCAGTGTGCGAGTGAGTGTCTGTGTGAGTGAGTGTCTGTGTGAGTGAGTGTCTGTGTGAGTGAGTGTCTGTGTGTGTGAATGTCAGTGTGAGTGAGTGTCTGTGTGAGTGAGTGTCTGTGTGAGTGAGTGTCTGTGTGTGAATGTCAGTGTGCGAGTGAGTGTCTGTGTGAGTGAGTGTCTGTGTGCGTGAGTGTCTGTGCGAGTGAGTGTCTGTGTGAGTGAGTGTCTGTGGCGAGTGAGTGTCTGTGTGAGTGAGTGTCTGTGTGTGAATGTCAGTGTGCGAGTGAGTGTCTGTGTGAGTGAGTGTCTGTGTGAGTGAGTGTCTGTGTGTGTGAATGTCAGTGTGAGTGAGTGTCTGTGTGAGTGAGTGTCTGTGTGAGTGAGTGTCTGTGTGTGTGAATGTCAGTGTGCGAGTGAGTGTCTGTGTGAGTGAGTGTCTGTGTGAGTGAGTGTCTGTGTGAGTGAGTGTCTGTGTGTGTGAATGTCAGTGTGAGTGAGTGTCTGTGTGAGTGAGTGTCTGTGTGAGTGAGTGTCTGTGTGTGAATGTCAGTGTGCGAGTGAGTGTCTGTGTGAGTGAGTGTCTGTGTGCGTGAGTGTCTGTGCGAGTGAGTGTCTGTGTGAGTGAGTGTCTGTGTGTGAATGTCAGTGTGCGAGTGAGTGTCTGTGCGAGTGAGTGTCTGTGTGCGTGAGTGTCTGTGCGAGTGAGTGTCTGTGTGAGTGAGTGTCTGTGTGTGAATGTCAGTGTGCGAGTGAGTGTCTGTGTGAGTGAGTGTCTGTGTGAGTGAGTGTCTGTGTGTGTGAATGTCAGTGTGAGTGAGTGTCTGTGTGAGTGAGTGTCTGTGTGAGTGAGTGTCTGTGTGTGTGAATGTCAGTGTGCGAGTGAGTGTCTGTGTGAGTGAGTGTCTGTGTGAGTGAGTGTCTGTGTGAGTGAGTGTCTGTGTGAGTGAGTGTCTGTGTGAGTGAGTGTCTGTGTGAGTGAGTGTCTGTGTGAGTGAGTGTCTGTGTGAGTGAGTGTCTGTGTGAGTGAGTGTCTGTGTGAGTGAGTGTCTGTGTGAGTGAGTGTCTGTGTGAGTGAGTGTCTGTGTGTGTGAATGTCAGTGTGCGAGTGAGTGTCTGTGTGCGTGAGTGAGTGCGTGTGTGTCTGTGTGTGCGTGAGTGAGTGAGTGTGTGTGAGTGTTTGTGAGTGTGTGTATGAGTGAGTTTATCTGCTTTTTCAGTCCTCCCAGTAGTTCAGCTTTGAGTTGTAGAGGTTGAAACACTGTGTGCAACGGAACACGACACGCTGTGTACCATTTGTAGTTCTCCCTCCGTGAAGAAGAGCTCCAGAAAGTCTGGATCAGATGAACCCAGCTCCAGAAAGTCTGGATCAGATGAATCCAGCTTCGCAGCCTCTGTCCGCAGTCTCTGAGGTCCAGGAGCTCCTGTGAAGGGACTGACTCGGCTCCCACTGATCCTCCTGTCAGCCATCTTCCCCAGAGCTTCTGGGTGACGAACGTGCTGGATATTGGATACACACAATAACTATATTATACAGTGAATTTGTTACAATAAATCAATACATAAAATACAATGAAGGCCTTCCTCCCACATTATCGACTGACTATTTTTGGACCAAACACAGTATACTATATTATTATTATATTATATTGCCATGGGATGTACAAGAATAGAAATAGTAGTCCTTTTACCTTTTTTGTGCACAGCAACTGCCTCTTGATGCACCACCTGTAAATAATATAAATTTGTAAATCACTATACCAGGAGAATATATACAAAAGTACAATGGTATGAGGAGGCATTATCTTTACCTCTGCTCCATGCCCTGTCAACCCCAATGGGGGAGGGTTCTTTTATCAGAATCTGTGAATGAACACATTTCATTTAGTCAGAGCTATGGCACTACAACAAGATGTTCAAGTATGAAATAACTAAACATAAAAATAATAAATACAACAATGATAAAACGCATAACTGGCATTTACTAAAGAAACAGTAGGATTTGAGCGCTGTGTTACTTTGCAGATCAGAGCAAGTTTCCGCGCCTTTCCCTCCTCTCAAGTTAGCATATTCTTGGCAATTTAGCAAGTTCTTACCTTCGACTTTTTGTGGAGCTTCTGGAGAGGATGCTCTGCTGGATTGAGACTGCAACCACTCATCCGATAAATCATGATCAGGTTTGCTGAACGAATCCGAGGCATCAGTAACAGCAGCAGCTGATACGCTGCGAGAGGCGGAAGGTGTGTCTCTGCTCCGGGCTCTGGGCTGCAGAGACGGACCTCCACCGGGGTCTCCACTCTCTCCCCTCTCGACCTCACTCACTGATCCGCGAGTCAATCTCTGAAGCAGTGTCAGCTGCTTATAACTATTCTTTTTCGCCATCACTCTTGCTATACTATCGCTAAACTAGATCGCTGATCCGTCTCAATGCTACGCTATCATCGCTCTGCTACAGCAGCTCGCTCTCCAAACACTCCCACACTCCTCCTCCTTCTCTCCACTGACTTATTGATTTTTACACACTGCTCCTTTAACTTCCCAAGCAAACACCAGTGTTGGTCAGTACAGTAATAAAAGTAACCTGTTACTGTAATCCAATTACTTTTTCTGAGTAATGAGTAAAGTAAGGGTCACATCCGCAAAAAAGTGATGTGATAACATTTACTTTTTCAAAGCAAGCAGCGTTACAATGCATTACCAAACTTTGTGTTGTGACTTGTCGCGTTGACTCCTGATGAATGAATGATGTCTGAGAGATGCAACCACTGTGACGTGATGAACTGTGGCCACATGAAGCATGATAGCGACGAAGACCACAGAACATTTCATTCACGGAAACTCATAGCGAAGGACTCCACATCAAACCCCAAACAAGGAATACTGGGAAGAACCATAGACTGTGCTGCCTGGTGCTTATGTCAGCTGAGCACTGGAGCCAGTTTTGTTGTTGTTCAGGTGGAAAAGACATTCACCATTGAACTATATGTAAGCCAACTCATCCTCAAACCTTTTAGAACACGTGCAGAGTCAAAACTATCTGGAGAAGTGCTAAAGCAATCATCCTGGCTACATTTACTTCCATGTTGATGTTCTGCCATTTGGATTTTTTTCTGTGAAAGTGAAATGCTTAAGACCTCACCTGGACGGACTCGAACGCTGCGGGTGGATTCAAAGGGAGAACCATCTTTGAGCCATGTAATCAGAGCTGGAGGGTAAGACTGCACTTCACACACCAGAGACGTGGGACTGCTCAGGGTCACGGTCACCTCCTCTGCGGAGCCTTCAGGGCCGGGCTGAGCGATGGTAGGAGCCACTGGGAAAGGCAAAGGCAACAAGTGAAGGGCATGGGACAGTATGCCATTGACTGCCATTGACGTATTTATCCGAGACACTCTATTCGACTGGGGATTACAGGACAATGAAAATAGATAAAAACAAACTTATTTTTGCTAATCCAAGTAGACAATCCAGTCTTTCAGAATCTGGTTTGACATTTCACATAGTCTTAGGAAATAGTATTCTGTGGGTCTTGAGAATCAGTGAAATCATCCAAAACGGCTGGCAGTCAATGAGTTAACGGCTTATTAAACGAGCGCGAGGTCTGTACAGAGAAATATCAGTCCGCGGCCTTTTTGTACGGACCGAGGCGTGGCGAGGTCTGTGCAAAAAGACCAAAGTACAGACTGAGCAAGTGAGGTTAATAAATGTTTTATTTTAGGAATATTTTTAATTTGTGCAAATATGGATGGGTTTGAACTAAAAACACATTTGACCAAAGTGTCAAACTGTGACATGAAGAACAGAGGATTGAGGCGCCCGCTGTAAGTTCTCAGTCTGTGTTTTTACCAATGCTTTTTACATATCTGTGATGTTCATGTCCCACTTGGTTTTCCTGGTCCTGGTTTTACCTTTCTGGTCTGTAACCAAGTTGTCGATCTCTTCTTGACTGTTGGAGTTGTGTTTTTGTCGTTATTTGCTGTTATTACTTCCTCTGGCTCTTCCAACTCGTCCTGATGATAGAATTCACTGAGAATGCTCCCAGTCGCTCATTATTTCTGTTTTACCGAGGAAAGATATCAAATCTGATACGCACTGCGGACCGATTGTCATGGTAACGGTAAATTATCAGACCGCAAATCAGCCAATCAGAGTGCGCGTACAATCCAAGTCATGTAATAATAAATGTTACTAGATTCCAACAGTGCAGATAAGCACATTCCATACATGGTTGAGAGTAAATATCTAACATGTATGTATACAGTATTTGTACCTAGAATATTGAGGTTGAAATGACGACTGCGGTCTCCAGCGCTGTTAGAAGCATGACAGCTGTATCTGCCAGTGTCCACAAGCTGAGCCCCGGTAATGTGGAGAAAGCGACCGTGTGAAACAATCTGATGGTTCATACTGGGCACCAGCGGCTGTCCGTCCTTCTGCCATCTGACTTCTGGAACGGGATTACCTAAACATACAGAAGTGTTATTCAAGTTATCAGACTGGAAGATCTAAGCTCACACTGCTCGAAGTCCTCCTACTGTTGCTTCACGGCAATAGCAATCAGTCGATCAAGGCAAGGCAAGCCATGTTTATCTGTGTAGCCCAAGGCAACTCAAAGTGCTGAACAAAACAAGATACATACACTCACACAGGCATTCAAATCATAAATAATCACAGTACATTAAAAATAAAATGTAAAGCATGTATTTGTTCTCTGGCTCGTACTCTCCTTCACACTCCTCCATAGACTACGCAGAGACAGCATCAGCAGCAGAGTTCCTACACGCTCTGCCCGGAGTATACACACCCCTCTCCTACGCATGTGGCGTGTACAAGCAGTCAGCCAGGCTCAAGTGATGGGCTTGGCGGGCTCCCCCTTACCCCCCGACTCCACCGGGCGCGTCTCCGTTGACGCGCGTTGGCTGCTGTCCGTCAGCCGTCCGTAAAACGGACCAGTGGTCAAACCGGCTGCAGCAGCATGCAACTCTGGCTGTGCGTTTATCAGCCTGCTTTATTTTTGTAGGAGACATGTTTGGGCATTGTGTGAATGAATGAATGTTTGGCTGATGGAGGAGTTATGTATTGTCGGCGTGCATGTGTGCGTGAGCGTGTGCGTGAGAGCGCCCGTGTGTGTGTGTGTGTGTGTGGTGGGAGGCGTGTGCGTGCATGTGTGTTTGGGTCTGTGACTGCAGCGTTTATTATGATCCAGCCTCTTCGTTTGTTTTCTACTTATTTAGCGCATGATACACTTTTATCGGAGCCAACTCGCCTCTCTGCGGCTTTAGGCAACAGGCAGAGCTATAGTTTTAAATAGAAGAAGCGGTGTGTGATTTGAATGAGCTGTGGCTATGATCAGTGCAAAGCACAGCATATTGAAGCATTGAGGACGTCGCGATGGATGAGGCAAAACTTATTGAAAGCAATTGGAAAAAGGGGAGAGAGAAAAGAACTCCAACATATCCAGTGTTGTGAGATCTGTCTCTCATAAGTGCAGCTCTGTGTGTGTGTGCGTGTCTGTCTGTCTGTCTGTCTGTCTGTCTGTCTGGGAGCGCGCGGCGGTGAGGAGAGAGCGCCTCGGAGGTAGACGGGACAGAAGAGCGAGGTGTATGTAAAGATTAACATTACGCGAAAAATAAATGGTAGATTTACGATCAGGAAACAATTATTTAAATTAATACATGAAAAACATTACACACGTTTGTTAATAATCATTGTCATTAACAAATACTTATAACCAAGGACTACAGCATATATCAATACATGTTTAACAATGTTGTAAATATATTATTCCATTGCATTTTCAATGGAAAACGGACCCGACACGCGTCGACGGACGGAACAAATAGGATTGTTTCTATTTCGTCCGTCCACGTCTTTTGCACCCTCCGTTGACGGAATAGGTCCGACGTGCGTTGGACGGACGCATGCGGAGGCAGTGGAGCCACTTCCATTCACTCTCATGGAGATAACGGAGACGGAGATGAAACGGACATGTTTGGACGGATCCGTCGTCCGTTTTACGCGCCCGGTGGAGTCGGGGCCTGAGTCGAGGTGGAGGGCATTTCTTGTAGCTTGCCCTCACTGTTCAAGGACTTTCCCCATAAATGGCAGATTTGAGATAGTTGCTAAGTACAGTTGCATCCAGACTGATCTTTGCCTGCCTGACTGCAGTTTTCAGAGCCAATCACACTCAGCTGCAGCACCACACGCAAATCCTCACCCGGCAGCATTAAGCTTCATATTGCGAGGAAGCTCCATCCAGGCAGCAGCTTCATTCACGCCACAACCCTCCTCCTCCCCAGCTCCGCCTCGTTCCGAACCAGCTCCTTCATTCTTCTCCTAGCTCCCACCACCAGGGTCTAGGCCCCGGGGGATTTCATTGCATAATCTTCCTTCCCTTCTGCAATCGTGCAGTGCTCTGCCGGGATCTACTTGCCAAATCCTACCCACATTTTTGTACAGCAACAATAAATGTAATCTTCAAAATAAAGTCCTCAGAGTCATAAGTGTAATTTATGTAGTGTCAGATTACTTGCCAACCAATATACGGTACAATTTTAATAATACCAATGTTTAGTCTGTTTGAGTCTCTCCAGATTGAATTACATGTAGTAATAATAACTCACCAGTCCTACTACTATGATTAAATGAATAATTCAATGTTTTTTATATTGACTGATTGTGGGAGATTGCATTGGTATTGGTATTCAACTTTTCATTAATTAACTGATGTTTTCACCACGCTGAACTAAATGTTTACAGTTTAGCTAAATGTTTATATGCCATTTCTGCTGCTGTCATTTGCTCATTGACAATAAATTATACATCAGTCAAGACGATCACCTCCCAAAATTAAATCAGAAACTCAATTCGGACACTTTGGCACCTAAAGGGACCTGTCCATTGTATTTTTATTACATTTAGTTTTTTTCACATTTGATCAGAAAAGTAATTTACAATGTTATGTTTTGCTGGAGTAAGTAAGTAAGTAATCTTTATTTATATACCGCCTTTTCACTGCAGATCTGAGTCTCAAAGCGGTTTACAATTGTTAATTTTGGGCATTTGTCTCTCACTCCACACAGAGATGGGAGCGGGGCCAGTACAGGAGGCACATGCCAGAACTATTGGATATATTTTTAGTGGTAGGGGAAACCGGAGCACCCGGAGGAAACCTACGCAGACACGGGGAGAACATGCAAACTCCACTCAGAAAGGCCCTGGTCCGACCGGGATTCAAACCCAGGACCTTCTTGCTGAGAGGCGAGAGTGCTATCCACTCAGCCACCGTGCCGCCCTGTAATGACTGAGGCGTAGGACTTTCTTCTTCAAGTCATGATATACAGTACAATGTTGTTATGTTAAAATGAAACCAGCATTGTATTTTCGGACTTTCATTTAACCAGGAAAGTTATCATCGACTGTTGAAATATCCCGGGATTGAGATTGTTCTAAAATATTGATGTGATGTCTCTGACTGAGGCTGAGTGCCATAAAATAAGATACACTTTGATGTCTTTGATGTGACGACAGACGCTCACCTGTGGCCGCACAACTCAGCGTGATGTTGTGTTTCTCCTTCACCTTAGTGTCCTGAACAGTTCCTTCATCTACAATACTGGGCGGAACTGAAAAGAACATGTGTCTAATGTAAAACACAGTACATAATAACTAATTTAAATCACTTTTGGGGTAAAATAATAGTAATATAAAATACCCAATATGTTCAGATCGAAGTCTTTCCTTTCCTCCCCAGCAGTATTTGACACAATGCAGGTGTATCTCCCAGAATCCTCCAGGGCAGAATGCATAAGCCGCAAGCTCCGCCCTCCTGTTGTTAAAAAATGAACAATTAAGACGCACAAAACATTAAATTGATACAAATCTCAAGCCACATACCGGACAGGATGCGCACAGAGCTGCTTGTGGTGATTGGCTGTCCATCTTTGAGCCAGGTGATATCAGGAAGTGGAATGCCATGGCCTTCACAGCCCAAAACCACTGGATTCTTCAGCACAACACTGATATTGTCTGGGAACTGCACCTCTCCAAGTATAGTGGGTGGAACTGTACACAAGAAGAGCAACAAATTAAGTTATAAAAATCATATCGGTCCTACAGTGGAACATATATCTATTGCTATTTGCTCTGATTTATAGTTGATTGTTTTAGAAGTCAGGTTGATGGAATGCTGCACGAGTCTATTTAGAGGTATCAGAAATATTATCAATGTGCTTTTGGATCAGTTATTTAGGAAAGGATAAAGGTACTCATGGGATTGATTTTAATTTATTTTTGATTAGGCTTTATTAAATCATGGTTTGCAGCATTGGAAAAACACAGTAAAATAGTTTGGACACCCCCAACTTATATGGATCATGAACCCGAGCTGTCACGATCAGGAAAGTATCACAAAACACCTCATCCATGACCTCATACCGTGCACGCTGACGTCCTGCCTGCTGTCCGCCTGGCCCGCCACGTTCACAGCGATGCACGTGTATCTTCCCGTGTCCGTGACCTGGGCGTCTTTGATCTGCAGCAGCCGGCCTTCGTTCAGGACCCGGGCTCCGTGGTGCCCCGCGATCGGACGTCCATCTTTGAACCATGTGACTGCAGGGCGGGGAACTCCCTCTGGCGCGCACTGAAGAGAGAGGGTGCCCCCTTTGATCACGGTGATATCCTCAGAGTAGCCGTCGCTGAGTTGGATGTATGGCCGCACTGTGCAATGGGAGAACAACATGAGTGGCATTTTACTGTAGGAAGTCAGTTTTTATCTTCTGCACAGTTGCGTAATACAGTTTTTATATCAGCTTTGGCCTGAGATTCACTTTTCTGTCTGAAAAAGCTCGTTAGATTGATTTTTACCCAAACATCTGTACTTTATCTTCTTTCTAAGGCTATATCCACACGAAGACAAAACGCTTATAATTTCAGAAACTTTTTCTGTAAACACGGAGTTAGCTCAGTAAATGTGTGCGTCCATATGAATGTAGTCAATACGCCTGAAAACGCTGTGAAACTATGCCAGACCTGTTGGTGGCGCTGTGACGCAATGACGGGATCAAGCCCAAACTTCCGTGACGGGAACTGGGCATGCGCAGAATTTTGTAAACAGACAACATGGCGAGTGTGCGAGCTGGTACTACATTAGTATGGACGGACGATGAGGTTGAACTGTTGCTTCGGGTCGCACTGGATTACAAAACAACAAGCTACATTGTTGTTGTCATTATTTTCTGAGTGCGGCGCATGCGTGCTTTAACAAGAGGCGGGGCGATGACGCGTCTCAGATACATTGCGGAGAGGCAGTAACCACGGAGCGGCATATACGGAGTTTTGAAATCTTTCCACTCTGGGACCTACTTTCAAAAATGTTTGTTTACACCCCCCCAAAACGCCGGCCTCGTATGGACGATACACTGGATTGATAAAGTATTTTTTGCGTTTAGGCCTGAGCTTGACTTCGTGTGGACAGGGCCTAAATTGTATAATAAATAGTTAGCTTTGCAGATGGTAATGAGGCCTAAAAACTGTTCTGAAGTTGATTCAGAGCTCAAGTGAATCAGTTGTTCTGTTCGCTGACCTCCTAAGTTCAGATAACCATTCAGCAGTGCTACATGTATCGTTTATTGCTGTATTCTTTGCTGGTGTGAAATTTAGTATATATATGTCTGTAAAAAAAATACATTTTACTATTTAACTTTATGCAAAAGTCTTCTCCATTTCATGTTTCTGCTGATCTAAAGATGTTACAGAGGGTAAATAATACACACACTAGCGATAAAACGACTTTTGACAACGAAGAGTAATTTTTTGTTTGTTTGAAATAGGTACTCAAATGGATTTCAAAATACAGTAAAAGAAAAACAACTCTGCATAATATTTCTGTCCTTCAAAGTTTACCGTAGACCTGCAGGCTGTACTCCTTGGCGCTGGTCCCTGAGGCGCTGGAGGCACTGCAGGTGTACGAGGCGGAGTCCGTACGGTTTGCGCTGGAGATCTGAAGCTGACGGCCCCCAGACAGAACCTTCACCCTCGCACTGGATCTCAGCTCTTTGCCTGCAACATGCCCGAGCCTTAACCAAAGTGTCATGTGTAAAAATAACACGGCATTTTTCACACGCTCACCGTTTCTCCTCCAGGTCAGGCTTGGAGGAGGGATGCCGCTGGACTCACACACCAAACTGATGAGTCCTCCCTCAGTAACAGTCAGCGCAGAAACCTCCTCTGATCCTCGAATACTGGGGGAAACTGTAATGTGGAGCAAACCCATGGATCTATTATATTAACTGGATAGGATATTACCAGCTTGGAGCTGAAGAACCATGTGCTCGGGGGATTCTCGCGGTACTGCAGACTGAACCAGACTAAATTCACGTGGGCTACCCGGAAATTTTCCCCATAGAACTCAATGTAAATTAAAACAGCTCGACCTCAGCTGACAGAGAACCTGACAGAGAACCTGACAAAGAACCTGACAGAGAACCTGACAGAGAACCTAGAGCTTTCATAAAGTTCGGATTTTGTGGTGATTTTAGTGTCCCTTGTCATCCTGAACTTTTTTTCTTCTTAAATCCTTCGGTTTTCTTTAAATCCACACTTTACTGCCACAACCTCTGCCCGTCTGACTCCCGCTCTAACTCCTGCTCTGATCAGCAGCTCCGATTGGTCAGAGCACGGCCGAGCTCCTCTGTGCACGTGAGAGAGCCACACACATGTATTTCGCGCAACGCATCATGGGAGATCCAACAATGCCCAAATACAGGCGAGTTTCCCATGGATCTTTGCAAGTTCCAGGCAAAGTTCCGCTAATCTTTCAGCCCCCATGCCGGCACAAAGCGCCCCTGAGTGCACACCATTCATTTGAATACGGCGCCATCTTGGATCGCCGGGCTTGAGCAAACCCCAGATGGGGACTCAAGGGTCACTACAGGGAATAGTGATGTATGCTCTAGACTATATCCACAGACTGTGAATAGATGGACAATGCTAAGCCGCTAACTCTATGAACCCCAACAGGAAAGTGCTCAACTCCCTCTGGCTCCTGTAAACTCCTCTCGCTCACTCACCGTTTGTGTCTCAATCACCCTTTTGGGCTTCAAAAGTCTGTGGTTTAGAACTATGATCCTGGTGTTTATACTTTGATATTGTTTGAATAGATTGTAAATCCAAATATGAACCTGTCTATGCTTTTACCAGAGTAGGATTTAGTGTCTATTCTTGTACCAAAGACTATGAGTACTTTAGTCACCTCTGGCAATATGAAAGCCCTAACAGACTTGAAGGAGTTTAAAATTAAAGTCAAACTATGGCTCAAAAGGACCCAAACTTGTGAGCATAATGCAAGACTGTAATCATTTATAGTATTTTTTTTATTTTTTATTTCATTATCTTTGTATTTTGTATTGTATTCTTGTTTATTATTTAGTATAACTTATTACTTTTTTTTTTTTTTATATAATGATGTACTGTTTGTATAATGTGATGTATTTATAGGTTTTAGGGACCAGGTCTGCAAACTAGCTGTTAGCTATACGGCCTATGAACACAGCATCGGTTCCTGTAACAATGCTTCTTGTTCTGTCCCTACCCGATAAACAAATAATAATAATAATAGTATATGTATATTTGAGTCGCTCTGCACAGCCTGAATCCAGCTGACCAGTCGTTTTATCACACATTTCATCTAAAAAGCCCTCACCCCACACATGAAGGTTGTAGTTCTTGTCGGTCTTTCCTGCCACATTGGTTGCTTCACATGTGTATCGTCCTGAGTCCTGCAGTTGGGCTCTGGCAACCTGGGAAAGCAGACCGAGAAAGCAACGTGTTACAAAAAAACACACCAAAAACTACTAATGACGTCATCTTAAGACGTTCAAAAGTTCATTTATTTATTTAGTTCAAGTTAAAATGTGAATCCAATTTATGATACAGACTCATTTCATTCAAAGTGTCAACTCAGTGTTTGAGAAAATGTTTTATTTGGGGTTGTTACAAACTCTGAACAAACTCATGCTGAGATATATCTGACTTAATGTGTACTGAGTCTTTCATGTATCAGTTTTGCATGTTAAGTTGAATTATTAAATACATTTTCCGATGAGTATACTCAAGTGGAGTTGAAATAGTTTCGGTTTTGGGCATGTTCGAAATGAAATGTGAGTTACGCAGCTCAAATAAACGATTGACAGAGCAGCCCTTTTTCTATCTGCTCCTGGAGGTCAAACACATGCATCGTGTTAAAGCAAATGTCAGTAACTTTTCAAGCTGAAGAGAGTGAAACTTTTGAAGACAGTGGAAGTGACGTTCGGGGACTTATGTAGCATGAACCGTATGTCTCACTGTAGCAGCAGACGCTGTGTTGCGTCTTGTATCGGTGTTATAGAATAGTAATGATAAAGCCGTATCCATGGCTTACCTTGAGCTGGCTTCCGTCCTCAGACAGCGTGAGCCCGAGCTTCCTGAAGAGAGGGCGGCCATCTTTGCGCCAGGACAGGACCGGAGGGGGCACAGCATCGCTCTGGCAGTGCAGCTCCACTGGGTCGCCCAGCATCACTGTGGCGTTCACCTCCTCTCCCTTTATGTTGGGAGGCACTGGGAACAACATCAGCCTTCAGCAGAGGCCGTGTGCAGACTGGAAGGCAATCTGCATTTGAAATGTTTTCTAACTAATTTAGAGAAGAAGAAGAATTTTCTTGTGACTTTGCATAAATCTGTTGGTCCTTAGGCTTCACAGATATTAACTGGACTGTTGAACTGAAAGATTACACATCATCACTTTTACATAATGCAGTCATTTTAAGCAGATTGTTTATTTTTCTAACACATTAGTGCCTTTTCAAATCATAATTACCCTTTCCTTGTTAACAGGAAAGGTCTCCCATCACAGTATTAATCAGGCCCTGACCTGCTTTGCCTCTGAAAGATCACATGCTGGTGGCACCACAATTAAAGCTGGGGTACCTATATCACCTGTTTTAGATTAATTTTGTGTGATTGTTTATGTGTATGAATTGTTGTGCTATAAAACTTTCTTGCCTTAATTATTTGGGTTTGGTTTTGAACATGTTCTCCCTCAAGCCTTTTTCAAAAGCATTTTTATTTGACTTTTGTGGATCTGCTGCGGTTGGGAGCAGCCTCTTAATGATTAAAATGAGTGACTTCATGAAGGAAGAATGCACTCGGTGGTAGTCTGCACGATGCCGGCTCTGAGGCCGTTACTCACAGGAAGCTCCACTCACCAAACACCCGCAGGTCATAGTGCTTCTGTTGTTCTCCTCCTGCGTTGACAGCCACGCAGGTGTAGCGGCCGGTGTCTGTGACCTGTGCACTGCTCATAGACAGGAGTCGGCCCCCAGACTCCACCTGAGGGTAAACAGACGGGTTAGAGGGTGGGGCCCTCCGTATGCATCATGTATAAAGTTGCCGTCTATCACACAACAAGTTCTTTGGTGTGTGTATTTTTGGCGTGATTAAGATGCTTATTAATGAGGAGCGCATTTTTATTTTCCAGTAGGTACCAAAGTTTAATGTGAGACAAAGGGAAAAGGCAGAAACGGCAGCTTTCAGATTTCAAACACAGATAATACATACTTTGTTTTACTGTTCAAACCTCGCACATGTCCCAGATGTACACTGATAAACAACATATTGTTTAGAGAATCACACAATTACAAAACAGGAAATGCAAAGAGAACAAACACAGGAAGCAGGGTGACCACTGTTCATAAATATGTTCTGTTTTTCTCTGAAAATTCAACCCTCAAATGTTGACAATGTCTTATTCAACACACAAACTAAAATACTGACAGGTTTGTGAGATAACAATGTGAATGTATTACATGATGTCATTTGAGTTTCTGATATTATCAAGACATTACTTTTTCCTCACTTTAACTGCATGATTCTGTGTTTTCACTTGTATTTGAAAGGGCCGGTGTGCACTGATGAATGCTGTGGGTGGTCGTGTAAAGCCCAGACTGACCTGTATTCCATGGGACAGACTGGCCACAGGGCTGCCGTCCTGGAGCCAGGTGAGGCTGGGCAGGGGGACCCCAGTGGCCTCACACTCCAGTCTGACCGCTTCATTGACCACCACCGTGACAGTGCCCCCACGGCTGGAGATCACTGGAGGGACTGTAGCAAGAGATGGGTTAAAACCACTCATAAAGCACTATACCTCTACTGAAGTCCAAGTAACTAGTTTGTCTACATCTGAGCATTCATTAAAAACCCTGGTCCATGACAAACCCTAAAAGATACAGTACATGCTAAACTACTATATTTGGATTAAAAGAAACCAATTCACACACTTCCGGATTCAGTCTGGTTGTATCGCTCTGCACTCTGCCCCTTTATAACTGTAAACATAGCCAAATCCAAAGCCCCGCAGGCTCTTCTCAAACCACAGATTGCCTGCTCAACACTAACTCTAATCATCTGCGTATCACGGGATAAGAAAAGTATACAGAGGTTTTCACTTTTATTAGTATTAGTTTCACTTATTGTCTATTTGGTGCCCTTTTGTTTTTGGAAATGATTGAATGTTTGCTTATCTCGCTATCTTATGTGTATGTGTACAGTTTATTTTGAAACATGAGTGCATACTTCCTACATAAGCCACAAAACAAAACCAAAAATGTCTAATCCATTCACATGTTCAAAAGAAGAAGTAGGAAGAAGAGTAGGAAGAAGCAAAAGCTTATATAATATATACATATATATTCTAGATGTATGTGTTCATGTTTGGTGTGTGTACATGTACATATCTTGTTCTATTGTGCAAGGGTTCTGAAAAAAAAAAAATATATATATATATATATATATATATATATATATAGCAAACACGTAATCTGTAAAATTGTATGACCAAAATGACACTCTTCAATAAACATTTTTTTATTTTTTATTTTTATTAAAAGTCTATTTCAAACCACAACCTCGATACATGTTTAAATGAATAAAACTTCATAAATTGATGTTTATTTTTGTAAAACAAGTCCAGAATATATGTTTTATTTTACCTTAAAAAAAAAGACAAGAAAAAAAAAAGAAAAAAAAAGTATATAGAGGTTTGTACAGAGGAGGGGGCGGTATATAAACAGTATATATTCAAGACACAGTATATGACTCACTCTTAACTGTGTACATGACTATCATTCTGAATTCTATGTCCTTTAATCCTAACATTCCACTCACCAATAGGGCTGGCTGTCTTTTAGAGTTTGCTGATACAGGGCTTAATACAGTTTAGTAATAAAAAAGCCTTTCGGTTAATTTTCATGAGCTCCACCATTTTTAACAAACTCTGAATGTTATTGTTGCTTTTCTCTTCCCTTTATAGAAGATGAATTGTAACTCACCGAGCACGTGTAGGCTGTGGAACATCTCAGCCACTCCAGCCAGGTTCACGGCCACACATTTGTACTCTCCAGCGTCTGAGAGTTGAGCCTGTTCAATCTCCAACAGCTGCCCTCGCCTCGCCACGGTCACCCCCGCGGCGCCCGTGACCGGACGGCCATCTTTGTACCACGTGATTGCTGAGGAGACAGAGGGTGGAGGTCAGGAGACAGAGGGTGGAGGTCAGGCGACAGAGGGTGGAGGTCAGGAGACAGAGGGTGGAGGTCAGGCGACAGAGGGTGGAGTCAGGAGACAGAGGGTGGAGGTCAGGAGACAGAGGGTGGAGGTCAGGCGACAGAGGGTGGAGGTCAGGAGACAGAGGGTGGAGGTCAGGCGACAGAGGGTGGAGGTCAGGCGACAGAGGGTGGAGGTCAGGAGACAGAGGGTGGAGGTCAGGCAACAGAGGGTGGAGGTCAGGAGACAGAGGGTGGAGGTCAGGAGACAGAGGGTGGAGGTCAGGCGACAGAGGGTGGAGGTCAGGAGACAGAGGGTGGAGGTCAGGAAACAGAGGGTGGAGGTCAGGAGACAGAGGGTGGAGGTCAGGCGACAGAGGGTGGAGGTCAGGAGACAGAGGGTGGAGGTCAGGCGACAGAGGGTGGAGGTCAGGCGACAGAGGGTGGAGGTCAGGCGACAGAGGGTGGAGGTCAGGAGACAGAGGGTGGAGGTCAAGAGACAGAGGGTGGAGGTCAGGAGACAGAGGGTGGAGGTCAGGCGACAGAGGGTGGAGGTCAGGAGACAGAGGGTGGAGGTCATGAGACAGAGGGTGGAGGTCAGGAGACAGAGGGTGGAGGTCAGGAGACAGAGGGTGGAGGTCAGGTGACAGAGGGTGGAGGTCAGGAGACAGAGGGTGGAGGTCAGGAGACAGAGGGTGGAGGTCAGGCGACAGAGGGTGGAGGTCAGGAGACAGAGGGTGGAGGTCAGGAGACAGAGGGTGGAGGTCAGGAGACAGAGGGTGGAGGTCAGGCGACAGAGGGTGGAGGTCAGGAGACAGAGGGTGGAGGTCAGGAGACAGAGGGTGGAGGTCAGGAGACAGAGGGTGGAAGTCAAGAGACAGAGGGTGGAGGTCAGGAGACAGAGGGTGGAGGTCAGGAGACAGAGGGTGGAGGTCAGGCGACAGAGGGTGGAGGTCAGGAGACAGAGGGTGGAGGTCATGAGACAGAGGGTGGAGGTCAGGAGACAGAGGGTGGAGGTCAGGAGACAGAGGGTGGAGGTCAGGTGACAGAGGGTGGAGGTCAGGAGACAGAGGGTGGAGGTCAGGAGACAGAGGGTGGAGGTCAGGCGACAGAGGGTGGAGGTCAGGAGACAGAGGGTGGAGGTCAGGAGACAGAGGGTGGAGGTCAGGAGACAGAGGGTGGAGGTCAGGAGACAGAGGGTGGAGGTCAGGCGACAGAGGGTGGAGGTCAGGAGACAGAGGGTGGAGGTCAGGAGACAGAGGGTGGAGGTCAGGAGACAGAGGGTGGAGGTCAAGAGACAGAGGGTGGAGGTCAGGAGACAGAGGGTGGAGGTCAGGCGACAGAGGGTGGAGGTCAGGCGACAGAGGGTGGAGGTCAGGAGACAGAGGGTGGAGGTCATGAGACAGAGGGTGGAGGTCAGGAGACAGAGGGTGGAGGTCAGGAGACAGAGGGTGGAGGTCAGGTGACAGAGGGTGGAGGTCAGGAGACAGAGGGTGGAGGTCAGGAGACAGAGGGTGGAGGTCAGGCGACAGAGGGTGGAGGTCAGGAGACAGAGGGTGGAGGTCAGGTGACAGAGGGTGGAGGTCAGGAGACAGAGGGTGGAGGTCAGGAGACAGAGGGTGGAGGTCATGTGACAGAGGGTGGAGGTCAGGAGACAGAGGGTGGAGGTCAGGCGACAGAGGGTGGAGGTCAGGAGACAGAGGGTGGAGGTCAGGTGACAGAGGGTGGAGGTCAGGAGACAGAGGGTGGAGGTCAGGAGACAGAGGGTGGAGGTCAGGAGACAGAGGGTGGAGGTCAGGCGACAGAGGGTGGAGGTCAGGAGACAGAGGGTGGAGGTCAGGAGACAGAGGGTGGAGGTCAGGAGACAGAGGGTGGAGGTCAGGAGACAGAGGGTGTCAGAAATGCACATTTTATTTTATTTTATTTTAAGTATTAACGTTTTTGACCTTATTATTTAAATAAGATTTGAAGAGAACAGTTAAACCAATGATGAGGGGCGTAAAGGATTTAAATGAATTTGAACCAATCAGCAGGTTATGGGGAGAATGGTAGGGTCAAGGTCAAGTTTATTTATATAGAACATTTTAAAAACAGACAGGGCTGTCACAAAGTGCCCACCAGACATTATATAATACACACAAATAACACACAGGACATTATATAATACACACAAATAACACACAGGACATTATATAATACACACAAATAACACACAGGACATTATATAATACACACAAATAACACACAGGACATTATATAATACACACAAATAACACACAGGACACGATCATAAATGTTTCAACATTGCTTGTGTTAAAAAGCCAAAGCAAAGAAATGTGTCTTTAGCTGTGATTTAAAGACCTTATGACGGGTTTTAAAAAAAAAAATAGTGGATATCAAAATTGCATGACAATGTCAATTTGAAAGAGATTCCGGCAAAAAAATCCTATATTTTATAAAAAGAACGTGTTTTTCATGAATTTAAGCTGTCTATGCTCTAACCTGTGTGTGACGTCATAGCGGGTTACGCCCATGCATTGAAAACCATGGATCTATGCCACAGGACTGCCTTTTCTCTCTTCTCTCCACTGATGCCCAACACAATACTGCCCTCTACAGGCGACAACTACTCACTACACATAAATTGCCGTTTTGAGAATGAAAATGTGTCTGAGGTGGGATTTGAACCCAAGTATCTGGATTGACAGTCCATCGACACAACCACTGGACTATCTCAGTGACAACGAAATGTGACATTCTAGTACTTATCTTAGACTCGCTGTACACGGCCTTGTCCTCTTGAATATCCGCGAAAAAAGAACAAATACCAAATTGTAAACAACTTACAGCGTTGAAACGTACCCACTCTGACGTCACCAAGGGCTGTGAAGTTTTTTCGTTTCTAAGGGCGTTGCTATGGGGTTATTTTGATTTGGGGGAATCAGACAAAAAAAACAACAACTGATTTTGAAACCTTTAGTAGTTCTCTTCTAATATAAAATGGTATTAAAACTGTATTTCTAAATAAATCAAACCCGTCATAAGGTCTTTAAAGCTCTCCACAGAGGGTTAGCTCTCTACAGAGGGTTAGCTCGCCACAGAGAGTTAGCTCTCTACAGAGGGTTAGCACTCCACAGAGGGTTAGCTCTCCACAGAGGGTTAGCTCTCTACAGAGGGTTACCACTCCACAGAGGGTTAGCTCACTACAGAGGGTTACCACTCCACAGAGGGTTACCACTCCACAGAGGGTTAGCTCTCTACAGAGGGTTAGCTCTCTACAGAGGGTTAGCTCTCTACAGAGGGCTAGTTCTCCACAGAGGGTTACCACTCCACAGAGGGTTACCACTCCACAGAGGGTTACCACTCCACAGAGGGTTACCACTCCACAGAGGGTTAGCTCTTTACAGAGGGTTAGCTCTCCACAGAGGGTTAGCTCTTTACAGAGGGTTAGCACTCCACAGAGAGTTAGCTCTCTACAGAGGGTTAGCACTCCACAGAGGGTTACCACTCCACAGAGGGTTACCACTCCACAGAGGGTTACCACTCCACAGAGGGTTACCACTCCACAGAGGGTTAGCTCTTTACAGAGGGTTAGCTCTCCACAGAGGGTTAGCTCTTTACAGAGGGTTAGCACTCCACAGAGAGTTAGCTCTCTACAGAGGGTTAGCACTCCACAGAGGGTTAGCTCTCCACAGAGGGTTAGCTCTCTACAGAGGGTTAGCACTCCACAGAGGGTTAGCTCTCTACAGAGGGTTAGCTCTCTACAGAGGGTTACCACTCCACAGAGGGTTACCACTCCACAGAGGGTTACCACTCCACAGAGGGTTAGCTCTCTACAGAGGGTTAGCTCTCTACAGAGGGTTAGCTCTCTACAGAGGGTTAGCTCTTTACAGAGGGTTAGCACTCCACAGAGGGTTAGCTCACTACAGAGGGTTTGCTCTTTACAGAGGGTTAGCACTCCACAGAGGGTTAGCTCACTACAGAGGGTTAGCACTCCACAGAGGGTTAGCTCACTACAGAGGGTTAGCTCTCCACAGAGGGTTAGCTCTCCACAGAGGGTTAGCTCACTACAGAGGGTTAGCTCTCTACAGAGGGGGCAGCTCTGATACAATAAGGGAGAGCGTTCCAGAGTTTGGGCCCTGCCACAGCAAAGGCTCAGTCTCCTCTGGTCTTTAGTCTAGACCTGGGACTGGCCTCCTCTGGTCTTTAGTCTAGACCTGGGACTGGCCTCCTCTGGTCTTTAGTCTAGACCTGGGACTGGCCTCCTCTGGTCTTTAGTCTAGACCTGGGACTGGTCTCCTCTGGTCTTTAGTCTAGACCTGGGACTGGCCTCCTCTGGTCTTTAGTCTAGACCTGGGACTGGTCTCCTCTGGTCTTTAGTCTAGACCTGGGACTGGTCTCCTCTGGTCTTTAGTCTAGACCTGGGACTGGTCTCCTCTGGTCTTTAGTCTAGACCTGGGACTGGTCTCCTCTGGTCTTTAGTCTAGCCCTGGGACTGGCCTCCTCTGGTCTTTAGTCTAGACCTGGGACTGGTCTCCTCTGGTCTTTAGTCTAGACCTGGGACTGGTCTCCTCTGGTCTTTAGTCTAGACCTGGGACTGGTCTCCTCTGGTCTTTAGTCTAGACCTGGGACTGGTCTCCTCTGGTCTTTAGTCTAGACCTGGGACTGGCCTCCTCTGGTCTTTAGTCTAGACCTGGGACTGGTCTCCTCTGGTCTTTAGTCTAGACCTGGGACTGGTCTCCTCTGGTCTTTAGTCTAGACCTGGGACTGGCCTCCTCTGGTCTTTAGTCTAGACCTGGGACTGGTCTCCTCTGGTCTTTAGTCTAGACCTGGGACTGGTCTCCTCTGGTCTTTAGTCTAGACCTGGGACTGGTCTCCTCTGGTCTTTAGTCTAGACCTGGGACTGTCTCCTCTGGTCTTTAGTCTAGACCTGGGACTGGTCTCCTCTGGTCTTTAGTCTAGACCTGGGACTGGCCTCCTCTGGTCTTTAGTCTAGACCTGGGACTGGTCTCCTCTGGTCTTTAGTCTAGACCTGGGACTGGTCTCCTCTGGTCTTTAGTCTAGACCTGGGACTGGTCTCCTCTGGTCTTTAGTCTAGACCTGGGACTGGTCTCCTCTGGTCTTTAGTCTAGACCTGGGACTGGTCTCCTCTGGTCTTTAGTCTAGACCTGGGACTGGTCTCCTCTGGTCTTTAGTCTAGACCTGGGACTGGTCTCCTCTGGTCTTTAGTCTAGACCTGGGACTGGTCTCCTCTGGTCTTTAGTCTAGACCTGGGACTGTCTCCTCTGGTCTTTAGTCTAGACCTGGGACTGGTCTCCTCTGGTCTTTAGTCTAGACCTGGGACTGGCCTCCTCTGGTCTTTAGTCTAGACCTGGGACTGGTCTCCTCTGGTCTTTAGTCTAGACCTGGGACTGGCCTCCTCTGGTCTTTAGTCTAGACCTGGGACAGTGCAGAAGAGGACCTCAGTGCTCTTCCCGGAGTGTGCAAAGTAAGAAAGTCAGTCTGATATGACGGAGCCAGGTCGTGCAGAGATTTAAATACTAACAGTACAATTTTAAACTTAATTCTAAAAGCGACAGGAGCCAATGTAGAGACGACAGCACAGGAGTGATGTGCTCGTCTGGTGCCAGCCTCCGAGCTGCTGCATTCTACCAAACCAGTGCTTTTCTCCTAAAAGTTTCTTTCTTTCTTCCCACTTTCCAAAAGTTTTGTACTTTTCTCTCCTTACAATTAAAAGGACAAAACACAATGTGTCAGTTTTTTCATGTTTGAATTCAGGTTTTTTGCCATGCTTTTAAGTTCTGCTTCCTTAAAACGATCCATGACAGTAATGTGATGAGTACATTTGCTCTTTCTCACCTGGTAAAGGGCTTCCCGAGGCCTTGCACTCGAGCGCAGTGGAAAAACCTGACAGGATGGTCTGGTTCATCATGTCTCCTGCGTTGGGGAAACTGGGAGGCTCTGGGGAACACATGAACAGCAGATATTGGATCATCTCCTCCCTCTCCCTGAAAATAAGTGCATGTTTTTGGCCGTTACCGTGGACACTGAGCCGGATGTGCTGCTGGGCCTCTCCGGCTGCATTCGTGGCCAAACATGTGTATTTTCCCGAATCGTCCAGTCTCGCTTCTGTGATCCTCAACAAGCGGCCCGCAGAGTCCAGCTGCAAAACAGGCCCAAAGCAGATGAAGCAGTCCAAGAGCACGAATCCAAGAGCATAAAGCAAATACAAGCTGTACATCTCTGAGGGGATAAACTCATCTGTCGTGTCCTCAGTTACAGTAAGATAGTTGGCTGTGCAGACTATAAACAACACATCAAACTTCAAATTTTGACAGGAAGATTCTATAACTATTTCAGTGGAAACACAGAACACAGCTCTGCCCATGACATCATATGCCCTTCACAAACACACAGAGCATGGATTTAACTACTGAATCTGAACACGGAATCTACAGAATCTGGATCTTCTCTGGTTATGTGCTGTACATACATGCAGACAAGTGTTAAGATCACGTTCAGAGCAGATACTGAGGGCGACAAGAGAGAGCACCCATCAGACTCTCAACTCAAAGCGAATGAGAGAACCTATTGTATTTCTTCACACATGCAGCAGTGAAAACGCTAAATACTATTGTCACTATATGTTCATGAGAAGAAAACCACAAAGGAGGCAACTGTACAAACAGGTCCAAAGTTAACATAGGCACCTGGAAGGATCCTCCATTTTTTTCCATCCATCCATTTTCTACCCTTTAATCCATTTCTGGGTCAGGGGGGTGGCAGTCAGAGATGCCACCCAAGTCTCATAGCACCAGCCCCTCACTGACCCTCTGCAGGTGGTGAGTCCACAGGAGGACGGCTGCTCTCTGAGTGTGAGCATAGCCTTGATCTTTCAGTGGGGGCTTTGGGCGAAGTGGGGTTAAGTGTCTTGCCCAAGGACACAACGACAGCAGTCATCAGTGGGAGTCGATGGAGAAGGTGCAGAGGTGGGGATTGAACCCACGACCTTCTGGGCTCAAGGCCAATGCTCTACCAACTGAGCTACTGTCGCCCCTGGAAGGATCCTCTCTGGGTCAATACTAACGGCTTATTAAGTGAAAAAAAAGACCAAAGTACAGACTGAGCAAGCGAGGTTAATAAATGTTTTATTATATGACTATTTTAATTTGTGCAAATATGGATGGGTTTGAAGTAAAAACACATTTGACCAAAGTGTCAAACTGTGACATGAAGAACAGAGGATTGAGGCGCCCGCTGTAAGTTCTCAGTCTGTGTCTTTACCAATGCTTTTTACATATCTGTGATGTTCATGTCCCACTTGGTTTTCCTGGTCCTGGTTTTACCTTTCTGGTCTGTAACCAAGTTGTCGATCTCTTCTTGACTGTTGGAGTTGTGTTTTTGTCGTTATTTGCTGTTATTACTTCCTCTGGCTCTTCCAACTCGTCCTGATGATAGAATTCACTGAGAATGCTCCCAGTCGCTCATTATTTCTTTTTTACCGAGGAAACATATCAAATCTGATACTCGCTGCGGACCAGTTGTCATGGTAACGGTCCGAGATGGGACAATGTCAGACCGCAAATCAGCCAATCAGAGCGCGTGAACGATCCAAGTCTAATAAAAGGAGTTACTTGGATACAGTACTACAGTTGGAAGCATCACAGTGTAACAAGATTGAAAACAGAAAAGAACAAACTCCTAATGCTCTTATTATTACTTTATAAAATTAAGCTAAAAACAACTCCAGGTGTGTTTTTGGTTGAGGATTGATTTTGCACCACGATTAAAAGCTCAAAAAGACCATTGGGCAGAATATGTGTCTTTTGAATCCAACCTTCAGGTGCTCTTTGGTTGTGTCCAGAGGTCGGCCATTTTTGAGCCAGGTGATGCTGGGAGGGGGAACGCCGCTGGAGATGCATTCCAGACTGAGAGACTTCTGCAGGACTACGGAGCGCTCAGCAGCCCCAGCCGAGCGGATGGAGGGAGGAACTACACAATGAGAATTACTCCAATATTCATTTTCAACATTAATACACAGACCTAGGATTATGTAAGGAGAGGTGGGAGATATTGTAATGTGCTAAAAAGTATTGCACATATTGCTACACTTCTTGCTTGGCCTAATTCAGATCTTTGAAAATCCATAATCTTGACATACACTGAAATGCTTTTGAATCAAGCCGTGTATCTCGACTGTCTTGCAATGAGCCAAAATGTTTTTTTTCAAGGCCAGCAATGGGATTTTCTCCTTCCAAGTGAGAATTTGTTTGTCTCTTACCAATTGTGAAGTTTTTTGCTGTTTGAAATTAGACTATTCTTGTTTAAGACTGAGAAAATGCACTAAAATCAAGATTAATGTAGCTTAATTCAACACATTTTCTACTTTAAGTTTTTTCAGTGTACTTGTTTTTTTGGTGTTCTGTGTGTAATACATCATTCATGGCCATACAGGGGTGTAGTACCATGCACGAGCACATTGAAGTCCCTCTCATGGTCTCCCGCCTCATTCGTGGCCACACACTGGAACCAAGCCGTGTCTGAGAGCTGGGCCCGGGACACGACCAAGCGCCTCCCACTGGCTGCCACTCGAAGCCCTTCGCCCTGCAGTACGGCCTGCCCGCCTTTGTACCACCTTTGAAGCACATGGCACAGGTTACAGTGGTCATACAGAACAGTGCTGTGTGTGAAGCATGCTGGGAACTCACGTTATGGTCGGAGGAGGGGTCCCTGTGACCTCACACTCCAGCTCCAGAGGACTGTTGATGATCACTGTGCTGTCTGTAGCTACATCTGCATTCAAGATGAAGGGAGGGACTGGAAGACACAGTTCAATATGTGAGCATTCTGGGATTATGTAATCTTATGTTTATGTGGATGTTTCAAGCATTATACAGATGACAATGATCTTTACTTCTTCCTTCTAGTACAATAATTTCACTGTACATAACTTACACCCCTGTAGAGAAGGTAGCAATTATTCTTTTCAAAATACCGGTTATGTTTTAAAATGCTTTGTATAATGAGATTCAATTCATTGTAATTGTTGCAGAAAGCAGATAAATAAAGGTTAGAGCAACACTGCATAATGTTGTTACTCTGTGGTATTCTAATACATTGTTGAATACAATGTTGTTAGTCCTGAAATTTGCCGTGTCATGGCTTCGTGTATCAGGTGTCCTTTTCCCAGAATGTGTACACAGGGCTCTAGAGAGTAAATAGAACGCTCTGAGCTCATGTTGCATGTTGTCGTGGCCGAGTGGTTAAGGCGATGGACTAGAAATCCATTGGGGTCTCCCCGCGCAGGTTCGAATCCTGCCGACAACGACAATGTTTTTCCATCTGTCCTTTTAGCACAAACTAAACAGGCACATGTGAGTATAGAGAGTAGCACGAGAGGCAGTGAGTGTGCTCTTTACACGACTGAACATCTGCTTCTCATGTAAGCCTTTATTTCACATGTAGCATGCTGCATTCTTGTATTTGTAAATGTATTTTCAGTAGTAATACTACAGGACATGTGAGTTACCCAATACTCTGACATCATATTTGATCTCCTTTTCTCCGGCGATGCTTGTGGCCACACAGGTGTAGCGCCCGGAGTCGGACACAGCAACAGAGCTGATCTGGATCCTCCTCCCCTGGTCCAGAACATGCAGACTCTCACTTTGCTGGACCGGCACACTGTCCTTCAGCCAGGTCAGAGAGGGGGGAGGGTGACCCCCAGCCTCACATAACAGCACCAGCGTCTGACTCAGCACCACTTTCCTCACAGAGGGACCGTCCACTGCTCCTTCTATGGTCGGGGGTACTAAATAAGAAACCACATCAGAGGAATGGCATAAATATGTCAATTATTTACACGTGTTTGAGCCTTTATGTGAAAGGCGCTCTTACGATACACATCCAGTTTGTATGTCTTGTCAGCACTGCCGGCCACACTGGTCACTCTGCACATGTAGAGGCCTGCGTCAGACGCCTGAGCGCGGGGGATCTTCAGGTAGCGGCCTTTCTCCACGTACTGGGCCTGGCGGTGGGATAGGATAGGCTCTTGGTTCCGGTACCAGGTGATGGAGGGTACGGGGACTCCTCGTGCCTCACACTCCAGCGTCACTGCAGTGTCCAAGAGGGCAGTCACTTCTGACGTAAGGTCCCCTGTTTTTATGGAGGGCGGCACTAAAACCAAAACATTATAATTCAGTTTGATGCTGTCATGAATCATTTGCAGACAGTGAAGCAGTACATACCAAACACACTGAGGTTGAAATCTTTGGACTGTTTGCCCGCCGTGTTTGTGACACTGCACTGATAGCGAGCTTGGTCTCCCAAACGAGCACTTTTTATTTTCAAAACCTGTCCTTTATGTTTGACTTCTATATTTGGATCACCAAGAAAAACAAGCCTAGAATGAAAAGAAAAATATATAAATGATTTGCTGTTTGTAGTAATGGAAAAGTATCACATTGAATCGTTGCTCTCACTTCCGGTCTTTGTACCAGTGTATGGAGGGAAAGGGCAGGCCTTGCACCTTGCACTCCAGCAGCACCTCCTGTTTGAGGACAGCGGTGACGTCCAGAGCAGAGGCCGACCCTATGATGCTCGGTGGCACTGACACACACAACAGTTTCATATAACAACATCTGAATAAAGGGTTCAGTCTGTGAGCGATCAGATCCTCTACATTTCCTTTATATGTTCGAGTCTTCTGCTGCTGGACACCTGAATTTCTCATACGGGGATTAATAAAGTATCTATCCATCTATACTTTGCTGAAGTTGTGCTTTACCTTACTGTTCTGTAACACTGTGGAACATATGCCTGATGTTTTACAGACCCCACTATTCTTTAAGTCGATTTTAGAAAATTGACTTAAAGCTGGGGTACATGTAATTGCTTCACCAATGTGAGCAAAATTCAGACCACAACATGTCTGAAAAATCTGATCTAAAGATGTGACCAAGGTTCAATTCATGTGAAACTAATAATGAACTGATAATGAAATGTAACTTAAGTTATCATTTAGCTAAATCATATGCGGCTGAATTCTATACTGTCTGTATTGTAATCCACTGTTGACTTCAGAGTGCTTGGGGGTTGTATGCAGATGCCAGGAGGAAGCAGGTTTTGAGGATGCTAATGTGTCACTGTCCTTTTGTTGTGTTGGCTCTTCCGCTCCTGTACATATGAAGGTGTCTTGTTCTTTAAAAAGGAGTTTGTCGCCTGATCTGAGGAAGATCTGATTTTGGAACCAAAGAGAGAGCAGCACTTTCTGCTCTGTCTCTGGTTTGGAAATCACTTCTCCTTGGAAGGCAACCAAGTATTAAAAATGCCGAACTATTTCTTTTGTGTTTGTGATTTTGTCAGGATTGACTGTAAATTACAGCAATAACATGAACCAAACTATTTTGAGAGTGCAATAAACTGTTATACTTATTTTAGAAAAGTAGTGTCTGTAAGTCAACATTCCAGAGACAAGCACGAGACAGAATTATAAATCTAAACATCATGTCAAGACACCAACATGCTTCTAGCTGAGCTGGTCTGGTTGATTTTAAAAATAGATTTACATGTCAAGTTAAATGAAAAGGAAATGGATAGAACAAATAGAAAGAACATTAGTATTGGAAGTCTGAGGTTCATAGCCAGCTCCTTTGAGTTTTTTGAATGGAATATTTGTGGTTGGAATACTCACCCAGCACGTCCAGGAAGAAGTCTCTCTCTGAGCTGCCAGCGATGTTTACGGCTTTACAGCTGTAGCTCCCTGCATCTGCTCTGGCAGCGTGCAACAGTTTAAGACTCTTTCCTGAATCCACTATTTCAACTCGGTCACTAGAAACAATCTGTCAACAGAACAAACAAGCAGTTAGCAGAGGAAATGAGTAACGTAATGCTTCCTGAAGGATCCAGCAAACATCACCTGCTGAGCCAGAGTTAGGTCTGTGTGATTCTTTTAGTGATCATAATGTCATCTGCTCAGTGCCAAAAGCAGTTACATACCACTGACTTTTTGAGTTAGATTTCTCTTAATTAGGAAGAAATGTTGTCACATTTAGAGCAGAGAAAGTGCAGACGTAGAAAAAGTAAAAACATATATGACATGACTGTGCATCTGAGAAGAAAATAAAAAAGTCTATATACTGTATATATACAGTGCCTTGCGAAAGTATTCGGCCCCCTTGAACCTTTCAACATTTCGCTACATTTCAGGCTTCAAACATAAAGATATAAAAATTCAATTTTCTGTGAAGAATCAACAACAAGTGGGACACAATCGTGAAGTGGAACGAAATTTATTGGATGATTTAAAGTTTTTTAACAAATAAAAAACTGAAAAGTGGGGCGTGCAATATTATTCGGCCCCTTGCGCTAATACTTTGTAGCGCCACCTTTTGCTGCAATTACAGCTGCAAGTCGCTTGGGGTATGTCTCTATCAGTTTTGCACATCGAGAGACTGGAATTCTTGCCCATTTTTCCTTGCAAAACAGCTGGAGCTCAGTGAGGTTGGATGGAGAGCGTTTGTGAACAGCAGTCTTCAGCTCTTTCCACAGATTCTGGATTGGATTCAGGTCTGGACTTTGACTTGGCCATTCTAACACCTGGATACGTCTATTTGTGAACCATTCCATTGTAGATTTGGCTTTATGTTTTGGATCATTGTCCTGTTGGAAGATAAATCTCCGTCCCAGTCTCAGGTCTTTTGCAGACTCCAACAGGTTTTCTTCCAGAATGGTCCTGTATTTGGCTCCATCCATCTTCCCATCAATTTTAGCCATCTTCCCTGTCCCTGCTGAAGAAAAGCAGGCCCAAAGCATGATGCTGCCACCACCATGTTTGACAGTGGGGATGGTGTGTTCAGGGTGATGAGCTGTGTTGCTTTTACGGCAAACATATCGTTTTGCATTGTGGCCAAAAAGTTCGATTTTGGTTTCATCTGACCAGAGCACCTTCTTCCACATGTTTGGTGTGTCTCCCAGGTGGCTTGTGGCAAACTTTAACCAAGACTTTTTATGGATATCTTTGAGAAATGGCTTTCTTTTTGCCACTCTTCCATAAAGGCCAGATTTGTGCAGTGCACGACTGATTGTTGTCCTATGGACAGACTCTCCCACCTCAGCTGTAGTTATCTGCAGTTCATCCAGAGGGATCATGGGCCTCTTGGCTGCATCTCTGATCAGTCTTCTCCTTGTTTGAGATGAAAGTTTGGAGGGACGGCCGGGTCTTGGTAGATTTGCAGTGGTCTGATACTCCTATAATGAGATTCAATTCATTGTAATTGTTGCAGAAAGCAGATAAATAACGGTTAGAGTAACACTGCATAATGTTGTTACTCTGTGGTATTCTAATACATTGTTGAATACAATGTTGTTAGTCCTGAAATTTGCCGTGTCATGGCTTCGTGTATCAGGTGTCCTTTTCCCAGAATGTGTACACAGGGCTCTAGAGAGTAAATAGAACGCTCTGGGCTTGTGTTGCATGTTGTCGTGGCCGAGTGGTTAAGGCGATGGACTAGAAATCCATTGGGGTCTCCCCGCGCAGGTTCGAATCCTGCCGACAACGGCATTGTTTTTCCATCTGTCCTTTTAGCACAAACTAAACAGGCACATGTGAGTATAGAGAGTAGCATGAGAGGCAGTGAGTGTGCTCTTTACACGACTGAACATCTGCTTCTCATGTAAGCCTTTATTTCACATGTAGCATGCTGCATTCTTGTATTTGTAAATGTATTTTCAGTAGTAATACTACAGGACGTGTGAGTTACCCAATACTCTGACATCATATTTGATCTCCTTTTCTCCGGCGATGCTTGTGGCCACACAGGTGTAGCGCCCGGAGTCGGACACAGCAACAGAGCTGATCTGGATCCTCCTCCCCTGGTCCAGAACATGCAGACTCTCACTTTGCTGGACCGGCACACTGTCCTTCAGCCAGGTCAGAGAGGGGGGAGGGTGACCCCCAGCCTCACATAACAGCACCAGCGTCTGACTCAGCACCACTTTCCTCACAGAGGGACCGTCCACTGCTCCTTCTATGGTCGGGGGTACTAAATAAGAAACCACATCAGAGGAATGGCATAAATATGTCAATTATTTACAAATCTCCGTCCCAGTCTCAGGTCTTTTGCAGACTCCAACAGGTTTTCTTCCAGAATGGTCCTGTATTTGGCTCCATCCATCTTCCCATCAATTTTAGCCATCTTCCCTGTCCCTGCTGAAGAAAAGCAGGCCCAAAGCATGATGCTGCCACCACCATGTTTGACAGTGGGGATGGTGTGTTCAGGGTGATGAGCTGTGTTGCTTTTACGCCAAACATATCGTTTTGCATTGTGGCCAAAAAGTTCGATTTTGGTTTCATCTGACCAGAGCACCTTCTGCCACATGTTTGGTGTGTCTCCCAGGTGGCTTGTGGCAAACTTTAAACGAGACTTTTTATGGATATCTTTGAGAAATGGCTTTCTTTTTGCCACTCTTCCATAAAGGCCAGATTTGTGCAGTGCACGACTGATTGTTGTCCTATGGACAGACTCTCCCACCTCAGCTGTGGTTATCTGCAGTTCATCCAGAGTGATCATGGGCCTCTTGGCTGCATCTCTGATCAGTCTTCTCCTTGTTTGAGATGAAAGTTTGGAGGGACGGCCGGGTCTTGGTAGATTTGCAGTGGTCTGATACTCCTTCCATTTCAATATAATTGCTTGCACAGTGCTCCTTGAGATGTTTAAAGCTTGGGAAATCTTTTTGTATCCAAATCCGGCTTTAAACTTCTCCACAACAGTATCTCGGACCTGCCTGGTGTGTTCCTTTGTCTTCATGGTTCTCTCTGCGCTTTAAACAGAACCCTGAGACTATCAAAGAGCAGGTGCATTTATACGGAGACTTGATTACACACAGGTGCATTCTATTTATCATCATCAGTCATTTAGGACAACATTGGATCATTCAAAGATCCTCACTGAACTTCTGGACTGAGTTTGCTGCACTGAAAGTAAAGGGGCCGAATAATATTGCACGCCCCACTTTTCAGTTTTTTATTTGTTAAAAAAGTTTAAATTATCCAATACATTTCGTTCCACTTCACGATTGTGTCCCACTTGTTGTTGTTTCATGACAAAATGTTTTTATTTTTATATTTTTATGTTTGAAGCCTGAAATGTGGCGAAATGTTGAAAGGTTCAAGGGGGCCCAATACTTTCGCAAGGCACTGTACATACAGTATATATATACATACACAGTTATAACGAGATCACAGAAAGCCATTTCATTGTAGAAAGATTTATAGTGGTCAAACAGACTTGAAATGAAATAAAATGTTGTTTTAATGTATCATTTGTGCTATTTATTTAACATAAGGTAAAGGTGCACTTTATTCATCCTCTGCATTTGACCCATCCTGATGCTGCTAAGGCCTCGGTCAGGAGCAGTGGTCGCCGAATCAGGGCTACCGGAGTTGAAGAATTTTAGCTTTTTGTACATGTTTTTAGTGGTATCGGAAACCGGAGCACCCAGAGGAAAACCTACGAAGGCATGGGGAGAACATGCAACATCCATTCAGAAACACCCTGCTCCAACCGGTATTTGAATCCAGAATCTTCTTGTTGAGAAGCAAGAGTGCTAACCACTCAGCCACCGTGCCAAGCCACTATGAAAACATTTTTATCTTTCTAAAGTGTCTGAACATACTTCATGTTTAACATGTTTAACATATGAGTGTGCTTCCATTGGTAGATATTGTTAGTGATAATAATAGTAATATAATAGTAGTAGTAATAATTTTACCTTCGATATTGTTTTTTTTGAAGGGTGTAAAGGGTACTTCAGTTTGCCATATGAAAAAGCTGTTCTAAAGCTGTCTGATACTAATAGTAAAGTATCAAAGTATATCAAACTGTTTAAAGAAGAGACCGCCCAGTATTTGGAGCCATACGTACAGCGAGGCCGTCTTTGAACCAGCTGATGACCGGGGGGGGGCTGCCCGTCACGTCACACCGGAGGGAGGTGGGCTGGTTTAGCACCACTGACATGTTGCCTGGAGTCTCACCGCTCAAGAAATCCGGGCGAACTGAACATTGCATAAATATTAGTCACATTTAAGGATGCTTTTAAGATGTGTTTCCTTTGGTTAATCTTCTCATTTACACAGATGAAGTTGTTTGGTAACACATGTTTTTCTTAACAGTACTTTGTGTCATTTCTACAGTTGCTCCAAATGAAAAAACATGTTAATCAAAAACAAATGTGACCTTTTTAAGAATATTTACCACCACTATGTTTTTTATTTCTGACATTGTTTTCCACAGTTCTAACATAACCACCCTAAACCTCTGGATTTACTTTATAATGCAGTCTGTAGATTTGTTTTAAGATGTCCTTTCACGACACACCACTGTATTCTTTATGACCAACTGAACTGGCTGCAGGCAAAGGAAAGGAGACTTTACCATTGGTACATTTTTATCTTTAAATGTGTCAATGGTTCTAGTCAATGCCCCTTATCTCCAAAAACATCTGGTGAGAGCTGCCTCTTCATATGCACTGAGACATCTACAGCATGTCACTCTCATTACTCCCAGAGTACATAAGGAGATTGGGAGACACGCTTTCTGCTGCAGAGCCCCTGAGGACTGGAACAATCTCCCAGTTTTGATAAAAACTATTTCCTCACTTACCAGTGTTAAAACTGCTTTAGTTACACACCTTAAGTCGCCATGTGATTGCTTTAAGTTTGCGTTCAAGGCATAAATAAATAAAAGTAATAACTGTACCCAAAGTTACTGAAGGAGTGGATGTGGACTAGGTTTTGAGATGGGCATGGTGTGGAAGAGCAAAATCAATTTTTTTATTTTTTTATTTATTTATTTTTATTATTGTTATTATTATTATTATGATTATTATTATAGTTGGTGTGTGTGTGACGTCAGTTGGTGTGTGTGACGTCAGTTGGTGTGTGTGACGTCAGTCGGTGTGTGTGACGTCAGTTGGTGTGTGTGTCGTCAGTTGGTGTGTGTGACGTCAGTTGGTGTGTGTGACGTCAGTTGGTGTGTGTGACGTCAGTCGGTGTGTGTGACGTCAGTTGGTGTGTGTGTGTGTCGTCAGTTGGTGTGTGTGACGTCAGTTGGTGTGTGTGTCGTCAGTTGGTGTGTGTGACGTCAGTGTGTGTGACGTCAGTTGGTGTGTGTCGTCAGTTGGTGTGTGTGACGTCAGTTGGTGTGTGTGTCGTCAGTTGGTGTGTGTGACGTCAGTTGGTGTGTGTGACGTCAGTTGGTGTGTGTGACGTCAGTTGGTGTGTGTGACGTCAGTTGGTGTGTGTGTGTGTGTCCTCAGTTGGTGTGTGTGACGTCAGTTGGTGTGTGTGTGTGTCGTCAGTTGGTGTGTGTGACGTCAGTTGGTGTGTGTGACGTCAGTCGGTGTGTGTGATGTCAGTTGGTATGTGTGACGTCAGTTGGTGTGTGACGTCAGTTGGTGTGTGTGACGTCAGTTGGTGTGTGTGACGTCAGTTGGTGTGTGTGACGTCAGTTGGTTTGTGTGACGTCAGTTGGTGTGTGTGACGTCAGTTGGTGTGTGTGACGTCAGTGTGTGTGACGTCAGTTGGTGTGTGTCGTCAGTTGGTGTGTGTGACGTCAGTTGGTGTGTGTGTCGTCAGTTGGTGTGTGTGACGTCAGGAGGTGTGTGTGACGTCAGTTGGTGTGTGTGACGTCAGTTGGTGTGTGTGACGTCAGTTGGTGTGTGTGTGTGTGTCCTCAGTTGGTGTGTGTGACGTCAGTTGGTGTGTGTGTGTGTCGTCAGTTGGTGTGTGTGACGTCAGTTGGTGTGTGTGACGTCAGTCGGTGTGTGTGATGTCAGTTGGTATGTGTGACGTCAGTTGGTGTGTGACGTCAGTTGGTGTGTGTGACGTCAGTTGGTGTGTGTGACGTCAGTTGGTGTGTGTGACGTCAGTTGGTTTGTGTGACGTCAGTTGGTGTGTGTGACGTCAGTTGGTGTGTGTGACGTCAGTTGGTGTGTGTGACGTCAGTTGGTTTGTGTGACGTCAGTTGGTGTGTGTGACGTCAGCTGGTGTGTGTGACGTCAGTTGGTGTGTGTGTCGTCAGTTGGTGTGTGTGTCGTCAGTTGGTGTGTGTGACGTCAGTTGGTGTGTGTGACGTCAGTTGGTGTGTGTGACGTCAGTTGGTGTGTGTGACGTCAGTTGGTGTGTGTAACGTCAGTTGGTGTGTGTGACGTCAGTTGGTGTGTGTGTCGTCAGTTGGTGTGTGTGACGTCAGTTGGTGTGTGTGACGTCAGTTGGTGTGTGTGTGACGTCAGTTGGTGTGTGTGACGTCAGTTGGTGTGTGTGACGTCAGTTGGTGTGTGTGTGACGTCAGTTGGTGTGTGTGTGACGTCAGTTGGTGTGTGTGTGTCGTCAGTTGGTGTGTGTGTCGTCAGTTGGTGTGTGTGACGTGCGTCTGTCTGCCCAGTGATATAAACCCATTCAACTCTTACACACGCCCCAGCAGCAGGTTGGAGTATTCTGGCGACATCTAGTGGATTAAAATTAAATTACATAAATGGACCGCCACTGCTGCTGAGATAATTCTGTGGCTTAGGTTCAGGTGTGTAGCTACAATAATCTTAGAGTGTAAACAAGGGAATGAGACTTTCTGGTGTGTAAACTATTGCTTTAAGCAGCAATGACTATTGTCTGGTTTTTTTTTTTTGTGACTAGTGAGCTGTCAATCACAGCCCAGACCACGCCCAACTCAGAGCCCCCCTTCTTGTCCCTTGGTCCTCGGGCAACGTCCTTTTTAGAGAAAATGTTCAAATGTTCATGTGGGCGGAGTCAGGCTGGTCACAAGTGTTTAGTCGCTCTTTAACTTTCTTTCACAGACAGTAATGAGAACGAGGCAGAATCTGGCCCGCTCCGAGCGCAGTCCAACTACTATGACCACAAGTTTCATTACCGTGACATTACTAGGCCTGTCGCGATATTCAATAAATCAATTAATCGCATGATGATTAAAATTAGCTCGATAGTTTTCCTGGCCGCGATGAATTCCATTTGCATGCTTGTTAGTTTTCCCGTCTCTCTCTCGGGTCAGAGAGCCGCAAAGTGGTCACACGTGGCGCGAGCAGACTGAAATAACTCAAAAATACAAAATACAGCCAAAACAGGACCTAAACCAGGACTAAACCAGGACTAAAACAGGACCTAAACCAGGACTAAACCAGGACTAATCCAGGACTAAACCAGGATTGTTCTCATTCAGGCTCTAGTAGTGAATAAACTAGCGCAGTTAGCGTTAGCGTGTTTGCTGATGCGAAAGTACCGTTTAATAATAAAATAAACTTCTGACGCACCTCCGTGAACACATACTGCTGTTATATAAAGTCTCTGGAAGGTCTCTGGACAAAGAGACTCTGCAGAGCTGCATTATTGGCGAGAACTGCTAGCATGATGCTAACAGAGTTAGCATCATGCTAGCGGCTTTTTACTTCCGCCACTTCTGGCGGTGGTCCCTAATAATAAAAGTGTATTTCTCTTTGAAAAGGTGTACCTGCATTATTATCATTGTATTAGATGAAAATGATCTCAGAACGACAATACTATCGCCTATTGCAATAATTTCTGAGACAATTAATCGTCCAGCAAAATTTTTAATCGTGACAGGATAGACATTACCATTGACTTTGAGTTGGTACTTCTTCTCGGTGGAACCCGCGTCGTTGGCTGCAGCACACGTGTACTCTCCGTTGTCCAGAGGAGAGATGGAGGTCAGTATGAGCAGCGTGCCGTCGTCAAGGATGGAAACGCCCGGCTCGTTCCCTGTCAACTCTTGACCGTTGCGTAACCAGCGAATCACAGGCTTTGGAAGACCTGAAAGAAACCATGGTGGCAGTGGACATGTACTTTGTTATCATCATAAAAGATCATCAATGACACAAACTGTACCTTTCGCAGGACAGGGAAAGGCAATCTTCTGGTTTGCCACGCGCTCCTGCAAAGGACTGTTGAATGGTGGCTCTAGGATCTCTACAACTGGAGGAACTGAGGAGGAGAGATATATTTATTACACATCCACTAAGATAACATAACAATATTATCATAGAAAAGCTGTATAATACTAAACATATTATACTATTATGAAGCTTTTCTAGTAGAATATTGTTCAATTTATTTACTAGACTCAACACACACAAAGAGAGAGGCATGTCGAGCCAACTAAAACAAACAAAAATCTTACATATTTCCCTTTGCGATATTTGTCTATATCATATATTATCACATATAATCACAGAAACTCATGGACTTTTGACCCGTATTCTAATTCTCAGAGTTTCACCTGTAATGGAAGGTCCCCCACAGTATCGTCTCCATTGAAATGTTATTTCATGGCCTGGTCCATACTATTATGGTATTGCACTTTACCGCAGAATAACAATGCAAGTGACTTAATAATGGCTGCAGGTATCGGCCATATCTTTGGAGAGGAGAGCATATGAAAGAATTTGGGCTTTTGACCAGTAATCCCATCTGTCATGCAGTCATCTACACGAATATATCCAACAAGCGGGTAGCAGAAAAGTTGAACAGTGCACGATCAACTGATAAAATATGATTGTTCCCCATTTATTGCAATTTTAAAGAAGACATTTTCTGACACCTGTGTTCATTTGAGTCATGAGAACATGAAGTTTATATTAGGTGTTTTAGAATATGTAAATACATTATAATTAAAATATATGGATGACAACGTCTAATGGACAAAACCATGGTAGTCAAGGGCAACCACATTCAAGAATCCTCCCCAAAGACAAAAAAATAGGAAATGCTTTTGGTCAGATGGCAAAAAACGTCTCAGTCAAGCTTGAGATGATTCCTGAAATATTAGTGTCTGTTTTTGTTTAGAGAACCGTGCCGTACCCAGTTTCAAAAAGAAATTTTTTGCAGAATATGTGTTGTTTAAAGCAAATGTTTCTTGCTTTTATAAACTGTGTGAAATGCAAGCATCAGTGAGAAGATGTTACCTCTGCTGGTATACACTTTGAAATACACTCTCTAACATGATCGTACAGGGTCAGATATGCATTCTTTTGAAAATGAACAACACTTTTCTGGCATCACGTTTAAAGAAGAATGTGAAAGGCCACTATTTTGAGTTTGTCGAGGCTCCTTCAAAGAAAAGCATTCATTTGAAACAGATCCCACCTTGCACCTGCAGCTGGACTTGGGCCTGGGCTCTGCCTGCTCTGTTCTCCGCTGTGCACGTATAACTGCCCTGGTCTTCTAGGGAGACCTTCCTGAAAAGCAGACTTCCATCTGGAGACACTGGGTACGTCCTGCCATCTTTGCTCCAGCTGAGCTCCGGCTGGGGGGAACCATGAGCCACGCAGGGCAGCTCCACTGAGTGCCCCAGCAGCACCTTCATCACCCTGGGACCGGCCTGGATACTGGCAGGAACTGGGAACAACAGCAAAGAATGTGTGATACAGTGATAAAATGTCACATGCTTCTGTCTGCCATGATCACTATCCTCCTGCATCGGCAAGGAACAAAACAAAAGTGGGAAAAAATTTGAGAAATCTTGAGAAATCTCATAGTGAAATTATTACTTTAAACAAATAATAGCCATTTGAGCCAATAGACATTTGACCGTTAAACTCAAATGTCAGTTATTATGGAGCAGTCTTCCTTAGGTCACGTGATCCTGTGTTGTGTCCTGTGTTTTTGCAGTTTTTGTAATTTGTAACAAATAATAGCATTTTGCATGAGGTAAAGGAACCGGCAGAACCACATCTTTCTAAAGTCTTTTTCTGATCAGGGGTATGAAAATGGAATAGGCATTAAACTTATTGTAATTAATAACTGTTTTCATAATCTTTGACGATTATTTATTGATATGTTCGGTGTTTATAAATGAAAATCTATAAATAAAGTTTCGAAAAAAAAAAAAAAAAAAAACGTATTGTAATTAACATATGTATTGTGGGAGTTGGTCTCACCCAGAACACTGAGCTGCACGGTCAGCGTCAGGTTCCCAGCGATGTTGGAGGCGACGCACACGTACAGGCCAGCGTCGGACTCTCCAGTCTCCAGGATCCTCAGAGAGCCCGAGGGAAGCTGCAAATACCTGAGGAACAAGTGTGTAGTCAATATCTACAGTATACACCAACATTTATCTCAGATGATTTACTTTTTACTTTGATATTCTGACTTCAATCTTAAACCAGGCTATGCAAAAAAAGCCTCGGTTATATCTTTAGAGAGAAAAGATAGAACCAAGGCTCAAATAGTGATCGGATTTGTTCACAATATTTTACGTTTACAAGACTTTTTCTGTCCTTTTCTGTGCCTAAAATTGTGATAAAGAAAAATGTATGAACTCATTGACTGCCAGTGACGTATTTGTCTGAGACTGGAGATTTCTGTCAAACTTCCCTCTATTCGACGTAAGATTACAGGACAACAAAACTAGCCAGAAACAAACTTATTTTTGCTGATGAAAGTAGACACTCCAGTCTTTCAGAATCTGGTTTCATATTTCACATAGTCATAGCACATAATATTCTGTGGGTCTTTAAAGTCAGTGAAATCATCAAAAGCGGCAGCAGTCAATGTTAATGTATGATTCTTTGCCAGTTGGGTCAGTTTTTCTGTTTAGCCGGCTTAGTGACTTTAAATCAGGATTAGAATTTGATTTAAACATAATTCTAAAAACTTTTAAACTGCAACTTTTTTTTAATCAAAATCCCCCCAAAAGTGTTTTATGCCGAACCTGTTATACACAATTGTTTTTACAAGTCTATACAAACATTTCTCTCCGCAGGTTTTCGCTACAAGCCTCCAAGTATAAAGTCTTGGTCCACAGCCTTTCTAATCGGAACGACCGCAATTACAGCTACTGCAGCGGGGACTGGAGATCACAGAGGAGTGGGATTATCCAGGCGTTTGGGAAGAGCCACAAAGTGCAGCCCCGCAGCCAAACACGCTCCTGCTGCCAAAACAAATCCACGTAACGTCATATTCTCCTCCTTTATTTGCATCCAAGTCTTAATTAGAAAGTCTGAGGCTCGCTCACACTATCATCTACGCACGTGTACACGAGAGAGAATGCAGAAGCGGCGAGGGACTGCATTAGCGTTGTCAAAAACTCTACTTCCAGTCCTGGGAAAAACTCAGAAGTATTTTCAACACAATGTGAACAGGAGCAGAGCGTTCCGAACAGAAGGAACTTATTTAAAAACATCAAGAGTTATTGTAGATTTTATAAAGACAATTGGATTACATAAATTACCTTTTTATATATTTAGAGATGCACACATTGCAATTAGAAGCAATCAATCTTCAAGAAATGAAACGCACCGATATGTTTTGTCAAAATTGAGTTTTAGGCAATTATAGGCTCATTATTCACCTTTTCCAAGTTGGGTTTTTAATTGTTACAATTGTCGTATAACAGTAGATTTTCTTCTGTCTATAGTAGTGTTTTAGTGAACTGTTGGCCCCATACTGGGTAGAAACTGGTCCTCAATCTTTCTTGCTTGTGTCTTTACATATTCACTGAGTTATATGGCATGGTGGCTGAGTGGTTAGCACTATCGCCTCTCATTAAGAAGGTCCTGGGCTGGAATCGGTGGGAACGGTGTCTTTCTGAGTGGAGTTTGCATGTTCTTCCCGTGCTTACGCAGGATTCCTCTGGGTACTCCAGTTTTCCCTACCACTAAAAACATGCACACTAGGTTAAATCCTCCAGCTCTGGTCCTGACCAATCATTAACATCTGGAGATGGATTCCCGAGCGCTGTTACTACGGCGACCACTGCTCCTGACGTCAGCCTTAGGGCATCAGGATGGATCAAGTGCAGAGGATAAATTAGTCTATGGGGATCAATAAAGTGCACCTTTACCTAATATTGAATCAATTCTGCAGGGAAATTTATTAGCTCATACTTTTAAATGAAATTATTCAATTATTTTTTGAAGTAAGTTCTTTGCATTAGTCTTTTCTCTTCCAGGGCTTTTTCTGTTTTTTAACTTTGTTATGTCTAAATGACCTGGGTATAGATGAATCTATTTAGATATGACAGAAAACAGAGAGTGTTTAGTTGCTTACCGGGTTGAAAAAGGGGAGATGAGCTGCCGGTCCTTGGCCCAGCTGATGGAGGGAGGAGGAACACTGTGGACCTCACAGGGGAGAAGGACCTCCTCCCCTTCTACCACAGACAGCTCCAGAGGAGCTGAGGAGCCGGCTGCTCCACTGATGGGCCTGGGGCGCACTGCACACAAAGAAGAAACACACATGCACTTAAGAAACACTATTAAACAAAATGTGGTAGAGACCAAAGACGCCGGATTTCACCAAAGGAGCTGACAACCCAGTTCAGACTCAGGTGATGCTAGTTTTGATTGGATAATCAGCTTCAAAACTACAATAATAAATATTAATTTGTTACGGACCAGGTCCTTGTTTTTTCCCCTTGCCTCTGCCTCCTCAGACCTCCCTCCCACTGACGTCTCACCCTGCACCTGTGGGCTAATCACATGGGAGGCATTAAAAGGGCCTGGCTCCAGACCAGTCTCTCTCTCTTCCACTTGGGCCTGGATCCTGCGGCTGCACACCCTCGTGACTTTGTTGTACATTCAATTTGATTTTAATAAACCTTGTTACTTTTTAGACCTCGTTTCCCGTCTATGTTCTACGCCCGGTTCTTTTTGTGTTACTGAGTCACACTCTCTAGACCTCAACACATAATGGCTCGTAATAAATGCACTTCTTGGCCAAATCATCTGAAAAGGCCAAATATGATTTGTACAATATGATGTGAACCTAGTTTCTGTCATTTAAAATGTGATTATTACACACTGTTCCTCATAAAAAAATATGATGCATTATTTTTGGACACTAAAAATAATTATCATTTTAATAAATGTGTTGAGGTGGAATGGAACCCATGAGTGCTAACCACTCTGCCATGTGAAGCCTGGGATTTATCAACATCAGTGTGTGGCCAACAGCCATACACACAACACGTGTGTTGACTAATGGTGGATGAAAAATGTGTATCAGTAAATCTTATTGAGCAGCGCAATTAGGGGTTTTACAACTCTTCAGAGGCGGTAAAATAATCCCAACCAGCCACAGACCACACTGCATAACAACAGCACAGTCAAGTTAGATTCACTGAAATGTTACTCGTTTGAAGTCTTTTTTAGGTTATCTGAACCCAACTTCTCTTAAAAGATAGTGTTCTATAAGCAAATAATTTACTACAGATAATTCTGTAATGATAATATTGCAACTGCTGTAAATAACCTCTTGAGCCCTTGTGGAGGCCCCCAACCCTCACTTTGGAGCCCCTGTGTGGAGGTTAGACCATGGGTGTCAAACTCATTTTGCTCGGGGGTAAATGAGACCAGAGAGAAGGAGAGACCAGAAAGAGAGAGACCTGAGAGAGACCAGAGAGAGACCAGAGAGAAAGAGACCAGAGAGAAGGCGAGACCAGAAAGAGAGAGACCAGAGAGAGACCAGAGAGAGACCAGAGAGAGACCAGAGAGACACCAGAGAGACACCAGGTACAGACCAGAGAGAGACCAGAGAGAAGGAGAAACCAGAAAGAGAGAGACCTGAGAGAGACCAGGTAGAGACCAGAGAGAGACCTGATATAGACCAGAGAGAGACCAGAGAAAGAGTACGTGGTGGGCCACATTCGGCCCACGGGCCTTGTGTCTGACACCGGTGGTTTAGGCCGTGGTGAGACAGGTTAGTTTTACTGAAGACATGTTGCAGTAATCCCTCCAGGTCCTTTAGGGAGGACTTACCGTAGACCGTGAGCTGGACCTTCCTCGTGGCAGAGCCAGCTGCATTAGTGGCTGCACAGAGGAACTCTCCGCTCTGGTTTCCAGTGGGAGAATGGATGTGAAGAGTTCCATCAGAGCGCAGGGAGAACAGGGGACCACCCAAGTGCAGCAATGCCCCGCCCTGTCAGACACAGAGCCTTCATTAACAAATGTTTATTAACGCAGAAGATCTACACAAACACACGCACAGACGACCTGCACAGACCCCTCGTGTTTATTGATCCTGGACTGTGTAAATCCCAGTGGTGGGGATCAATGGATGGAAAAAACCTTCCATCATTTCATACACGTAAATTATAGTTGTGTTTCAAAGTTTACATATTATTTTTTCCACTCATTGTCAGTGCTTTCTACTCAAATGTCCTTGATTAGAATCTCATGAATCTTCCAGTTCCTGGTCCGTCTTCCACACAGACTGCACTTTTGAGATCTCCTCTGATTGATGATGTTGTCCTTCTTAATCTCCAATATATGACCATAATAAAGACATGGCAGGGTGTGGACACTTTCAAGCAGAATTGTAAGTAGTAGTAAGTAAGTAAGCTTTTATTTATATACCGCCTTTTCACTGCACATCGGAGTCTCAAAGCGGTTTACAATTGTTGGGTGGGGTCGCCAGTACAGGAGGCACATGCCAGACCTATTGTACATATTTTTAGTGGTAGGGGAAACCGGAGCACCCGGAGGAAACCTACGCAGACACGGGGAGAACATGCAAACTCCACTCAGAAAGGCCCTGGTCCAACCGGGATTCAAACCCAGGACCTTCTTGCTGAGAGGCGAGAGTGCTATCCACTCAGCCATTGTACCTCTTAAAAGTGACTTGAATTCAGGTTATTATTGTAGAAAATGTAATTTTACTTTGCGACTGAGGTCAGAGGAAACATGGTTAAAAATAACCCAGAGCTAATACCATTTCCCTTTGCTTCGTGCTTTGACAGAGCTCGTGGCTCACTTACTTTGGACCAGGTGGTTTCAGGATCTGGAATCCCGTTGGCGCGACAGGGGAGCGAGATGGGCACTCCCTCGATGGTACTGAAAACTTGAGGGCCATGTTGAATGGTTGGAACGACTTCAAACAGGGTAAAAAACATGCATTTACAATATTATTCACAATCATTATTTACTTAAGTGAATACTGACAGTTGGAAAACACCAATAGTTTCCTGTATATTTGATGAAATTAAAATCTATTTATGATATAGGTGTGACTGTTGTTAGGAAGGTGGGTCTTTGGGAAGTGGTATAGTTTAAAACGTATTTGTTTATTTGCTATTATCTTAACAAGAAAGAAGATGCAATTCATGACTTTTTCTACCTTTCAACTTAAATATAACCCAAAAACTCTTTCCTGGGCACCTAAACTCTTTGTAAAATTGGGAACATAATTTATTCAAACATCGAGTGTTCACATCCCATCCATCCATTTTCTTCCCCTTAATCCATTTCTGGGTTGGGGGGGTGGCAGTCAGAGCTGCACCCAGTCCACAGAGCACCAGCCCCTCACTGATCCTCCTGCAGGTGCTGAGTCCACAGGAGCTGAGATCTTTCAGTGGGAGCTTCAGGCAAAGTGGGGTTAAGTGTCATGCCCAAGGACACAACGACAGCAGTTATCAGTGGGAGTCGTGAAGTAGGTCTTATGGTGGGCTTGAACCCACAACCTTCAGGCTCTAAGACCAATGCTCTACCAACTGAGCCACTGTCGCCCCTCACATCCCAGTGTACATAAAAAGAAAAGACGGCTGAAACACGGTGTTGAACAAAAGCTGCTCTTCCCCAGAATCTGTTTGGACAACACCATTTCCAACATCACAATAAAGTGACCAGACTACACATATGTTCCTTTTGTGAACCAGGTCTGAAGCTCTACACAAAATGTTTCATTTTCATTTCATTTCATTTACATCCCTTTGTTTTTCCATTTCTGGGTCAGGGGGGTGGCAATCAGAACTGCCACCCAATTCACACAGCACCAGTCCATTGCTGCTCTTCCTGCAGGTGGTGGGTCCACGGGAAGATCCTTCGACACAGATGCAGCCTTGGTCTTTCAGCGGGGACTTCAGGCACATTGGGGTTAAGTGTCTTGCCCAGGGACACAACGACAGCAGACATCAGTGGGAGCAGTTGACATGGGTCGTAGTGGGATCGAACCCACGACCATTAGGTCCAAAGACCATTGCTCTACCAACTGAGCTACTGTCGCCCCTAACCATACACAAAATGTTATGGTTATTCAAAACTAGGCGCCCAACGAGATATGGAGTCCTACCGTGGACAAGGACAGTCGTAGTGTGATTAGTGGCTCCAACCGCATTTTCTGCCAAACAGGTGTAGTCTCCGGCATCCTCCAGCCGCACCCGGTCTATGTGCAGACTTCCATCCTTCCTCACGGTCAAGTACTGGTCTGAGGTCAGCTGGAACACAGCAAAAGGCTCATTCTCAACAAAGAGACAGAATATCCACCGGGAAAGACATAACATAACTACGTATGGACATAGTAATCTTTATTTTATTTATATACCACCTTTTCACTGCAGATCTGAGTCTCAAAGCGGTTTACAATTGTTAATTATGGGCATTTGTCTCTCACTCCACACAGAGATGGGAGCGGGGCCAGTACAGGAGGCACATGCCAGAACTATTGGACATATTTTTAGTGGTAGGGGAAACCGGAGTACCCGGAGGAAACCTACGCAGACACAGGGAGGACATGCAAACTCCACTCAGAAAGGCCCTGGTCCGACCGGGATTCGAACCCAGGACCTTCTTGCTGAGAGGCGAGAGTGCTATCCACTCAGCCACCGTGCCGCCCTTGGACATGTTCTGTTTTATGCCATAGTGACATTTTTCAATAATATTTTAACATTTTTCCCTCATCAAAAACAGACAGAGCAGTTTTTATAAAGTGATTACCAATAACAACAAATTTAGTTTTGACTTTCCAGGTAAAAGGAAAACTGTGAAGATCTTAGAAAATCAAAAAATCCAAGGCACTCGTGGTCAATAGTTTAGAAAGTTTAAAAAGCCTTTATTTTCTCATTGGCTGTAGATTAAATACGCACCAACGCGTTTCAGCCTAGCTTGGCCTTCTTCAGGGTGCAAAAAAAATAAAAATAAAATAAACCACAAATATATTTTTGGTGCGTATTTTTGCGTATTTTTTGCGTATTTTAATCTGTTTTAATCTACGTTGGTGCGTATTTTAATCTACAGCCAAATGAGAAAATAAACTTCTACCTGGAAAGTCAAAACTCCATTTTGTGTTACTAAGTTAAACCCCTTTTCCAATTGAGCACCTGGTCTTTTAAATAACTTTACACACCCGTTGCTTTCTTATTACCGATAACGTTTGACTTGAGAGAGCAAAAATTGAGGTTTTGGTTGTGTCCATACGCAAACTTCAAGTAATACAAGTTTACTAGATACAAATGTTTATCAATAAGGCTTGTGGTTGTAGAAGGACTTTTATGCACAAACTCAAACATGCATGGATTGTGTAAATATAAGTAAATGCGTCAAATTGGAATACAGTGTGTGGCTGTGGACCTCACCAGGCCGTAGTTGTGCAGCCAGCTCTTGTCGGGGAGAGGGTTTCCAGCCAGCAGGACACATGGTAACGTTAGCGGCTGCTCCTTCACTACACTGAGCACCGCGGGGCTCAGGGCCAAGACCGGGGACACTGCAAGACATCACACCAGACCAAGGCTTGAGATTGACCTGGTTCAAGTTCTTCCATGTTTTATCAATTCTGTGTTCATAATAAGACATAAGAGACCCAACACAAAAAGAGTTTTCTGTAGCCTGGTAAAAACACAGATACATAGTTTAAACACCCTTTTAGATAGATAGATAGATAGATAGATAGATATATACTTTATTGATCCCGAAGGAAATTGTGCACTCGTCCCTTGCTCGCAATCATACAGCAATACATACACAGGTAAGAATTATAGGATGCAAAAGTTAAAAACGAGACAATAAATACATTAAAAACAATAAAAACATTAAAAGAGAAGTTAAGGCACTGCAAAACAATTCTCAAGACACCCCACCCCCCTCCCTCCCCCCCCTGCTCCTCCCTGAAGTGGCTTTGTTATAGAGCCTGATGGCGTTGGGGACAAAAGAGTTTTTTAATCTGTCCCTGGAGCACCTCAGAGAGAGGAGTCTGGAGCTCATGGTGCTTCTCTGGCGGGAAAAAAATGAATTCAGTGGGTGGCTCTGGTTGGACAAGATCACCCTGATCTTGGAGAGCGTTCTTTGCTCTACCACCTCCTCCACTGAATCCAGACCCAGACCCACCACAGAGCCCGCCTTTCTAATGAGCCGGTTCAGCCTCTCAGTGTCCCTCTTTCGTGCACTGCCCCCCCAACAGACAACTGCATAGAAAAGGACACTAGACACAACAGACTGATAAAACATGTAGAGAAGCTTATCACAGACCCTGAAAGGTGCCAATCGCCTCAAAAAGTACATCCTACTCTGCCCCTTCTTGTACACAGCGTCCATGTTGGCTGCCCAGCTCAGCTTGTTGTCCAGCTGCAGCCCCAGGTACTTATAGGTGGAAACCACTTCCACCGCAGTTCCCTCGATAATAATGGGCTGCAGAGAGGGTGGTGCCCGGCGAAAGTCCAGCACCACCTCCTTAGTTTTGGCTGAGTTTAAAAGAAGCTTGTTCTGCTGGCTCCACTCCACAAAGTTCTCAACCAAGCCTCTATACTCCCCTTCATCACCCCCCCTGACGCATGCCACGATTGCAGTGTCATCTGAGAACTTCTGCATGTGGCATGTCTCAGAGTTGTAGCAGAAGTCACTCGTATAGAGGGTGAAGAGGAGGGGCGAGAGCACAGTGCCCTGCGGTGCACCCGTGCTACAGGTCACTGTTGAGGACCTACAGCCCCCCCCCCCTCGCACGTACTGGGGCCTGTCGGTTAAATAATCCGTGACCCAACGCACAAGAAGAGGGTCCACATTCATGATGGTGAGCTTCTCCTGGAGAAGGATGGGATGGATGGTATTAAAAGCACTGGAGAAGTCAAAGAAAAGCATCCTCACAATGCACCCTCCCACATCCAGGTATGTGAGGGCACGATGTAGCAGGTAGAGGACTGCATCCTCGACCCCCACCCTCTCCTGGTAGGCGAACTGAAGAGGATCCCTCGTCGTCTCCACTTGGGGCCGCATGATCTGCAGGACCAGTCGCTCAAAAGTTTTCATCACATGTGATGTAAGAGCGACTGGCCTATAGTCATTAAGCACCAGAGGGCGTCCCTTCTTGGGGACCGGGACGATGCAAGACGTCTTCCATAGAGAAGGGACTCTCCCGCGCCGCAAACTTAGGTTGAAGACCTGCTGTAGGGGGTCTCCCAGCTCAGCAGCGCACGTTCTCAGTAGCCTAGGACAGACCCTGTCAGGACCAGCAGCTTTCCTTGGGCGTATGAGTTGCAGCTGCCTCGTCACCTGGTCTGCTGTGATGGTAACAGGAGTTGAGGTGTGTGTGACAGGCACCTGAGGGAGCGTAAAAGAGGCAAGAGGATGAGCAGCGTGATGAATATCATCAGAGGAAATAGGGAAGGGCTGTGGGGGCAGGCAGGTGGTCTGGGAGGAACTGAAACGATGGAAAAATGTATTCAGCTGCTCCACTTTCTGTAGATCCATACAGTCCACCTTGCTCTTACTGCCACAGCCTGTTATGGTTTTCATTCCACTCCAAACCTCCCGCATGTTGTTATCTCTCAACTTTCTCTCCAGCTTCCTTCTATAAGACTCCTTAGCGTCCCTCAGGCAGATTCTAACTTCCCTCTGTACCTCTCTTATCTTCTCACAATCCCCGCTTCCAAAAACCCTCTTTTTCTTATTCAGAACGTTCTTCACCTCAGCGGTAATCCATGGTTTATTGTTCTCAAAGCACTGGATTGTTCTAACAGGTAACACCTGATCCATGCAAAACTTTTCTGCTCTATGGGAACATGGATGATTAATAAAACCAATATACAATAAAGTTTCAGAATGTCAAAAGAGGTGAAGATGGCAGAAAGGTGCTCCAAATAAGTTTCCTCTGCAGAGTGGCAGCTGGGCACTCCCTTAAAATATCAGGGGATGAGCTCGGTCACAGGAAGCTCAGAGTATAGCTGCTGCTCCTCTGCATCAAGGGGAGCCAGTTGAGAGGCCTTGGGAATCTGTTTGGAAGGCCTCCAGGACGTTTACTTGGAGCATGTCAAAGCAGAAGGAGACCACATAAGACCAAGGACCCACTATTTGTCATTCCCACTGAGCAAAAACAGTCAAAACAACTGCATCTAATCCGCATCAGGAGACCGGGACGAGGCGTGTTCAGTGTCAACACAACACACTGCAGAGAGAATGTGGATGAATAACACAATAACACAAACAATAACATTAATTTCTTATGACTTTCAGCTTTTCTAATAACATATTTTTAAATTTAATTCTTGCAAATGTGGCTCTGGCTCTGACTTCAGCAGGATTCTTCCAAAGCACACAATCAAACTTTTCTCGTACATTCCAGATAATGTCTCTGTGAATGGTATGTCAGACCCCCCACCAGATTACGTCTTACTAACAGATTGTAAGACGTAAAAATTGCAGGAGGACCTTCTACTAATAACAGACATGATCTTTTATGTTTCTGTTTTCCTACTGACAAATTACACCATGTTATTGTCTGCTAAGCCCAACTTCTCATGGCTTCAGTACTGAGCCTATAGCTGGTATGTGCTGTATAGAATGGTTCACAAAGGGCCAGAGAAGAGGGTCTTTTCTGTTTTGAATACATTGTAATTTTCTGTGTGTGTATTATTTTGCGTTTATTATGTAGTATGTATACAATATGCCTATGTATCGATTAATTATCCAAAGTTCAAACATTTCTTTGGGATCAATGAAGTGATTCTCCATCTGTCTGCTTGTCCGCCCAACTATTCATGCATCCTTCTACACATCTTAAACAAGACCTGTCACCAGAATCACTATACTGAATTTTAATACACCTCATGGTCATTGGGCATGTCACTAAAACGGTTGGTGATTGCTGGTCAATAATCTATTACCGCCTACAACGTTTCTCAAGGGCTCAATATTTGAAACCTTTTTTTTTTTAATGTTGAGCATATTTGAGACTCTGTGGACTTACCCAGGCCGGTCACTGTGAGTCTGGCCTCCGCTTTGATTGATCCAAACTTATTCTGAGCCTGGCAGACGTACACAGCATCATCCTCCACCCACAGATCTGAACAGATGATAAGGAAGTGAGGAAGAGAACTGCTTGGGTCCGTGTCAGTGATTTTTGTGTTGTGTGAGAAGAGATGGTCCAACCTCTTTTCAAACGGACAAAAATATTTTACAACCACAAGAAAAAATTACGACTTATGGACTCACTTGTGAAGATGAGGTCTCCGTTTCTCTGGAGGACAGAGCCTTGTTCACGGGGTCTGTTGAAGAGCGCTAGGCTGTCCTGCCTCCACCATGTCACCTGAGGGTGGGGGTACCCCTGCACCTGGCACTGCAGGGTGACACTGGAGCTGATCTCTGCACTCATGTCCAAAGGCTCTCGGACAAATGTGGGGGCGGCTGAAGACAAGTAGACAACAAGTTTTACCAAGGTATAGACCCTCAGCCCTAGCAACTGACCACTCTGTATATTCTGTCCTCAAATTTGGCTTTGTCTAGTGACGAGTGGACAGACTGGCACTGCTCTTCATTGGCTTTTTCATTTCTAGGTTGTTGGCTCTAGATGAGTTAGCTTTAATGAGCTTTTTCCACAACAAGGTAAACACACATAACATCACAACTCGCCAAGTCCACTTCTATGGCCTAAGGTTCAAAGATCATTTTTAACTTAACATTCTATAAATCTTCATAATAATCAAATTACTTCATACTATACACATCTCTAAATCTTTCAAAAAAAATGTTGTATCATGAAAAAAGCCGGAGCCAACTAATACAGGCTCCATGAACAGAAACCTGGGGAAAATTCTCAGAAAGCAACTCCCCAGCAACCGAAAACCCACTGCTCTGTTCTCGCCTGCACTATTCACAAGCCGAAGCTGATGTCTGGGGACTGAAGGGGAAGGGTAGCACCTGATTGGACAATTTTTAGTGTTGTGTTAGGGCTCTGAAAGACAATATAAAATAAAATAAAACTGTGCTTAAAGTGATTGTCTGGAGTTTGTCAGAAAAAAAAGTACTTGATTTGAAAAAAATGACCCAAGCTCCTCCCCCTCCTTTCTGATTGGTCTACGCCTACGTTTCCGTAACACATTTAAATGTTAATCTGAGAACACATTATACATATACATTATTAATACACATGCACGGGAGGTTTTCAGAATTATTTGTTAACGTTTTCATGAAAAAAAAAATTTAATGCACAAAAAAAACGATTGCGGCAAACCAGGAAGTGCTATTATCATGAATTGCACATTATAGGACACATCTGCAGAGGATCTGATTATGGATATAGGTTCAGTATATAAATGATTATGGATATAGGTTCAGTATATAAATGATTATGGATATAGGTTCAGTATATAAATGATTATGGATATAGGTTCAGTATATAAATGATTATGGATATAGGTTCAGTATATAAATGATTATGGATATAGGTTCAGAGCCTAGTGGACGCCTAAGAGAAGCGAAGGCGGGACTTACCCGTAATATTAGAATTAATAAAATGACTTATTTTATATCAAAATTTAAGGCCAGGAGGTCAATTTAATACAATTCTTAAAATGTGTAATTCATTTAGAGTTCCAGACTATCATTTTAAGTATTTAGGTTCAAATGAAAGAGGTAGCTCATCGGGTAGCTGAGGGTGGAAAGATGCTACAAATGTAAGGGTGAAGAAGTGTTTGTAAGAGACTGTGGTTTATGATGCGTAGCCATGGGGTATGAGAGAAAGTGGGGTTATGACAGTAACATTAGTATTAGCCATTAGCATCACGGACAATATACTGGAACTCCTCACCTCCAACATCCAGCAGGACTTTCCCCGACGCTGTGCCGGCAGCATTCACAGCCACACAGGAGTATTCCCCTGCGTCTATGTCCAAAGTCTCCTTGATCACCAGAGTTCCCTCCACTCGGTTTATGTCGAAGGTGGCGGAGGGCTGAAGCTGCACGTCACCTGACAATGTGTTCGTTCAAAGATAGGTTAGCTTTAGTTCTAAAGGGCCTCTCCGCCTTGAGGCATCCAGGTACAATAGAATACCTTTGTACCACCAGATCTCGGCCGGGGGGATCCCCGAGGCAGAGCAAGCCATCACTGTGGTTTCCCCGATGCCGATGAGAATCTCACTCAACGCCACTGTCACCACCGGAGACTCTGAAAATATATATCACACATTATTGATTTTTCATTGTTTGTTTTGTAAGAAGTGGAGCAGGTGACAGCTGTTTCACCGGCTTTTTCTGGTCCGACTTTGGTATAAACATTTTGGTTTAAAAAGCCCTTTTTCCTTAAATTACAGTTAACAAGGTGGCTTCAATTGCTTAATTATTTAATTGGGTTATTTAACTATAGATGAGTTAACACTTTTGATGAGTTCATACTTTTACTCTTACACAGGATTAAAATCAGGCAGTAAGAGGTAGTAGTAGTAGAGTAAGTATCCATTGGAAGGTCCAGGATAATGACTCCAGGGCTTCTTAATTTTGTCGTTCTACTGTTCCGGATGCCTCCAGCAGACCCAGGATACGCTGGAGGGACTGTCTCAGCTGGCCTGGGAAGACCCCGGATGAGCTGGATGAGTGTGTGTGGATGGGGGAGTCAGGGCATCTCTGCTTAGACTGCTGCCCCCTGGACCGGGCAACGGATGAAGCCAGTTTGTCAAGTTTGTCACTGTAACACGTCCTATAGACTTTTTAAATATGAAAAAAAATCTAAATACATCAGCACGTTTTTTTTTTTTTTTTAAGATCCCTGTATAAATTACGTAATGTATGTATTCATTTGCTGTTGTTGTGTTGTTATAGCCTTAAATCACAACAGTCTGGTATTCCCTGTTTCATTGATTCTGTGACTACACTGCAAAAAATGATCAAATATGAGATCATAATTGCTAGAATCAAGTTTTTTTAACTTGACTTAAGTTCATTCTGACTGTCTTAAAATGAGATTTGCCAATGAGACAAGCAATTTTGACTTGATTCAAAAACTATTGCTTTATTTTCTCATTCCAAGAGAAAAATATCTTGTATCTTTTTAAAACAAGACAATTTTTCTTGTTCCACTGGCAAATCTTGTCTTAAGGCAGTCAAAATGTGCTCAAATTTAGATACATTTAGCCAAATTTTTGCAATTTTTTTGTCTTTAATTCTGTCATCTTTTGCAGTGTATGCTACTTGTCCATCTTACAACGTAATCTTACAGGCCAACAACATATGAGCAGTTTGGATTAAGGTCTCCACCATGACTTTTGTAGCATTTTGTAGTATTTTGTCATCTTCTGTATGATGTATCTTCACTTTCCTTCAACAAAATAATAAACTAGACCAAATGGTTGTGGAGGTATTGTAGTGAACACTCTGCTGACCTGTGTAAGTGACCGCAGCGACCATGGTGTCCACTCCAGCCTGGTTACTCGCGATGCAGCCGTACGCGCCTCGGTCCTTCTGCTGCATATTTCTGATGACCAGTACTCCGTCTGTGGTCAGTCTGTGTCTGCAAACGGGGTTCTTTCATTATGGTTCCTGTTGCATTGCTTTGATATGTATAATTAAAGTTGTTTAAAAGCTTCACCTGCTGGACGCCATGAGGAACATGTCGTTGTGAGTCCAGGCGAGTCGTGGAGGAGGGTGCCCTGTGGCGGAGCACCCAATCCGGGCTTCATCCCCCGTTTGGAACGTCTGGTTTCTCGGATGGACTGAAACCCGAGGCGCCTCTAAAGGAAATGAGGAAAATATAGATTGAGTAAGATGTTCCTGTCGCACACATCAAATTTGTTTTTACTAAATTGTATACTTAAGAACAGAACAATAAGCACTGTTACTCCCTTTGAGCATTCCCTGTCTAAAGAAAATTACATGAATAATTAGGGGAAAAGGCAAATCATCACAATGTTCTTTTAAATCTTGTTAGCACTAGTTGAAATATTGTGCATTGTTTTTGGAAATAATGGAAAATTACTGGCTGAAAAATGTTTTATTTATGGGCAATACGTCTGTTTTAAGAAGGCAGAAAACTGCACTGGTGTCATAGTGGGACGATTAAATCATACTGCAAGATGGAGATTATAGACTAAAAATAATATAAAATGAGTTTAGTTTTATTTTTGAAGTCAAAATGACAGGAGGCTAAAAAACTCATCTCTAAAACAACAATCTGTGCACCTCCTTATACAACTATATTTCATCTCAAGTCCTCAGTTTTACCCCCCCTCCCCACAATCAATGCGTTTGTGGGGAAACTCGCGATTAGAGGAACGCGCCTATATTTGGGCATCGTCTGGTCCCATTTCTGTGCAGTGGACGAGCTCCCATGATGCTTTGCGCCAAATATGCGCGTGTGGCTTTCATGCACGTGCACAAAGGGACTCGGCCGTGCTTTGACGAATCAGTGCTTATTATCAGAGCAGCAACAGAGCGGAGTCAGAGCGGGAAGGAAAGGAGCAGAGTTTGTGGCAGTAAAGTGTGGATTTAAAGAAACCGAAGGAAGAGAAAAAGTTCAGGATGACAAGGGACACTAACATCCCCACAAAATCTATTTTGTAGGTTCTCTGTCAGGTGAGGTCGAGCTGTTTTAGTTTACATTGAGTTATATGGGACTTTTTTCTGGGTAGCCCACATGAATTGAGTCTGCAGTACCACAGCGCCCCCTGTGGCCATGGGTGGGACAGCTATAAGCTAGTAATACTCTATCCAGTATTCATAATAGATCCATGTACCCAACCCCCATTCCACAGACCTGTACCGGTTATTGTCTGACACTAAAAAGGTTGGAGATAGCTACTCTATACCATTCCATGCCAGGTGAAAGAGCCCAAGTCAGAAGTGACCAATACACTACAAATGTAACCTGATTGAAACGCTCTTGGACGTCAGAAGTGGATCAGGAGACGCCCACACAATGTGAATGTTCAGTCTGAATGTTTGGTAAATATTGAAGTGTCAGCAGTTCTGGCTCACTTCAAAGTTCAGTAATGACATGGATGGTCTGGACCAGGGGGCCCTGAACCCCTCAGGGCAATGGCAGCTGCGTGAGAGCAGCCACAGACCACCAACACAACTTCTCATAAAATGGAGAAGATTAAGATTACTAGTATTATTATAATTAGGGCTGGGACTCGATAAATAGTTTTTAATTAATTAGAGGTTTTGTCATTAATTAATTGAAATTCATAGAACCTTTGCCATTAAGTGTAGAAATTGCATATTTAGAAATATAATACATTTTGCTGGCCGTTATCTTCTACCAAAGTGGTCTTTCTCAAAGTGGTCTACATTCAAGTGCAATCTAGATGATGTCCACGTTAGCTGCTCTATGTTTGCTTTTTATGATTTGTGAACATAACCAGGCTCTTATTGACCCTTCCATCCAGTTTTATATAAGCTGTATATGTTGTTTAAAAGTAAACTGAGCTCCTGATGTAACTAATCAAAGGGTTTCAGAATATTATTGTCATGTAAAATACAGAGCCGTTTAATTCATCTGTTTACCCTGTTTTTTTTCATAAAAGTTTGCATAATTAACAACATAGTATTTGAGCATCTCCGACCAGATTACACTACATTATTATTAAGAAAGACATCAACAGGAATTATAATTTGTTTACATTTTCCTCTATAGTTTCATATCAGTAAAGTCCAGGAGCATGAGGGTTTAGCTTCGCAGTTAGACACATGAGTAAAAGGTAAACATGTGCTTATTCATACATAACATCATTTAAGACGGGGTTAAAACAGTCAAAAGTAGTAAATCCATCATCATGAGTGAACACAGACCTTGCACGGTGAGATAAACCCGCTCCCTGCTGCGCCCGCCCTCATTCTCGGCCACACACTGATACTGTCCCGTCTGCGCTGGGCTGAGGTCATCGAGGCGCAGGGATCCGTCGGACAGGACGAGCACGTGGGGGTCCAGGCCAGCGTCACGGCCCTCTCTGAGCCACGACACGTTAAAGCTGACCGCACTGACCACATGGCACGTAAGAACAGCGCTGGAGCCCGGGGCCGCGGTGACGTTAGCGCCCATTGTGATGACCGGGGGGGGCTCTGAGGGGAAAGATGGGGGTTTTATCAGATGTGGAAAGCAAGTATGGAGGACCAAAACTGTCAAAATAACATTCATTCATTCATTCATTTTCAAGCCCTTTATTGTCCATTTCTGGGTCGGGGGGGTGACAATGAGAGCTGCCACCCAACGCTCATAGCACCAGTCCCTCTGATCCTCTGCAGGGGGTGAGTCCACAGGAAGATGGCTGCTCTGTCAGCGGTGAAACAGCCTTGGTCTTTCAGCGGGGGCTTCAGGCAACGTGGGGTTAAGTGTCTTGCCCAAGGACACAACAACAGTAGACATCAGTGGGAGCAGTTGGAGTAGGTCCCATGGTGGGAATCGAACTCACGACCTCCAGGCTCAAAGGCCACTGCTCTACCAACTGAGCTACTGTCAGATTGTGACATTTATTCATGAATAAATAAATGTCACAATCTGCATATTATTGTCAATATAACGCTACAAATTATGAAATTAAATAAAAGTATATTATTATTATACAAAGTTTTTTGGTACAAAACAACCAACTAAATAACAAAGCTTTATAATTTTCTGTCTGCATTTATTTATTTTCTTATTCATTCAAATGTTAAGATAAAAAAATATATATAATTATTTAATTGCAGTTTTTCCCAAAAGAAATAACTAATCCTCTTTCTTTTTTTCTTACATTTATTTATTTATTTTATTCATATCATAATTTATTTCCCTTTTAATTGATGTTCTGTTTTATTGTTTCACGACACATTATTCTTTCCTCGTGTCTTAAAAAATAAATGTAAATGAAGGGGGCGGAGCTACAGACAGCGAGACGAAAGCAATCGCCTCGTACAGACTGACCGGGCCAAACCGTGCTAAACAGTGCTGCCGTTACCGCGGTGCCGTCCTGCTGGAGCTGTGTCTCCCGTGGCTGTCCATGGAATTGTCACTTCTTCTATAATGTGACATTTATTTATTTATTCATTTATGTTTTTATTTTGACAGTTTTGGTCCTCCATAAGCAAGAGTGACTTTAAAAACGTTTACCAATGTCTGATTTCATGAATGGGAATGACGGGCAGAGGCCTGTTTAAGCGTTGGAAATCAGATCTGACAAGTTTATTCAAGTGCTGTATCTAACGTTATTATTTGGTGTTGCACTTGTGGTTGGATAAATGAGAGATTCAGTGTTCAGACTGAAACACAAGAGAAACGACATCACCACGCATTCCTTATCTGAGCACACTTTTCAATTAGGACCTCCCAAGCCCCCCCCCAAGCTGCCTAAACCTGCCTGTGTGGGTCCCCTGAGTTTCTCCTGTCTAAAAATATGCTAATGTCGTTAATGTTATACATGTCAATTATCATGGGCATATAGTTAATCCCCAATAGACTTTGGTAACTGGTAAAGTATGGTTAAAATCTGAAACCAGTCGTTACCAGTTCACACTTGGTTAAATTTAGTGCAGTCATTAGTCAAAAATAACTCCGAAAATTAAATTAAATGTAAACTAACAAATAGTAGGGTGTTCCTCAAGCATACACTTCTGGCCCTTAAAACTTTGCTGATCACGACACATTCTTTAGGTCATTGTGCACATGCCACCGCCGACTCTGAGCAGCTCCTTCAGGTTTTAAACGCTCGCTTCTCTCCAGGGAGATCCATCACAGCGTAATTGCACTTGTTGACAGATTAATGCTTACCACCGGCTCAGGCTTTATGCATTCCTGACTCACTGTGGGCTCGCTGCATGGGCTCCAACAAGGTGGCTCTCTGGATAGTCTTAATTATCATAACTACTCTAAGTACGGCAATTCCATGCACTGTTATCACCGGTCTGGGCTCTACTGCTGGGTCAAAGAAACTGAATGGTAAATGCTTTTAAGGTGAAGATTTAAAACGGGGTATTTTAACAGTTTGACGTAAGGTATAGACATTTAGAAAACAGTCTGAGGCAGAATGTCATTACATCTGTTTGGTTTGCTCACAAGAATTTCATTTTTTGGCACAACCAACATGACCTGGTCGTGCAAGGGAAAATTATGTACCCCAGCTTTAATTTAGCGAGTGCGCTTTGGGAGAAGAAAAGGACTTAACCCCACTTTGCCCAAAGCCCCCGCTGAAAGATCAAGGCTGTGCTCACACTGACAGAGCAGCCGTCCTCCTGTGGACCCAGCACCTGCAGGATCAGTGAGGGGCTGGTGCTCTGTGACTTGGGTGGCATCTCTGACTGTGCCCCCCCCCCCAGGTTTCTGGGTTCACCCCCACCCAGAAATGGATTGAGGGGTAGAAAATGGATGGAGGGATTAAGTAAGTGCATTATTTCTTTTAACACGATTAATGAAAAAATTATTTAACATGCATTAACGCCATCATTTTGACAGCCCTAATAAATACATAAAACAAATCCTAATTACATATTTGTCCAAAACTGTTGATTCATAGTTCTGCCGAGCAAACAGAGGGGCTTACCTGAGACGTCTAAGAAAGTGCGCGCTTTGCCAGTTCCAGCTTTACTGATGGCAACACATTCGTAGTTTCCTTCATCTTTCAAAGTCACCTGGGAAAGCTCCAAGGACGCATTTACAGAGTCACTGGTACCAAGAAAAAACAGAAATTAACTTTCTACACACACTAAAGGCCTGATCATACTTCTCGAAGCTCTCCAACTGAGTGTGTCTGCGCAGAGTTAAAGAGCCGTGGGTACAGCATAAATAATATAATAATATCCACTAACTTTGTTTACCTGACATGCTTCCAAGAGACTGCTTTAATTGTTGGAACTGAATAGCATTGAAACACAAATGAGCTTTTCACTATTTTTCATTCACTCATCGCTCAGTGGTGGTGATACGGCTAAAACACAAGGCAGATAAAGGCGTTCTGCGGCTGAAGCACCGTGCTGTCTGCTCTCGTGCACATCATATGAATGAATCTTTTCCGGTCCGCTCACCTGTAAAGTTGCTCCACACCGAGTTTCCTCCCATCTCTGCTAAATCGGAGCGTGAATGGGATTAAGCTTTGTACTTGACAGGTAATGGCGCCATTTTGGAGGTAGTATCCAGGTGTGGTGGGCGGCATAAACACTGTGGGAGCATCTGATACAACAAGGAGACATTACTGTGTTATTAACTTCATAAACCATAACTCAGACTACAGACCAGTGGCACTAACATCTGTCATAATGAAGACTTAGGAGAGGCTAGTACTCCGACTGCTCATGCCACAGGTTGAGCAGGCTCTTGACCCCCTGCAGTCTGCCTATCAAGAGAACACGGGAGTGGATAACACAGTCCTCTAAATGCTCCATCGCTCCATGTCCTTCCTGGAAGGTCCTGGAGGTTATGTGAGGCCGATGTTCTTTGACTTCTCCAGTGCATTTATCACCATCTAACCTCTCTTACTGAGGGAGAAACGGGAGAAGATCAGAGTTGATCCCATCTTTAACAACTGGATTTATAATCACCTCACTGTGCGTCACAGTATGTCAGGTTAGGGAAGAGCGTGTCTGGGACTGTTGTGAGCAACACAGGAGCACCACAGGGCACCGTTCTGGCTCCCTTCCTCTTCACTGTTTACACTGCTGACTTTGCACACAACTCTGCTACATGCCATGTACAAAAATACTCGGACAATACCGCTGTTGTGGCATGTGTGAAGGGGGGATGAAGCAGAGCACAGGGAGGTGGGGGCCGCCTTCTCAGACTGGAGTGAGAGAAATGGTCTGATTCTCAATGCGTCCAAGACCAAGGAGATGATCACTGACTTTCACAAAAGCCCTTCCCATCAACCGGTCACACTGAATGGAGAGGACATAGAAGTGGTACAGTCTTACAAATACCTTGGAGTCCACCTGGACCACAGACTGGACTGGTCAGCTCAGGCCAATGCTCTTTATAAGAAAGGTCAGAGCAGACTCTTGACTGAGGTCCTTCGATGTGAGCAGTCAGATGTTGCACATATTTTACCAGTCTGTAGCTAGTGCAGTGTTCTTTGGGGTTGCATGGTCAGGCAGTCTGACCTCGAGAGACAGTAACCGGCTCGACAGACTGATCAGGAAATGTGCCTCTGTGATGGGGAGAAGTGTGGACTATGTGGGAGCTCTGCTGGAGAGAAGGATGAGGGCTCTAATGCAGGGCATCCTGGGTAACTCCCGACACCCTTTGCCTAACACTATGGCCGCTCAGAGTAATCGAAGCAACAGGCCTATATCACTGCACTTTCTTCTGCTGCTGGACACCTGAATTTCTCAATAAAGTATCTATCTATCTATCTATCTAGCTATGCGCAAGGTTATTGGTTCAGTGATTGGTTAGGGGTGTGGCTTAGTCATAGGTCCATTGGGTGTACACTTGCAGTAAAAACAGTGATATGTATCAAACATGGACTCACCCGGTTGAATGTTTGAAAAGGACACACTTGACACTCGCTGGAATATGAATCCGTCTTTGTCATATCCTGTGACGCGGAGGAAGAAGGCCTCGTCTGGAGGGGTGAATTGCGTGACGTTGTAGAGGCCGTAGGGTTCACGCAGGGGAAAAAAGAGAATGAGTGTTTTGATGACCTTTCCGCTGATGGTCAACAGCTCCAGACGGTCTGCACGTGCTGGAGGAGTCAGGCCGGTACTGTTCAAGAGGATGTGTGTGGGGATACCTGCAAGACCCATCCCCAAAACACAAGTGAAAACAACAGGTGAAAACAAGATCTATCCATCCAAGATTGATCCACCCATTTTTAAGGATGTGTACCTCTTGATGTAAACTAGTTTGTTTGGGATTATTTTAATTGCATAAGCCACTGTCTCTAAGTAAAACAAAACTAAAGATGCTTGTGAAAATTGTTATTACTAAATAATCTGTTGTATAACAGAGTTTAAACCTCCACAAACTTTGAAGAGTGTGGCAATATTGTATTTATAATCACTTTCTGTTTTAAAAATAGCACTGAAAACAAATCCTTACTTTTTAAACAAAATCACATCAGCAATTGTAGTGTAAAAATATAAGTGAACATAGTACATGCCTGTACATGTATTTGAATGATAGTTGAAGCATATAGTCAGGGCCACTTTAAGGCCATAGGCCTCGGGGCATCAATGTGGCTGAGGCAGTTCTTTCAAGTTAGCAAAGGAATTTACAGGAACTGTATTTCTCAATAATACAAAAAGAACATCCTGCAGATCCAAGTGAAGGAAACAGATGAAACACAAAATGCTCAGCAGCTGTCTTTTTCTATTCTTACATGTCCTAAGTTCACCCCACTGACCTTGCACGGGGCGGCTCATGGTCTTTTTAAAGTCCAGAGTGGGGTTCCTGGAAAAGCCAGCTCTGAAGTCAATGTGGCTGAGGCCCGAGATGCGCACTGAGTGTCTGCCCGCACTGGACGTCTGGAAGAAACATTTGGATTTGGAAAAGTCCAGTTTGGAATTATGTTAGGCATGTTCAAAGATGATGAAGACACACTTTTTACCATGTTAGAACTGACATGGTTGATTTGTGTGTGACGTCAGTTGGTGTGTGTGACGTCAGTTGGTGACACACACCAACTGATGTCACACACACCAACTGATATCACACACACACCATCTGACGTCACACACACCAACAGACGTCACACACACCAACTGACGTCACACACGCCAACTGACGTCACACACGCCAACTGACGTCACACACACCAATTGCCGTCACACACACACCAACTGACGTCACACACACCAACTGACGTCACACACACCAACTCACGACACACACACACCAACTGACATCACACACACCAACTGACGTCACACACACCAACTGACGTCACACACACCAACTGACGTCACACACACCAACTGACGTCACACACACCAACTGACGTCACACACGCCAACTGACGTCACACGCACCAACTGACGTCACACGCACCAACTGACGTCACACCCACCAACTGACGTCACACACACCAACTGACGTCACACACACCAACTGACGTCACACACACCAACTGACGTCACACACACCAACTGACATCACACACACCAACTGATGTCACACACACCAACTGACGACACACACACCAACTGACGTCACACACACCAACTGACGTCACACACACCAACTGACGTCACACACACCAACTGACGTCACACACACCAACTGACGTCACACACACCAACTGACGTCACACACACCAACTGACGTCACACACACCAACTGACGTCACACACACCAACTGACGTCTCACACACCAACTGACGTCACACACACCAACTGACGTCACACACACCAACTGACGTCACACACACCAACTGACGTCACACACACCAACTGACGTCTCACACACCAACTGACGTCACACACACCAACTGACGTCACACACACCAACTGACGTCTCACACACCAACGGAACGATTCAAGAGATCCTTTGTTCCTTCGGCTGTCAGACTGTACAACAAACCTGACTGACTGTACAACAACAAAAAAGAGTCTTCTGCTGCTGGACACCTGAATTTCTCCTACGGGGGATCAATAAAGTATCTATCTATTTATCTAAGTCTTTAAGAATACATGTAAGAAGAATTGCCACCTGCCCCAACCCTCCCCCTGAGCCCAGCATTAGGGACTATTAGGTAGTGTCCTTGTCATCAGCGCTAATTCTCTCGATACATCCAGTTACGTCATCTCTGCCTGTGATACTGTTTTCACTGAGAAGACAGAAGACACTTTACAGTAAATAGGCTCAATATTATGGTCAGATACATCCCCGGCCTAGACTATTTATAATACCAAGCCTCTTTGAAAACTATTCAGGAAGGAATCGGCAGATATTACTAGCCCATCAGGTTGTAGGACTGGCTGCTAAAGCAAAAAACAACTAGTTAAAGAATGAAGCTGTATTCAATCAATCTTAGAGGATGTATTTGATAGCAGGGATGAAGTTTGTTTTAACTTGTCTGCTGAAGTAATCTCGTCAAATGAATCACAATAATGGCTGCAGGCTGAAAGAAGTGAAAGAGTGCCTGAGGTCGTGAGAGGTGCACAGAAGCAGACAGACGGCCTCCGGAGCAGCCCTGTGTGTCAAAATGAGAGCAGTAAATCCTCCAAGAAAATAACAAGTTAATCAACCAATGGTTCAGATTTTGATGTGCGGTCATTGAGACAAAAGAGCTGGAAGTTAGTGGTAAATGGAGAAAAACTTGCGTATACATTTCCATATCTGAGGTTTGGGGAATGTGTATATCTTTTTCCTATACCATTTTATGAAAAAACGTAGCTCAGATCAACATCAAAGCTACAATATTGATGGAGAGAGCTTAAAGAGCGACTAAACACCAAATAAACTTTTTTCAACTCATAAACTGCATAAGTATGTTTATTGTAGTGCTCTCTACATATCCTGGTCATTTTTTTGACATTTTAGTTCAAATTAGACAAAATATCACTTTTGAGCCAAAAAACGCTGTGTGGCGCCCTCTCAACCTTTTTGGTGGTACTACATTTGAATTTGGTTCTGGCCTCTCCATTGACTCTGAAGTTCTCTATGACATCAGTTGTTTTGTGTGACGTCAGTCTGTCAGAGCCAGTGATATAAACCCATTCAACTCTCACACACGCCCCAGCTGCAGTTTGGAGTATTCTGGCGCCATCTAGTGGATTAAAATTAAATTACATGAGTCATTCTGAGATTATTGAGTGTGATTAGGTTCAGGTGTGTAGCTTTACAATAATCTTAGTGTGTAAACAAGGGTGGAATGAGACTTTCTGGTCTGTAAACTATTGCTTTGAGCAGCAATGACAACTGTCTGTTTTTTTTAGTGAGACAAGTGAGCTGTCAATCACAGCCCAGACCACGCCCAACTCTAAGCCCCCCTTCGTTGGGCGTGGTCTGGGCTGTGATTGACAGCTCACTTGTCATTCTCTCTCATTCCACCCTTGTTTACACACTAAGATTATTGTAAAGCTACACACCTGAACCTAATCACACTCAATAATCTCAGAATGACTCATGTAATTTAATTGTAATCCACTAGATGGCGCCAGAATACTCCAAACTGCAGCTGGGGCGTGTGTGAGAGTTGAATGGGTTTATATCACTGGCTCTGACAGACTGACGTCACACAAAACAACTGATGTCATAGAGAACTTCAGAGTCAATGGAGAGGCCAGAACCAAATTCAAATGTAGTACCACCAAAAAGGTTGAGAGGGCGCCACACAGCGTTTTTTGGCTCAAAAGTGATATTTTATCTAATTTGAACTAAAATGTCAAGAAAATGACCAGGATATGTAGACAGCACTACAATAAACATACTTATGCAGTTTATGAGTTAAAAAAAGTTGATTTGGTGTTTAGTCGCTCTTTAAGCTGCTCATAAAGATAAACTTTTTTTATCGCCCATAATACAAACGTTATGAGCGACATGAATTTGCTCTCCTGCTGTCTATCGTCAAAGCCTCTTAAAAAGATTTATCATTTCTGAGATATTAATCATTTTGTGTTGGACTGCAACGGCTCTATATTGTTTTTGAAAGTATAGGTATATTTCAAATGTTATCCTGATGGTTCACACTTTCAATTAAACAAAGACCTTGGCAAAAAGGTGCAATGGAGCTACAGTACGTATAGCCAAGACTCAGAATGGAAGACACTATCCCAACTTTTCACTTCAATCACCTCAGCTGGCATGTCTGCACACCTGTTCCACTGCGAGACACTGTCACGCATTGCGGCACGAAGCTTGTGCAGCAACCTGCCTCCTCCCAGCAAACGGACATCAGTCTTCCTGTGACTGGCTCCTCACTTCAGCTTCCGCCACCAACAGTAGGGATTTCACATTTTTAAATCTCTCAATTCCCCCTCTTCATGGTATACTTCTGAGGTCTATTCGACTCATGTACGCCATTTCACGTACAGCATGTAAATAATTTCAAACCATACCATACATCTGCTGGGTGTAGGTGTCATAGCCTGCAGTAACTAATATACTGTAGTCTTTACTGAAAAAGGCTTTCAAACAAAGAAAGCTCCTTCCAATTTCTTTCTCTCTGAAACAATTAAAGAAACAACAGTGTCCAAGTTTGTGTCTAGTGTCTAGCAGTTTATATCAGTTCATTGACTTGAATAATGGCCGCAGTGACTTGGGCCCCAGCTGTCTCCTGGGCTGTGACCTCATGTCAGGAGGAATTCTGTGCTGTAAGTCACGGTAGAAGGCTCTGGGAATGGTTATAAGAGAGCAGCCTGATATCACTCACACACACACACACACACACACACACACACGCACATACACGCACACACGCACACACACTTCCAGGAATGAGTAGTGTACCTGGATAGACCACGTTCCGGGCTGGGGGTCCTTTATGTTCACCACTTTAGCTGAGTTAGGGATGTGTAACAGTTCCTTCAGGCCATCCGAATTCCCAATGAGTTTACCTATGGGACAATCAAAGACCCAATTGTGTAAAGAACAGTGTTGTGGAGCAGTGGATAATACAATTTGATATAACACTGCAACACAAAAGACACAAATAAGTAAAAAGAGTGTGACGGTGGGTTGGGATGCTTGGTACCCTGTGGATTGGTGATACGGATGCTTGGTCCTGGGCCGCTCAGAGCTACGGTCACTTCCTTGAGGCTAGGGTCAAAGGGGATGCGCCATGTGTTGCTGACCGCGGCGGAGTGGTCAGTGGATAGCAGGTGGACTTTTGATGACTGCACAGCTTCTTCTACCCATTTAAGCACCTACGAAACGCAAGAATGACATTGGTGAGTGTACAATACAGGAAAAAGTATTCATAAAGTACCTTTTTAAATGTTCCATGTTTTGTCCAGTTACAACCAGGAACATGTATTTAATTGGCTTTTCATGTGACAGACCAACACAAAATGGAAGGACATTTGTGAAGTAAAATATGATATGAATATGAAAAAAAAATTATTATTTACTTTTCATCTAGAACATAAAACATAAAAACAAATGGTTTTCAGGCGACCAGGGTAATCACTACAGACAAGTCTTTTATAAGTCTAAGGCCTTCTACCGCCTTAAAATTCCGTCGGTTTGTGGTTAAAACTTTTGTAAAAGAGATTTTTCTTAAGATTTATATCTGAAATTTTACTGTGAAAAGACAGTGTTGGCCAAGTTACTTCAAAAATGTAATACATTATGCATTATTTGTTACTGTTAATTCAAAGTAATGTATAACACTACAATATTACAGTCTGAATTGTAACGCATTAGACTTCTTCTGTATTACTTTTAAGTTACTTTTGGTTTGGCCCATAAAGTGTTATGTATCTTTGTCTCCAACAAAGTCAGTCCTGTCCTGGCCCAGTCCTGGCTCAGTCCTGGCCCAGTCCTGGCTCAGTCCTGGCCCAGTCCTGGCTCAGTCCTGGCTCAGTCCTGGCTCAGTCCTGGTTCAGTCCTGGTTCATAGCAGATTACAGCTTCATTTATTAAACTTGATGGAAGAGCATCATTCTTAGCTATTGACTGAAACCAGTGTGGGCGGGTCCCGGCTCAAAAAGTGTCCAAAATGACGTGCGCTGACATGTTGCAATACCACCCCGGGCCTGTGGGGGGGGACCCGGTATGAGAATTAGCCAATGCTAACATATAGCATCTTCTTACCTCTTGAAAACGTCTTTACAGGATGGACCAAAACTTGTCTCTTGGCCCAAAGCTCCGTTCCACATGTGTGTCAATGCTGAGTGTTCTGGACCAGTCTAGTTTAGTCGCTGTGGACTTTTGAAGTCTCTCGTTTAAATGAATGGGGCTTGTGCAGCTGACGCATGCACAGATGCGTTTTTTTCACATTTTCCAGCCCCAGCGGCCATTTTGAAGGCCGCGGATGTTGTGGCACATTAGGACGGCTGAGATTGAAACATGTGTAAAACACGGTGCATTGCTGCTCTTCTCGCATATATTTTCCACTCATTGACAAGTGTCCTCCTCACTCACAAACCGGACTCTTGGGAGGCTCATATCTCTGTGAATATTGACTCATTTTGGATGCTCTGTTTTTCAAATCAAAACTGAGCTTAAACTCTCATCCGTCGCATAATCCGCATGTCTCTGCTCTTTCGCAATCGTGAACCGCTGAGTGAAGGAGCGGTGACAAAAGACTGGGTCAACAGGCTCCAACAGGCTACATCACTCCCAACACTCACAAAAACAATATGAACATTGTAAAAAACACCAGGGATGTGGACTGAGTTGGGAACAAAGAAGCTCATCAGCCCAGCTTGGAGCGTATTTTTTCAGTGGGCCTTGCTATTTAAGAGGAACTGGTATAACCAAACCATGCTTTAAACGTGTGTTTTTTCAGTAAATCTTTCAAAGAGCTGTGATACATTGTTTCTCTCGTTCTATTCTTTTTTATGGAGTGTGGGGCAGGGAGTGAGGGGTGGACTTTATAATGCTATGTAGTGACATACTGTATATTCTCAAAACAAACTTCAGTGGCCTGCACAGAAGCTGTAAATATACTGGGGTTAGATTACACTCTGGTGGAACTCGCAGTGCATTGTCAAGGCTCTACATATTTATTCACTGAACTTGTACAAGCTGGTTAACGGACACAATATTTTACTCTATTTATGAACTTGAAGTCATGATGTCGATAGTGAAAAAATGGTGAGTGTGCACAAGGATGTCATTCCTTATAATGCAATGAACATCCATCCAGCGTTGTGGAGAGTTGTGTAGACATAACAGACATAGAGTGGCGCACAGCTGCTCACAAGGCCAGCCCCTCCTCCTTCATGTGGGAGCTGACCCCATGTCCAGTGTCCCAGCAGAGACACACAATGCTACTGCTAACACACAGCCACCGCTTTGGCTTTGACTATATCTGAGGACAAAAGGAGCATTTAAGTAGGAAGAGTGAAGGAATCTGTTTGTGCCCGCTTTGTACCACTGCTTCTTGATCTTAGTGTAAATGCAGCTAAAAACAACATCAGGTTTGTTGCTGAGAAATAAAGATTGTAACAAAACTTCATATTAAGGAGTTAATGGGTGCACCTCTAAGTTAGGATTTCATTTGACAGTTTCTGGACGAAGACTAACAACACAACAGTATGCACAGACCATAGTAAAAGTAGAAATGCGTTAACCTTTACAACCACCATATTTTCCAGTCATTTACGCAGCATGTTTTTCTTTTGCCTTGGACTTGATTAAAAATAAATAATTGTATGTAGTATCTATAAAACCCATGGACATGAATGAAGAAGCCCTCTTATCCATTTCCATATACTGCATGTTGGACTGAATTGACGGCCAAGTCAAATACTCAGGACTGAATATGATCAAATCTCAACACTTTTGGAACTCTTACCTCATTGACCTGTTTCTTGTCCAGATGGAAGACTTGTCCAGAGCTGGTGGACGCAATCTCTTCATAGGCTTTGTATCCGATGTGATTGCGGTCATCGCAGTCTCCCGTCAGCACAAACACCACCTACAAAGATCACACAATATTATTATGTTTTTATGTCCGTGGTCTCTTTTTTCTCTCAAAAAAAGACTCATATGTGTCAGTAGATGATCCCACCTGAGATTGCTTCTGCTGGATGAGTTGCAGCACCTCATGGGTCAGCCGGTAGTCTTTGGAGCGGGCGTCAGTGAACACGTAGATGAAGGAGCCCGGTAGAGAGATCTCCAGGGCGATCTTTATGGCACCAATGCTCATCTCTGGACAGTCGCCTCCTCCCTGGACCCAACACAACAGTAGTTCAGCACAAGGATTAAAAAACCATGGTAACAATTTGGAATGTTTTAATCATGAAGCAGGAGCACATCTTAAACCATATGCATGTGAATTCTTCTTAACCTCAGAAGGTAACGCTGCTGTACTTGTGCATTTCCAAAAAACGCTTCTGTTACTGGGCATGGAAAGTGGCCATGCCTGTTTGAGCCCTAATATCATATCAAAACACTTCTTCCGATCAGTGTAACGTCTGTTGTGATTTGGTCATTGCTGTGGTGAAGAGGGAGCAAAGTCAAATGGAAAAACTCTTGCTTAAGCGCTAAGTCTACATGACCACAGTTTCCCAAATATAATGCCCTTTTTAATCAAATGTAAAGTGTTACAAGTCCTTGAACTGGACTAGGGCGGCACGGTGGCTGAGTGGATAGCACTCTCGCCTCTCAGCAAGAAGGTCCTGGGTTCGAATCCCGGTCGGACCAGGGCCTTTCTGAGTGGAGTTTGCATGTTCTCCCCGTGTCTGCGTAGGTTTCCTCCGGGTACTCCGGTTTCCTCCGGGTACTCCGGTTTCCTCCGGGTACTCCGGTTTCCCCTACCACTAAAAATATGTCCAATAGTTCTGGCATGTGCCTCCTGTACTGGCCCCGCTCCCATCTCTGTGTGGAGTGAGAGACTAACGCCCAAAATGAACAATTGTAAACTGCTTTGAGACTCAGATCTGCAGTGAAAAGGCGGTATATAAATAAAAACGTACTTACTAACTTACTTACTTACTCCATCAAATGTAATATAACCCTAATAAGTTGGTGGATATGATTGTACTGCAGCGTGAAGCATGTGAACTGGATATGGTTCATTACATACAATAAATCCATACACCTGCATTTGACCTCTATATACAGTATGGGAAATATGCAAATGTCAGCCTCATGTTCTGGGACAGTTTTATACATATACAATGCCTAGCACAATGAGATATAGTTATGTTTAGATATGTATGTCTAGTTTTACTCACTACAACAAAAGCCCTTGAGCAGAACACGCTCGTAATAACCAGTTCACCAGAGGGAAGGATCATGTTTAACACAGAAGCAGACTTAGCAGAACATCAGCAGACTTTGATCAGAGCATTACATTATCAAGGAGCAATTACATATTGGAGATAAAATCATACTTTTACAAATACCTATACAAAAATATAGGTGCTGCATCTGATACACGTGTTTAATCAGGAGGGTCTGTTGGGCAGTTAGTGTCCAACTAGAAAGACTGTGATGATCCAGGACACATTTATCAACATGTGTTCTATATTCTTTATGTGTGTTAACTGTTGATTCTCTGATCTGTGGTGATTTCAATGGTTTTGTTAAGTCTCTGAGATGATGCTGTTGTGATTTAGGGCTTTACAAGAATAAGTAGTATTGTATTATAGTAATTGGATATTGGTTTTATGATTTTGATTACAATTCATAAGGATTAACACCGAACGCCATAAAATATTACTTCAACTTCTACAGATAAAAGTTGTTGGGAAGGATAAACCCAATTGGACCCATTTTGAATTTCAAACTGACAAAAACTGCTATTTTCAGTCCACTAAGTCTGGCATCAGTTCATAGCTGGTATATTGAGAGCAAAAGAATCGGACATCCTATTGGCCCTAAAGTTTATTCTGTGGAATAATTTGACTGTTGCTTCTAAATCCTCCTAAAACAAAGCTCTGTCGCTCTACATTCTTGGCTTTTGATTCTTTGTGATGAAGTTCCAGTGGAAAAGAGCTTCAGTGGTTCCATCACTGCTTCACCTCGGCCTCCTGTGGCAGCGTGTTGGCCGTACAGGCGGAACACACATCTGACACTGATGTTGGAATTGTTCTGACATGGTTGTGTCCAGATGGATGAAAACTATTCCATATTTAATATTATCATTGTATAAGTCGCCAAAGGCACCTTTATTGTAGCAGTTTTATAAAACTCAAACTAGTTTTAGACCTCATGTTAATAATAAAGAAACTACTATTGTTCAGGCGGTGCATTTTAATGAAATCATAGTAACTAGTCTGTCTTAATGAACTTAGAAGCATGCCTAACCACTGCAAGCCTGTATTAATGAAATAACTTAGACGCATGGATAATTACATGAAGCCTCTAAGTCATAAATGAACTTAGAAGCATGGGTTACTACATCAAGCCCGTTGGTCAGAAATGAATTTAGAAGCATGACTTACCAATGAAAACATATTATTATTATAATTAATGAACTTAGAAACCTGGCTAAACACTTCAAACATGTATTCATGCACTTAGAAGCATGGCTAACCACATCAAGCCCCTATGTCAGTATTGTATTTAGAAGCATGGCAAACCACATCAAGCCCCTATGTCAGTATTGTATTTAGAAGCATGGCTAACCACATCAAGCCTCTAAGATAGAGATGACATTTGCATGTTATCTTGTGTTAGCATGTTAATCTGCTAATGCTAAAGTATTCAACTGTGGGTGTATTTCTTAATTCTGTGATCTATGGTAATGCTAACAAACAATGATAATCTCTGATCCAGTGGTAGCTGTCTAAGTCTGAAGAACATTTAAATTAAAAGCAGTGGGACAGACCTGGACGTAGAGCTCCCTCAGCTCGAACTGGAACTTCTTGGGGTCAGTGGTGATGGTCACTGGGCCGATCTCTGCAACAGAATCAGATTGTGATGACTGGAGATACGCACCACAGAAAACAAATGGTTTACATTATTAAAAACTCAAATCAAGGTTGCACATATTTTTATAAATCTTGTAATAACAGAGATTCTGCCATTTTCAGATTAAAGTCTGCAAACCATCTTCCTCAAAATGTGAGTCAGGCCTAAACCTGGTTAAAAACAGTTTGTGCATATGGATGACACACCCGGTGTTTTCTTCTTTTCATTCTGTAAGATATGAGTTTTATTTTTATTTTTTCATATCTTTGGTTTTATGTGATTGTAAAAAACAAAGCTAATTGTTGTGAAACACGCTCCAAAGTTCCTGTTTCTTTGCCCATACTTGAGGTTAAGGAACTTTATTGTACTGGGAAATGTGTCAAATGCATTTGATCCATCATTCAATCCGACGCCACGGTGCAGCGTCTGGGAAGCCGTCTCCAGATGTTGATGCTCGCCTTGATCTACCGGAGCTGGAGTACCCGGAGGAAACCTACGCAGACAAGGGGAGAACTCACAAGTGCCCTGTTCCGACCGGGATTCAAACCCAGGGCCTTCTTGCGGAGAAGGGAGAGTGTAAATCACTCTGCCACTGCGCCTCATCAGATCATAAACAGTCAAATCTAATCTACACTAGGGGTGGGCAAAATATATCGTAGACAATAATATTGTGAAAGTCAATTTGAAGACATGCTTTTTTTGTATCATCGTTCTTTTTCTTTTTACTACATATTACAATTAGAGAAGGACAGATGCCCGTTCGTCTAATGTGTGCATAAAAAGCCAATCACTGCTTTATTTGTACATTTCAGTAAATATTGAGCCTATTTAAATGTGTTCTTTCTGTGTTACGTGAATTTGATTTTTAACGTTAATATATTTTACTATATGTTTGTGCATGTTTTGCAAAGAAGTGTGAAGCACTTTACAAATAAAAAGCTGCAGCTATCTATACATGCCCCGGCAGCAAAACATTACAGATCATTTTGTTTAAAAATGATTGATTTTAAAGATATCGTGACAATATCGTTATCGGGAGTTGGGAAAAAAGTATCGAGATATTTATTTTTGTCCATATTGCCCGCCCCTTATCTACACATATAACCCAGGATTAAACCTCCCTTAAACAGAGTTCACGGCTGATAAAAGGTCGACAGCAGTGTGCAGTTTGTGATGAGGTACATGGATATATCACATTAGCCCATACAATCTTCCAATCTAACATTAAGGCAACAATGGACAATGAATATTTGAAGAATGTGCTTAGGTTTAACAGGGAGGAAGCAGTGAGGTTGAAAGAGACAAACAGAAAGAAAGAACGTTCCCACTTTGCTTGTTTTGATCTAGTGCAGGGAGTTGTTGATTCTCTTGCAATTCAGCAAGAGAAGAAAACACTACATTATTGTGGTCTAACCAGTACAGTCGGGTAAGTGGAGTCATCTGTGGCTCACGAGAATTCTTAACTTCCACCGAGAGGCTAATAGGAAAGAACACATTGGACAGTGGCCAGATACAATCGCAGTTTGGGCTCCAGACTTTGGGTAATTTGCTGGGATTTAGTCACGCATTTATCCAGCACACAATTCTCCTGACAAAGCCTCATACAATGAAGCTGCACAATCCCTTTGAGTTTTAGCAGTGCTCAGTAAAACATGTCCTTTTTGGCCTAATATTGGTGAAATTCCTGAAAGGCTGTACATAGGTGATAAGGTTTGACAGGTTATTGGAATTTAATCTTTTATTATAGGCAATGCAGGTATCGGTATTGGCGCTGATACTGTACGTTCTGTAGGTATTGTATCGGTGAGTACCTGTAACTAAATCTCTGATACCATACTAATGGAGTGGACTTACCGAGTACTAACTTCACCCAAAGTGTTTCCCGAATGTGGAAGAAACTGATTTGAACATAAGCTAGCTAGAGCCAATTTTGAGACATTTTGACAAGGCAAGACAAGGTGATTATCAGGTATTGGTAAATACCTGATACCAATAGGGCAATCCCTGTTGTATAGGGACTGGATAGGCTGGACTGCGAGCGAATAACTGTATGTGAGCTGATTTAATGCACCATACACACACAACTGTTTTAATACACTGTTTTTAATGCACTTTAAATGATGCATCAAACTTTTCCCGAACTGTCTATTTCAATGTTTTTTTTACCCGTCATATCCACGGACTGCAGGATAAACAGTCCTCATTTTTCACCGTTAATTTGTCGTAAATGCTTACATTTTGTTTGTGCATTGCTGTTCACCTGTCGTCCCTCTCTCTGTTTCATGACGCGCTGGTGGGACTCGAAACCCTGACTCCCTGGACCTGAGGACTGGTCCACAGCCGTTGGGAGTTGGCGGTTCTGTGACGCCCCTTGAGACGACTGTTGTTGTGCTTTCGGACGGTACCAATAAAATTGGTTTGATTTGATTTGATTTAAACTCATTTTGATAAGGGGGCCAAATTTAAACATTTGTTGGTAGTATTTTTTTTTATATTTAATTTGTATGTTTGAAAGGGACAGTGTGTATTAAGCGCAATGACCAGCAGAAAATGGTCCAACTTTCTTCCTCATGTTTTTGACATCGTGGTCATATTGTGCTCAGTTTCCCCCATATTGACTCAATGAGATCATGTTTGACAAAATTAAATGGTTGCGTAGAGGCAGTAACTTATCAATTAACAAAGAATCTGTGAAAAAATCGGTGAAATCTCTCATGGTACAAGTTTCTGATTAAATTGGGAAAACCGATAAATTGGATGGGCCCTAAGAATGTGGTTTATTTTTCGGAATTTTGCTTCCAAAGTAAGTTCAACAAGTGCCACTTCATGAAACAACAACACACCACCACAGCAGAGACTGAAGCTGACAGACCTCAAAACCCGAAACCACACAAGTCTGTTAGAGGCTCCAACAGTTCAATGGCTCTTCACAGTCAATGACAAATAAACACAGCATACTCCTCTAATCCTCCACAGATGCCCAGACAGCCTTAATATACTCCATCAACTACCCATTTATCTGACACACAAAGCAGTGCTGTAGACAGAGACCCACTTTAGGAAGTGGATGAGAGATTGAATTCATGGAGACAAGTCTACTGGTCAAAACTGAAACTATTTGGAAAAAACTTGTATCAAACTTTTATTTGTAGAGCGCCTTTCCTAGACATGGCAACACAAGGCGCCTCACAACCCGAATTACATCATGCATAAATCCTAGACATTAAAACCCACAAGATACAATTAAAATCCCAAAGGGCATTGAAAAACACACAATGAGATCACACGGACATTTAAAAACATTAAAAAAAAAATCACACAAGTAATTAAAAACATTAAAATCCCACATGGTATTAAAATTATAAATAGCCATAGTGCACCTAAAAATAAAATCAATCAGTTGTATGCACAGCTAAACAGAAACGTTTTTAACCAAGACTTTTAAAAATTGCCACAGAAGTCGCCTGTCTCACATTTTCAGGAAGACTGTTCCAAATCCTAGCCGCATAAATCTGAAATGCAGCCTCCCCATGTTGTAAACCAGCAAAAAAACTTGTAAACCAGAGAAAAAACTTGTAAGCCAGAGAAAATCATCCAAACTCTCATGTTGTAGGGCTCTTTGGCTGCAGGAGAAACTAGTTTACCAAATCCTGAATACAAGGACATGTTCCTTTTCCATAAATCATTTCCGATGCCTTTTTCACCAGTACGGTACATCGTGTGGATCAAGAGTTTCTTTGGTCGACCACAGCCCAAAAAGCACCTGATTGTTTGATTGAACTTAGCCCGGCCTTATCCATTCGTACACTCTGCCCCATCATCATCTCACTGCATGTAACGTCTGGGTCTGGTCCCTGTGTTAGCGATTACAATCGGTTGAATTTCGACCGACCAATCAGCGCGTGCGGAAGGTGGGTCTTGTAGTTAGATGTGGGTGACGTCAAGAGTTTGCGCCGAACGGGAAGGTTGTAGTTTGGCAGTGGCGAAAAATGCGATAGTAAAGTAATCCGGTCTGGTTCTATCAAGAAACTGAAGCTGGAGCAAGAGGAATGTTTAGCAAAAGTAATCGCTGGAAAAATTGTGGCGCTACTCCCTACGGCAGGCATGTCAAAGTCAAATACATCAGAGGGCCGAGGGCCGGACTGGTTCAATGTTTATAAACTCATTGCCTGCCAGCCTATTTCAGAACAGGTACTCCCATATTTCCAGCAGTTACTGATGATTTTTATTGATTTTTCAAGACCCACAGAATATTGTGTACTATGACTATCTGAAATCCGAAACCAGATTCTGAAAGAATAGACTGTCTACTTTCATCAGCAAAAATAATTTTGTTTCTAGCTTGTAATCCCCAGTTGAGTAGAGGGAGGTTTTACTGAAATCACCAAAAAGCTGAGAAAAAATGGGCACAACAAGTGCATCTAGCTGTTTTCAAACCATTCAGAGAGCGCTGCTGCCACCTGCTGGCTCGATTCAATATGCTCTCAAGCTTATCCCCAAACATATTAGATATAATAGACATCTGGGAACATGAAAATAGCGGAAAACGCAATTGACGTAATAGTGCGTCAATGGCAGGAAACGGGCCATGTAAAATTCATTCGCGGGCCGGATTTGGCCCGCGGCCCTTGACTTTGACACATATGCCCTACGGCAAAGGAGATGGCTAAAGCTAGGCTAAATGCTAACGACACACTCGGGCTCATTACATACGTCACAGTAAACTCAGATCCAATCGTTTCAATCTGCAAAAGGAGTTAGCCCCTCCCACCTGTTCACGGAGTCAATGGAGCAAATTCAGACCTTAGTATGAAATGTCATTTGAACTATGGTGTGGTGCGGACAGGCTAGATTGAACTGCTACAAAAGTAAATAGTGAGATAAAGTTTGTGTATATTTGACGGTTATGGGACCGGCTTTAAAGTGTCAGATGAGGGCAACGATTATTCTCTCACTGCATCAAAGAAATGGTGTGGTTCACTCCAGCT